GGTTCATTTATTTGATATACTAAGTTTCAAATGATATTTGTTTTTTATATTCTAATTTTTAATGTTGACTAAGTAGATAGTATACATGTGTATTCATTTTTATATTAATTTTACTTAAAGTAGTAGTATGATTTTACTCTCTGCATTCATAGATTATGAGCATTTTGTTTGTATCTTGTATAGGTATTTCTGCCTATTTGTGTTCCTCTGTGAAAAACCTCTGCCTTAACACTTAATCTGCTGGAACTGATAGAGATAAGCTTGTGCAACCAGTAAAAGGCCATGCCAGTCTGTACTCTTGTGTAGTCTTACCAGGATCTAAACTGTTTGTAGAACAACATATTGGCTTTAAAATTTCTTTATTTTCAATTTGACTTTGCAGAATTCAAAGCAGGGAATCTTTCATGTTAGGAAGCTATCCAGCTAGCTTACGGAACGTGGGTTGTTCTACTCCGGTGCCCATTTGTGCAAGAAATAATGGACGGAAAGGCACATGAAGTCTTCCTCCACCAGTAAAGCTGGAACATCGCCATATGACCTATAATGTGTTGGTGTGACGTAAAATCCAATTAAACAAAGCAGGGCAAATCCATTACACAAATTCAGCTTGTTTAGTGTAAACATCTATGTTCCACAAGCTCTATGCCTCATTTATGGACACAATATACTTCTTGTCAGTTAGACAGGAATTTAACATTGACCCCTATTCAAAATGACTGACCATCAAGGTCAAATTTTCAAAATTAACGAAATTTCCCAATAACTTACTTATAAACATATATGAGGCTGGAGGTATCTTGTGTTACAAACACATCTTGTTTATTTTGCTTGTAGTTATTTCAGTCATTTAAATTAAAGATTTTTAACGAGGTTGATGTAATTTTATGTGCAATATTCTGTTGTTGTTTTGTTTGTTTTTTTTCTCTTCTTTTTTGAACCCTCTTTATTCAGAGACAATTCAGTTATGAACAAATACAAACTACATACATGTATAATATAAGAAATGTTTATGAAGCAAGTATATTGTTGTAATGTTTTGAAAATGATGGCACGCCAATTTAGTAGTATTTAATGATAAGTTAGCCTTATGAGCTTTAGGAACTTCGGTTTATTTCAACTTAATCCTATTGTAGGGAAATAGGGTATCTTAACTTGAAATAAAAATTCATGTACTTCAAAGTTAATTCTACGAAATTTCTTAAATGTTTTAGTGTTTGAAGTTTATCCAATCATGAAAAGATGTGGAAAAGAGAATTAAATATTGACATATTGTAAAAATATTGATAAAGAATGACATTTATGTATTTAAAGTTTGTTTTACGATTGTTTTATCATATTAATATTAAATAGAGGATATTTGTTTGTTTTGCATGTAAGATTGAAATATAATTTCACTGAGTGAACACCAGATGCAATATTTTCACGAGTGGCGTAGCCACGAGTGAAAATATAATAGCTGGTGTTCACGAATGAAATATATTTCAATCTTATATGTAAAACAAATAAATTTTCTTTTTATTTCATGCGTTTTAAGTGATTTTAAGTATTTTTTACTGATTTTGCCGCGTAACGTCGCGCATTCTCTTTCGTGACGTCATCACATCATGACGTCACATCAACAAGTTTGAAATATAGTTCTGTTCAATTTCTTTAATTTTGTTACATTTTTAACATAATGTATGGTGACCTCAACTTTCTTTTCCGAAAGAAGCAAAATTTACGCATGACGGCATTTATTTTTGCCTGTTATTCCATTCAGTTTTGATTTTCTTTTCATCCGCATTCAGATATAGTCCGGCTACAGTGAAAATTATATTTTATAAATTTCACTAGTGGTTTATCAGAATATAATCATCTGATATATTACAATAAAACACTGGAAAGCATGAAATAAGAAGGAATTATAACAAGACAACGTTATTACTAGTATTGCATTTAATGTTAATTTCACCAGAGTGACGTTTAGAAAAAAAACATGCCAAAAACAAGGTTATTTATGCATTTAATAATAATTTCATCAGACTGAAACTTAGAAGAACATATGCCAAAAACAATGCCATTTTATGTATAAATGTTTGAAGTTTAAGCCGGTGCTATGGGGGCATGGACGGTTACTTGCACTTTGGAAGTACCGTCCATGAAAAGGCTCAATTAAACCAAGCCTGAAACATTTTCTATTTTGTTGATATGGATTCTGATTTCTCTATTTTGTATTCAGAGTTATCATGTGTTATTATTTGACATTTTGTAAATTTTTTACAATATATTTTGTTTATTACAATTATTTTCATATGGACAAAATTGCCACTTGGATAAATTTCCGATTTTCAGGACAGTCCTGAACATATGGGACAAATCCATTATTGTCATAAAAAATCATGTTTAATCAATATTAAACCTCATCCTGGTTGAACCGGAAGTGACCCAGCTTGAACCGGAAGTGATTGTTATTCACCTTTAATATAGAGCCGGGCCAGTCTGAACTTCCATGTTGGTAGCTCAAGTATTGAAATCCTTTAAATTTTGAATTGACTGCTCCAAATTTAAAGTCGCGCAAACCATTACACAAATTTTGCAGATTAATGGTTAATTAGAGATTATGATATACACCATTATATTGATGTACATGTAAAATAGATGTTTTGTCGCCAGTATTATAAAGTTTATTTAGTTAATTTATTGTTCAAAGTTAGAATAGAATTGCTTTAGTATCAATTATCATTTGCTGTTTGTTATTGTTCTATATACATTTTTATGTTTTATATACCTATCAGTTAAGAGTTGTTCACGCGAATACTTTGATCTGTTCATTAAAAGTTCAACAGTTCTATATATAACTCTTGTGTTTCTTGTCAATATAAAAAAGACTGAGGGACGGTGGACCTACTCGAGTGCCCACTGTACCATGAAATAATACACTTGAGTGGAAAGTCGCCATGTAGCGGTTCCATTGCCGCTGTAACATTTAAGCCAAAATGAAACCCCTGACACCAAGTTAAACCTGGACAGAATAACATATTTTTCTGAGACAGAAATCTATTGCAATTATTTTATGAATATGTAGATTGTTTTCCGATAATTAAAGATCATAAGCCAGAATTTATTCATTGCAATATTTTAAGAAGCAAACCAATTCGGAAATGCCAATACATGTACCATTAATGCCCGATATGTTTCTGACCTTTCCGCAATGGGGTTACAGGGACTCAACTGAGGTCAAAAGGCCTAACACCACAGGTACGAGTATCGGACATGGGAGGAAAAAATATGACCAGTTTGATAAAAAACCTGTGTTCAAAAAGTGTCAAAAAAATGTAAACTATGACCACCTTTAAAAATATACTATAAGTTAAGACTTAACTTATAGTATAAAGGTTTTTTTTTAACACTTTTAAGATGAACCAGGTACGTATATTAATATACGTACCTGGATGAACACAGGTTGTTTTTTTATCAATATGGTCATATTTTTTCTTCCTAGGTCCGATACTCGTGCCTGTGCCTAAAACAATAAGTTTGAAATCCTTACAAAGATTGATAATGTGCAAAAGATAATTATAAAGAAATATTTATTAAGGTAAATTGAAAACCAATTTTCTGGCGCGATTCTTTCATTTGAGTCATTTTCCCACCCTAAATATTATTCTGGAGAGAGAAAAAACTGAGATAGTGATCTGAAATATTGCATATACAATTGACTGGTTCAGTCCGGTACCAAGTAGTGGAAAAACACAGTCACATCATGTGTTATCACCTGTCATGCTTATCATTCAATGTTTGAGGAATTTAAACTGGGAAATAAATATAACTTACAAAATCTTTTAACAGTACAGTTTCTGTTCAGAACAACTCGGTTTTCTACTTCACAATATCACATGATGAGCTATTTTTATTCCACAACACTTATTTTATATAGACTAAGTGTAAGTCTGTTATTAGATCTTATTCCCTGCGGTCCGGAGAACAAAAACCTATTACGTGATATTTCTAATTTTCTATAATTATTTTACCGTTTAAGGTGGAAAAACTTGAATGATTTATTTGAAAATTATCATTGTTTCTTTAATATATGTATCTCAAATTTTACAAACAATAAATTGTTTATACTGAAAATATACAAAATTAAAATATTCGTAGTGGCATCTGCCATAATAAATAGAAATATTTTCTGCGTAAACTTGTGTGTTTTTTTTATTTTTTATTTTTATTTTTTTGCTTTTAATTATTCATAATATGGTAGGCCTATTTAATCATTTTCTTAAAAAGAAATAATTGTTTTATGTTCGACCTTCTCCGGTCATCAACGGTCACCAGTTTCGAAAGACCTTCTTCTATATTGATCGATTATTGTCAACTATATTCCTGATATAAACGTTTATTTATTCCCCTCTGCAAAAAACGGTGTTGAAAATAGTTAAATGAAATATCTTTATATCATGAAAAATGTTCCCCGCAGGAAACCATTTTACTTGTAACATAATAGATAACATTTATTCTATGCTTTATGTGCAACTGCTTTTAGCGCTCTTTGAAAAAGACTTTAAACAGCTTTACAATAAAACATAGCTTGCGAAAGGAAATGCCAATGTTAAATTAGACGGACAAGCTTAATCACTGTAAATGTGGCATATATAACGTTTTATTTTAGAGAAAAAAAACAATGTCAGGACAATGGTGAAAAGATGCCAATTGGATACATGACAAACCATTGTAATATTAGTATTACGTAAAAAAAACAACTGGCGTCACAAAAATGCTAAAAATTTGTTGACCTCAACTTAAAAATTGAATGCAATTGGAATCACTTGGCTTTCTTCACTTGGATGCTTCTGTTAACGTCGCCTTGCCTTGTTGACATTTTGTTCTCTTTTTTCTTTATAATTGCTTGCAAGGGAAAAGTAGTAGAAAGTGAATGACGTAAATATAGGTTATAGGTTTTATACCCAATTGAGATCTTTTCGCTTCATGCGTTAAAAATATTTCACAAATTCAGTTTTTTGAACGATGGGACAGATTTTCAAAGACAACTGCCGTAGAAGCCGTTTGTGTGACATCGAGTTGCACATGGGCAGTATTGTTCCGGGGTGTTGAAATAGCAGAATTCTCCCGTCCTTCTCAATGGTTTGCATTCTAACTGGTAAACTGGCCTATCACCAACGTAGTCAGAACTGTATGTCATGTACTGAAAAGAAAAGTAAATTCCTGCATTAAGGTGATTAAAACATTTTTTTCTGAGATTATTAATACGCGGTAAATGAACTGTTAGAAAAGACGTAGTCCTTAGGATGTCAAAGAACAGTAATTAGGTTTAAACAAGGACTCTCTAAGTGTTTTCGAGAAATCACAGTGCTTGCAGAAACGTCTTTTTGTATCGTATGCAATTAATTACACGAATTTTTTGTGTGTGAAACGGGCTGACAAATGCCTTGGTTATCTTTAAAACAAGCAGTTTTCTATTCTTGCTTAAATTATGTCAATGTTTATCTAAATCATGTTTATTCGGTTCGAGTCTATTCTGTACTTCTTTCTCCAACATGTTTCACTCCAGTTATTCAACTTATATCACACTGCCAGCGTTGTCAATACGTAGATTGTCACAAGGCCAACATGAGATAAGTACAAGTCTGTTGTGATTCGTTCACATTTTGTAATTACTTTTGACAAAGAACTCGATCTAAGAAGTTCAGCAATCGATACATATATCATTGAACTAAAATTCATCTGAGTATTGCAAAATTGACCCTTAATATGTACTCTGAAAGTTCACTGTTCTAAACATGACATGACGTCTGTAATTAGGGCGTGACACACTTAGACCAACCTTTTTTGTGCAGCAATATGCATATGGACAGGAAGATGTGATTCCAACGGTGCAATTGTCTATAAGTCTTACAAGTTGGCCATTTATCGTAGCAAGTTGACTGGCGGAAGTCAGCGGGGTTGTTAGTGTCACTGTCACGGCTGCGGTGACGTTGTTACTCGCATTTGGCTTAACCGTCTGGGAATAAAGATCATAAGAGGCATGTGAGTTTTTTTTCTGTTGGGCTAGCTGATTAAGTCGAGTATGTTTAGTTACAAGTAAAATGAGCAACAAATGCATAAACATATAGTATAAGTTTTATATTGTCTATTGGCATAATAGTTTAAAACATGTCATTGTATACTGCACTTTAAATGATGCATCAAGCAAATTTTTTTGCCCAAAAGATGCATACATATACAAATGATGCTTTCATGGTTTAAAACTTATACAATCATGCATTAATTTATCATAGACGTAAATAACCAATCAGTAAAGAATTTTAAAATCCAGCGTCTATAAATGCAATGAGAATATGTTGGAATAAATAAAACTGGAAATACTAACCGACCCATAAACTAGCACGAAACCTGTTAAAAACAAAAGACCACTGCGTAGCTCCATATTTTCATTAAAACAAAATACCCGCTCTCGACACCCTACAGTGTGGAGACCGCTGTACTTTTATTCCAATATCTGTTGTATACGTAATGTATCAAGTTTTTATCAAATTTTTATCCAGATCACACCAGACATCTTTATTTAGAGTCTTATCAGTTTGTAGGACACGCCTCAATGTAGGACTTAACAAAAACCAAACAAAAAAATTGGTGAGAACGTCTACAGGTTCTAATGACAGACACTGCCGCATTTTGATAACCTGAATCATATTTTAATCAGTTAGAACAAACCACACAAACATTGTTTTAATACACCACATGAAACAAAGCGACGCCACTGTAACGTGACAACACAATTTCTGAGCATCGGAAATGTCAGGGGGAACAATTACAACAACAAAAGCACAACAAATAAATTATGAAATGAAAAATTGGTTTATGACATTCTGACTAAATGACGTCTTTTTAAAATTGTTAATGTTTTAAATTAGTTTTCAGTTTTGTCTACAAATCTTCTGAAGGCCCATTATGCCTCATACAGAATAACTGTTTTCATATGTTTTAAATGTTGAAAAATGGTTTTTAAAAGAGCATGTAAGATGCCATAAAATGAAGTGCTGAGAGTGAAACTATTTGTCATATAAGTACCAAAATGTAAACAAAGTGATATTTTGACTTCCATACAAAATACTGAATCTCAATAAATGTATTAAGTGCCAAAAAGAAACAGGATAATAAATTGTTTAGGTAATTGGCCAATGAGTAACTTTTTGGAAACTATAACAGGTCGCCAAAATAATAAACTTTTGAAAATAAAAAAAAACATTTCTTGGGTATATAATCGGCGTGTGAGCTTCCATGAGTCCTGTTACTTATCGTCTAAAGAAATACAAAATGACCTCTTGAAGTAACATTGAACATTTCATTTACTAGCAAATTCAGGTAAGTTTTCTAAAACAAGTCCCTCAACTTCTATCACAAGTAGTTTAATATTAACCATACAAAGAAATGAGACTTACAGAAAGATTATTAATTTAAATGTTTTTCAAACAAGTGCGAAACAAATGCAAATACAAAATGTAGCTCATATAAAGTGAAAGTTGTACAAACGTTCAACACCAAACCAAATAAATATCCATTAAACTCCTTCAAAACACAATAAGTAATGTCCTTTCCTATGATTAACGATTATTTGTGTTTCTTCTCTTTCTTGGAGTACTTTGCGACTTCAGCTCTTCAATTTCCTCTAAGAGTTGTCTTTCCCTTTCCCGCAACTTTTTTGTCTCCTCATCACCAACATTCTTGGCTGACCTTATTTGACCAAGCTGACCTTTGACTTTATCAAGTTCTTTTCGAAGCTTGTCAATGTTACTTTGTAAGGAACTCTCAAGTTCTAAACGCTTGCTTTCTTCAATGGTGGCCCTGTCACGCTCTCGTTTTAGTTCGTCTGCTTTCTTTCGCAATTTTGTTTTCATTGAGTGAATTTCAGCTTCAAGTTTTCGAATTTCCTTTTCCTTTTGTTCCATACTGCCCATTGCCTGTTTTGGATAAAAAAATAAATAGACCTTTTTGTCTCCTAGTAAACATTTTACGGGCATATGCAATATTCAATTACCATTTTCTTTCATTTTAGACTACTATATAGCTGATGTTTTGCTTTAATTAGGGCGCAATGTAAAAACAGTGTAAAGCAATGGCACCCCAGTAGTTTTGATAAACGTTATCAAAACATAACTATCAATGACATCACACTGACACGTGGAAAGCATGGCAAAGACGACGGTTCTTTATAATTATACAGATACTACCGATGAAGACGTATACTTTTATACAAGAATAGCGCTAATGCAGAACCTTTTCCCATGCATCAACGTCTGCAGAAGCCCTTAAGCTGCGGTCTCACTTATTCCCGGCAGAGCCCAGGACTACCCCGTTAAGTTACTGGGATGATCCAGGACGATCCGGGGTGAAATTATTGTTGCGGTATCACCCCGGCAGCACTACGGTAATTCCCAACTAACCACCCAGATCGATGCGCTCCGGACCATTCAGGCAGAACCCAGGTGAAGCTACGGTTCATGCGGGTGCTCCCCCGGTCGTTCCCGGATGACACCGGAAGAGCCCATGTTGACCCAGGCAGAGCCCCGGCCGATCCAGGCAGAGCCCCGGCAGAGCGCAGGGCGATCTAGGCAGTGCTCCGGTAGAATCCCTGTTGATTGAAAACGCGCGAAAATGATTACATTGATATATAATTTTTATTTAATATAATATCTATTTTTCCAGAACAGTAATTCATGATGATTTTCTGAAAAATCCTTACGCAAGACTGGATAGAAGGGAAATGGGAAGGGTTTTAACACAAACAAATGCAATCATGGCAAATTGTCATGATTCTTTTGAAATGAACCGGGCTTTACCGGGATCAACCTTAGCTCCATCGTCATCCTCCGGGGCTCTGCCTGCATCCTCTGGGATGCCGGATGTTCCCGTATCATCCCGGACGTTGCCGGCAGAGTTACGGATGCACTCCAGCAAACTCCACACAGCGGCTACGTCACGCTTTAATTGCTACAACCGCTGCGGGGAGTTTGGTACTCCGGTTGTTTCCGGATCACCCCGGACGTCTACCCGGGTTCTGCCGAGATGTAAGTGAAACTGTAGCTTAAGATTTATTAAATCCCTCACCCTATGGGCTCGTTTTGTGCTTCTACAGATGTTCATACAAAAGGAGGATTTTAGCCTCTAATTAGATCATGATAATGGCAGTAAAAGCAGTGAAAGATAATAAGAATAGAAACAAAGAAAAACAATCCTACATAATTGTACAGACACATCCGCCAGACAATAATATTCGCCAAACATGATTTAACTACATGTACAAGGCTAAAAGGTCACAAAAATAAGTACAAGTCTATGTAACGTCAGTGCAAGTAAGGTGGGCGGCTCGGCTATCTTTTGCCCTTTGGGGAATAATTTATCTAACATTAATAGTACATTGTATTTGTTTTCCTCTTTTGAATGAAAGAACAGTATAAGTCACTGATTCATAACACTAACCTGTTGAGATTTAACGTTTTGCTGTTTCTCCTTGTCCAACTTTGATTGTATTATTTTCTTTTCTAACCTAAGCTGGTGCAATTCTTTCTCTTTTCTGTTCAGTTCGTCTTGTATTTCTTTCACCTACAATGTATCAAAAATGACCAATAAATTTATGTCTTATCACCTATAAGACTGCTTTCAGCGGTTATCATTTGTCAGGAAAGACAGCCTAAATGTATGAAATCTGATCAGACTTTGTATTATCGTTAAAATTCCTGAATCAGTTAAATCAATCATTTGGACAATTAAAATTTGAAGAGTGGTTTTTGTTCATCTATTATAACGTTTGCTGCAATTGTTTTCTGTATGAAAGCGTATTTGATGTTTTTTGGTTTATCTTTTGATTATATCATAATCTATTCTTAGACAATAAAGAGTCTGGCTCTGCCAGACATTATCAATCTAAGTTTTGTGTTTGTATTAACTCCAAATTAACAAGGAGGAACATGTACCGTGGTAATAGTGAAACATAAATACAATGTAGTTCAGTATGGTAAGAATATATTCAATCAGCCCTTGATCTGGAAAATTATTTTTATATCTAGATCACACCGTACAATCAAATGGGCAGACAGCTGTTCCAGCGTCGACAGCTGTACCAGTATATACATGTCGGCGCGGGGAATACAATAGACGTACGGTAAGTATTCATCTATTTTAACATATCCCAACTGTGTTCGAGTAAATTAATGTTATGGATTCATAATCAACATCCAAAGGAGCATGCTAACTACGTGTCGAAGGCGAAGACACAATAAGTGAACATAAGTTATCGTTTCTTCGCCTTCGACATTTAAGGGCGCCAACACGAAGACACTAAATGGCAGAAAAAAGCCACTATAACATAGTGTTTTTATGGAATACAGGGGGATTTACTTTAGATGCAAAACGTTTTTCGTATTTGATATTTTTTTTATTATAATGCTGTTTTCCAATAAAAAAAAGTTAAAAAACCCATCAGTTTTAAGTATGACTTATTTATATTACCCTGTTAAGTATGCTCTTGTATGGATTATTATAAAGCTATTGCACTTAAATTAATTATTGATCTTCATGTTATCTATAAATTTGCTTAAAATGTTTTAATTATCATTATACTCTGGGACCAAAAATAAATTTAAAGAATATTTTTGGTCCCAGTTATACTAAAACCTTAATCGATTTAATGACTGCGGTGCTGTGCATAACGTACATCCTTTTAATTCTTGTCGTAAAAAATGTGGAGGTACTCTTTATTTTCTTTCAAAATAATAATTATGAATATACTTCATCGAAAATTTTACAGAAAACGCATAAGAAATTTTATAAACATACTTTCATCATTTTTGAATCCAATGCCCTCTCAGCAGCTCTGCCTGCCATCCGCTCAAACTCCGGTCGTAACTGGTCAATGGCAAGCTTCACCATCTGCTTGGTAAAGCTACTCACTAACCTGCAAAATAATGAATTTACATACCCATAACATGCCTCATTTACATATTTGGTTTCTCTGTTTATTACGTCATCATTTGTTCATATTGAATACAAAACTGCATACTTTTCATGTTATAATATATAGTGTGTAGAATTATTTCAGATCGGAATTTAATTTTGAAAAGGCAAAATTAAAAAAAAAACAAGCAATTAACATAGTATTGCAAGCAATCCATAAGTCCCCTACCGGTTAGAACCCCAGCAGCATTCTGATGTGCCATTGGCCATTCAATTTTACCAGTGGATGAATGACATGAATGAACTTAAACCTTTTCAGTTCTAAGTTTGTCTATATCACAGTAATGTGTTAAGTTTCCCTGCCTAGTAAGGAAATTCTGTTTAAACAACCTTGTCATATTATTATGATGTGGGATTTTAAAGTAAATCCTGTAAGGAATGAAGAAGTTAGAGTGAAAAATACCTATTTCTCGAAAAAATCTAAGTTAAAGGGGGAGATAATTCTGGAAATAGTCTTGCTAGAGTATTTAACCTTCTCAAAAATGTTGAGTGATAATAAGAAACATATATATGAAGTTTGAAGTAGATACATTAGGAAATAAAGAAGTTATTTAAAAAAGACAACATTTTTTTCATAAAAATTCTAAGTTCAAGGGAGGTAATACTGATAATTTTTGTGCTAAAGTTGCAAACCTTGTCACATATGATGTGGTTGATGGCCAGAAACTTATATTTAAAGTCTGAAGTAAACACCTTAAGAAATAAAGAACTCATAGTGTAAAAGCTGAAAAATTTAAATCAGAAATCTTGAAATTCAGGCTATTTGTTGCCATAGCAACCAGAATTTTCAACATAGGAAGAAAAGAAAAAAATGTGCATAATCTCCAGACTGCCATCTACCCATATGTGAAGTTTCATAAAAATATTTTCAGTACTTTTTGAGTTATCACTGGATCCAGGTTATGTGTTAAATTTGACATATTTTCAGACTATTTGTTGCCATAGCAACCAGAATTTTCAACATAGGAAGAAAAAAAAAGACGTGCATAATGTCCATACTGCCATCTATCCATATATCAAGTTTCATAAAAATATTTTCAGTACTTTTTGCGTTATCGCGGGATCCATTTTTGTGGACTGACGGACTGACGGGCTGACAGACAGACAGACTGACGGACAGACAAACAGACAGACAGACAGACGGACAGACAGACGGAGGGTAAACCTAAAGTCCCCTCCGGTTAAACCGGTAGGGGACTAAAAAGAAATAATTTATAATAATATATAAACTGAGGAAAGACCCTTAAGTTTATTTATTTATCAGGAGGCAGCTTTCAAATAATGTACATTCTGGCACGTGCATTTGAATACTTTTGTCCTATTATTGTACCGGAAATAAATTTTAGATTACATTCAAAACATCATGTGAAACTTGTTTGGGAAAATTAATAATTGTATGTATACTTGACATTATTATGATTAGATTTAATCAAGTATCTCACCTTAAAACACTTGAGGAAAAAATAACTGGTGCCATTTCGTTTCAATGCATCTTGTATTTGTTTCTTTTGACAGGCAAGAGAACAGTTCACAACCTCTTAAGAATAAGAGGATTAAAGTAGTTATTTTAAATTTATGTATAAACAATACATTCTTTCGATCGAGAGAAAATTATACATCATAAATTGATAGAATAGTGAACGAATGGGATAAAATTTTGTTCTTAAGAATAAAGGAATCGGATTGTTTCAAGTTGTTTTCAAATTATTCTAAACTGATATGGGCAAATATTTTGTACCAGCTTCAAGAAAGTTTCACAACAATTATTTACATATAAATATGCAGTTGTTTGGTAAAGTAACAGTCATTCTCCTCAGTGTATTTGCTTCGACGAGTTCAGCAAAAAAAATTGATCGGCTAAAGTTAAAGGTCAAACATTTAGAAACTAGACTTAATACCGAGTTTACGTTTAGAGACGAAGATATTGCTGAAATTATAGGACGACTAGATGACATAGATAAAGTGCTAAATGCTACAATAGGAAAAGAACAGCCCATTCCTTCAGTTGCATCAAAAGCTGATGACATTGATTTTGAAACTGTGGATACATTGAAAGAGGATTTCACTAGACTTAGGGCAGCCTTCACTGATGAAAAAACTGAGATTGTAAGATTACGACGGGAAATTCCAAAGATTGAAAACAATTTGATATCCCTAAACAAAGATGTTAAAGATTATTGCGAAGTTGCTGTAAATAACACTGATCAATTATTAACTAATTTTGAAAAGGTCAAAGATGTGCACAAAGACATAATAACACCTGAAATTAAAGCGTTGAAAAGTATGGCTGAACAGGTACAACTAAACACTGAAAATGATATGAAAATATCTAAACAAATTGATAACATTGAAACACTTGTTACTTTTCTATTAATACATAGTGGCCACCCATTCTCGAGTTCCCCCTGTCTTTCGTTAAAAAAAATAAATCAGATGGAAAATAAAATTTACAATCATCCAAAAGGTTTTGAAATTTACTGTGACCAAACTACTGACGGTGGGGGCTGGATAGTATTTCAAAGAAGACTAAATGGTAAAACAGACTTTTATCGAAACTGGGCTGATTATAAAAACGGCTTTGGTGATCTGAATGGTGAGTTCTGGCTTGGCAATGAACATTTGAGTCTACTAACATCAGATGGCGGACATGAACTGAGAATAGATATGGAAGATTTTGAGGGAAACAGTGCATATGCAAAGTATAGCAAGTTCAAGGTATATCCGGAAGAAGACAATTACAAACTGGAGGTGAGTGGATACAGTGGAACTGCTGGAGATTCTCTTGAGTGGCATAATGGAATGATGTTCTCAACATATGATAGAGATCAGGACGCATCACACTTGGGGAATTGTGCGAAAAGTAGTCATGGTGCGTGGTGGTATAGTAATTGCCACCATTCCAATCTAAATGGGCAGTATTATAACCAGCCTGGCAAAATAGATATTACTGGAATTAACTGGTGGTATTGGAAGAAAAATAGATACAGTTTGAAAAAAGTAGAAATGAAATTCCGTTAAGATGATAAACTGAGATATTACTAGCACAGTTATAAAGTTTATAAAACAATATGTTTGTAGTATTTTGTTATGTAAACTTTTAAGACAATTTTCTTGCGATAGCTGATCAAGAAAAAAGACTGCACACACGCATAGTGGAATTACTTTCAGGTTGACTTACATTCCATAGTTACGTTGTTGATTGCAAATGTTACCTGGCATTAAATAATGCCTCATACATACATGTATATGTTTTGATTCCAATTCTTAAAACTTTGTGAATATTGCGCAGACTGTTACGCTATCTATATGTGTTATCTTAAATTTCTTTTAAAGTAGCAATAAGGCAGGCAAAATGTGACTGTAGAATTTATATATATTTATATATTTTTTTTTATAAATATATTTTTTTATTTTTTTTTGAACCAGGTTAAAGCCCCTTTATTTCAAGAAAAGTATACATGAAAACATGAAACATGAAAAGACTACAATACAAACAAGATAAATATAGAATTTACATTGATAGATAATTGATAATAAATATGTGTCTTTTTGAAGATATAAGATATTTTATAAAGTTAAGGGGTTCATTTATTTATATAACAAGCAATTATCATAGTATTGCAAGCAATTCATAAGTCCCCTACCGGTAAGAGCCCAAGCAACATTCTGAAGGGCCATTGGCCATTCACTTATGTTTCTATTTTAAGTAAATTTGTTGAAAAAGTTCTTTAAAAGTGATCACAGTGAACAGACAGACAGACAGACAGACTGAAGGACAGTCTAAAGTTATTTTTTAAACATCCCTGTTATCAAAATATAACATTTTAAAAGCAAAATTTAAAAAAAAAAGGAGATAACGATGTCATACATGATGTGAGTGTAACAAAGAACAATTAGTAATGAAGGTATGAATATTGAATATTTATTTTGAAATTGAAGTAAATGAAAGTTAAAAGAACAAATAGGAAAAATAAAAAGTTTAAGGAGGAGATAATTCTGGAAATATGGATGATAGATTTATAAACCTTGTCATATTATAATGATGAGGGAGTTTGATGAAAATTCTATCATGATTGTATAAGTTGGAGTAAAAATTACCTATTTCTCAAAAAAAACTCTAAGTTCAAAAGGGGCATAATTCTGGAAATAGTCTTGCTAGAGTATTGAACACTCACAAATGTTGAGTGATAATAAGAAACATTTATATGAAGTTTGAAGTAGATACGTTCAGAAAAAAAGAAGTTATTAAAAAAAACAATGTTTTTTTCCATGAAAATTTTAAGTTCAAGGGAGGTAATTCTGATAAATTTTGTGCTAGAATTGTAAACTTTGTCACATATGATGTGGTTGATGACTAGCAACTAATTTTTAAAGTTTGAAGAAAATACCTTAAGAAATAAAGAACTTATAGTGAAAAAACTTAAAAACTAGAATCAGAAATCTTGAAATTCAGTCTATTTGTTGCCATAGCAACCAGAATTTTCAACACAGGAAGATAAGAAAATGATGTGCATAATTTCCATACTGCCATCTACCCATATGTCAAGTTTCATAAAAATATTTTCAATACTTTTTGCGTTATCACTGGATCCAGGTTATGTGTAAAATCTGCCATATTTTCAGTCTATTTGTTGCCATAGCAACCAGAATTTTCAGCATAGGAAAAAAAGAAAAAGACGTGCATAATCTCCATACTGCCATCTATCCATATATCAAGTTTCATTAAAATATTTTCAGCACTTTTTGTGTTATCGCGGGATCCAGTTTTGTGGACGGACGGACTGACGGACGGACAGACAGACGGACTGACGGACGGACAGACGGACGGAGGGTAAACCTAAAGTCCCCTCCGGTAAACCGGTAGGGGACTAAAAAATGTATCGGAGACTTATACAACAAGAATATGAGTTGGTAGACACAGAAAGTTCGAAACCCATGCATTTAGGCTACTTAAGTAGTCTACGAATAAGAATTATAATAGTTTAAGAATTAATTAAATCAGAAATGAATCACTTACCCTAAACTTTTATGGAACTCTTCAAATTCTTTATCTTCCTCTTCCGTCAGGCCGTGCCTGGATACATGGTTACCTTAAATACAAAATAAATGTACAAATTTGTACACAAAACAACAAAGGGGTAAGGAAATTAACACTAACTGTAAATTCGCCCGATCTGGGCTTGGGGACATCAACGAAAATACAAGATTTACTATAGAAAATATTATATATGCTGTTGAGTCACCTTGTCCATAAAATACTTGTAAATAAAATTCATTATTTATGATGTCGTTAATTTCAACACATTAATGCACATTCCATCCCCTAAAAACAAATCAAACAAACAAAACCCCATCCGTTATATACAGTTTTATACATACTAGTGAATATGGCAGTAAATACAATGTATACTTTATGAATTTAGTTTTCTATTTCGTTTCAACAAGCAGCTCACTGCACCCCCACCCCTTTACCTTTGCCTGAATTAAAAACAAAGACATGTAATTTGATTTCCAATGATCATTACAATGCAAAAATATTTAAGAAGAATAAATATATAATACATGTACAATATAAAACATTACATTAATAAAAAACATAATTTCATGTATTTACCCAGACTCATTTCTTTGTCCGTATCGTCCATCGTTTCTGTAGCCATTACAAAAATAAAGCTTGAGATTTTTTTAACTTAAATACGGGTGTAAGTTATAATAAATCAATATAAAGTCAATGATTATATTTGATACGAAATTAACTTAAAACTGCGACGCGTAAATAAGTCAAAGCCATGCGTATTGTCTGTGTGATGTACTTCGTTACATACGTTTCAGTTGTATTATTTCAGAGCTATAGAAAGTTTCTTTCAAAGTTTGATTTGACAAAGGAGCAATTAATGGGTTTGTCATTAAAGAAATCTAGTATTGACGTTAAAACTACCTTCTAGTCAAGCTCTAGCTAGGCTAACCTGATTGTGTTTGTTGTTCAACCATTAATTTGTACACATGGAAGAAATAATTTAAAAAAAATCAAAGCTGTTTGCAGTTTAGTATGGCAGGGAGAAAATAGATATATAAAATCGTATGCAAAAATATATTTTAGTCTGTGATTATATAATTTCATTAGGAATGTTTAAGGGCATAAATAAGAGAGCAAGAATTTGCCAATTTCATTAATGTTTTTTTATTCTTATTTTCGACATTGCTTTATCTGACACATGTACCACGTCCCCTTCTCTCTTAAAAGTGCTTTTTTCCGTAAAATAAAATCACTTTTTGATAATACATGTATTGCTTTTTTCAAATTATTACTTTTTTCCCTTCTACGATATTGCATTTTCTTATAATGTTGCCTTTTCAAAATACATGAAAGCAATGGAAATTACAACATACAGTCACAAATGATTTTGATCTAACAGTAGCTGTGCCTAAATGACGTTCGTTGTGTAACTTACATTGAAACTGCAATGAAAGCTATCAGAAAACAAATAAACAAGGTGATCAATTAAAGAGAAGAAAAGGCATTTAAATTGATTTCGAAGTTATTAAATTGGTCTCTAAAAGATAGTATTGTAGTGCTTGCTATTAGTTTAAAATGTCATTATCGACTATAGATACTTAATTTGTAACTACATACAGTACACTTATCCGAACGATGTATATTTTGTAGGCCTACATGTGGGTAAAAAGTCCCTTTTATATTGTCTATGATGTATTTGCATGTTTAAATGGTATCATAACCTTTGATTCTCATTTTCATTTGACTGTTTTATCGAACAGTAAATAAATTAAACACACAAGCAGGCAGTTTAATATATCTATACATAAAATACGAGCATCGTAGAAATTAAGCTTCATTGTATTTGCCGCGAATATGACGCCAACATACTCGTACAATCCGACGTCATGAAGAATTTGTTGTCATTAACGTCAGTCGTTTTTACAGTAACTACTACGATCTTTATTATATAAGGGTTACCTTACGTGGATATAAAAAATCTTCATTTTGGGATCTGAGGGTCATCAAGAACTAAAATAAAAAGTTCTGTTGTTTACATAGAGGTAGGCATTTTGAATAAACTCCGAGTGAAGTTTGGTGCCAATTTATCATAATCACTTAAGTCCAATGTATTTTTGTTTAACGTTTAGTCTTTTGTTTCTATGTAAGTTTTCATTGCTTTATATACAAAGCTAGCTGTAGGAAGATATGATTAAATTTCAAGTTATGACAATTTGGAAAATGCCTAGTTATTCTTGGCTTATACAGAATTTATTTTAGTTCGATTGTGTATGAAGCTATAAGCTTATAGACACACTTTCGAATCCGTTCCTGGAACCAACCAGTACTGAGCAATGAGTGTAAAGTTTCTTGCTCAAGGAAGCAACGACTTGCCTCTTACGGGGTTTGAACCCACGCGGCTTAAAGGGACTGAGTTATTTTGACATGACAGGATCCGGGATTTGATGTAGGTCTGAACCAATAACTTGTGTGCAAACTTTTATCATGATGTGACAGACATTTGTGCCAAGTTATTTTAAAATCCTTCAGTGCATGATAGTTACAGTCCGAACAAGAATGTTGTGTAAGTGGGGACGCAAAGACAGACGGGCCGACGGACAGTACGAATTTGATATGCCGAGGCATAAACATATAATAAATAAATAAATTTCATTAACTACTATATCAATTGAGTCACTCTATTATACCAGGAATCGTTATCCATGTATCTTATGTTTATATGGCTTTTATATGGCTAATAAATACATTATTAAACGCACATAGTAGCCCCTACAGATTGGCACCAAAATATATCCTATAAACCACACTAATTTTGACCAGATCATTTAGAGGCCAGAATTTCATTTTGTCATTATGATATAATTACATCATGGTTGATGTTTCCATCACGTATTTAAATATTGTGACCTCAAAACTCAACAGTAAACACAGATTTTATCTGATATACTCTACTGACCAATTTTTCAAGGGCAAGTTATCCTATCTTTAGATTGGGTCTTGATTTCAAACTTTATGATAAATATATCACCGTTTAAAATCAATCATTGAATAGGACCCAAATTGGCCCATACTGCTCACCTGATCAAACAGAAACTTAAGACGTAATCTCCTACGGGCATGGAGAAATTTTACCAGAGTGGCACTCTTCCTAGAATGACAACTTCGTCAGTATGTCGGAAGTTACATGCAATGTTGTTCGGAAACCATTTTGGCATACAATGTCAAAGTGACCTTCACCTTTGACCCTAAAACCCCAAAATCAATTGGAGACATCTACTAGCCAAGAATAATGATGCATCAGTGAAGATATAAGGCCGAGGGCAAATGGGTTGTTGAGTTATTGGTCGAAAACCGTTTTGACATTAAAGGCCAATGTGATCTTTATCTTTCACCCCTTGACCCTAAAATCAGGTGGTGTCAACTACTGGCCAAGACCAATGCACCTGTGAAGCAATAAAGATGAGGCCCTTGGGTTATCTAGTTATTGGTCAGAAACCGTTTTGATATACGACCTTGATATTTGTCCCTGCAACCCCAAAATTATTCCGGGTCATCTATTGGCCAAGACCAAAGCACCAGTGAAATTTGGTTGTCAAGTTATTAGTCGGAAACTGTCTGGACAATAAAGGTCAATATGACCTTGACCTTTGACCACTTAACACCAAAATCAATTGGGGCCATCTAATGGTCAAGAGCAATGCACCTGTGAAGTTTGTGATCCAAAGGGCCAATTGGTTGTCGAGTTGTTTTGTGGGAAACCATTTTGACATACAAGGTCAGCATGACCTTGACCATTGATCCTCCAACTCCAAAATCCATAGTGGTCATCCACTAACAAAACAAAGTTGCAGGGCCTTGGGCCCATTGGTTCTTTTGTTTGAAACCGTTTTGACATACAATAGCAATGTGGCCTTGACCTTTGACCCCTAAATCTAAATCAATGGAGGTAATCTACTGGCCAAGACCAATACACCTGTGAAGTTTGAGGGGCCATGAGTTGTGGAGTAATTGGTCGGAAACCGTTTGGATATACAAAGTCAATATGGCCTAGACCTTTGACCCCTAAATCAAAAGAAGTCATTTACTGGCCAAGGCCAATACACCTATTATGAAATTTTAGGACATTTGGCCAATGCGTTCTAAAGTTATTTATTGGAAACAATGACTGATCATTCTGCAAAACAAAATGTCCTTCAAAAGGGGACATAACAAACTAAGAGTCCATTTCTATCAACCAGATGAATCATGATATCAAAATATGAGCATATATTTTATGCAGCTATTTAAAATGAGATAATTTATAACAAAGTCTGTCAACTAATAATAAAGTAATGATAAAAATCTTTATTATATAAAAAACAATATAAAAAATAATTTGAAACAACAGGAAAACAAAACCAAAAAGTAAAATATCAGTAACAGAAAATAATTCAGATAAATATGATTCTTATCAATTTAAATTAATATTTAATATTATCCAAGATATTGTCTTTTTAATAAAAATCAGAGAAGCATGGCATGGTTTATAATAGCATATGGTTGAAAACAATAGCGGAGGCTTGAAAACAATAGCGGAGGCTTGAAAACAATAGTTGAAGCTAACATTACTCTATTACAACCAATTTCCATTTTATAGAAAAAGAACTGTGAACTGTAGCATCATTTTTTATTGTGGGGGGAGGGGGGCTTGTTTACATCACACCAACATTGTTAAAAGGTCATATGGCGACCTTCCAGCTAAGAAGACCTCAGGTTCCTCTCTGTAAATTATTTCAGACACAAACGGCCATTTAAGTAGAACAGCCGTCATTCCATAAGCTTGCTGGATAGCTTCTTTACGTGAAAGAATCCATTTAGCCCTTAGCAGGATTCAAACCAATAACAATGAGGAACAAGTGATTTGCGGTCAATGACCTTAACCACTCAGCCAAAAACACCCTTAAAGTAGAATCTCTACAGTGAACAATAAATTCTTTATTGAATTTTAAAATTATAAATTTGTTTAGAAATCAATCTAGAAACTCTTCAGTGATGCTATAAATGATACACAAAATAAAAATTGTTTAGCATAGACAGCAGCATAGACAGTGCAACTTGTAGTGAATCAAAGTGCTGCAGCACTGAATGCGACGGACATGCAACCGGAGAGACATTAAGGCTTCTTTTAGAAAAAACAAAACAAAAACAAAACACAAAATAATTATATAACAGAGAAAATTCGTTCCATACAAGTTCGAGATTTGTAGAGCAATATATTTTGTGTCCCAAACTGATATAATTCAGATTTTCTACTTTCAAGCACTTAAATACAGAATGAAATTTATGCCTAAAAACTCTGGTCAAACTTGTAAATCAGTGTCCTTATCGATTTATTCCAAGAAATGATATGTAAATAGAAAAAAACTGTTAACTAACAAAATATTTCTAAAATAAAACCAGGCAAATAAACTTCAAACATAAATTAATACATTATACATTCGAGAATGCTATTTAGAATTGCTTCGTGTTATATCATAGTGGGCATATAGACAATAAAATATAAGTCATTTGTATTTTTTATGTCTCATTAAAAAAATTTTGGTTAAAATCATCAGCAATTAATAGTGTATTTTTTAGATTTTTTTTATTTACAAGGTAAAGATGTAGAGGCCAGAGCACATCGTTTTTATTTTAATTTAAATGTCACTTAAGCACTACAGTGTTTAGTTGTCCTTTTCAATTTCACACTAAATTCCATTTTCAACTTGTTTGCTTCTTACAATTGTATAGAATTTCTAAAAGTATTGGTTTATTACATGTATAATGTGTACTCCCTAATCGCCTGTCCAAAAATCAGAACAGGTGAAGCAGAATCTATTTTTAGAATAGCGAAGGTTAACTAATATCATGACCTAGAAAAATATGTAAACAAACCACAAGAATCGGAAGTAGAACTGATATTATAACTTCCTTACCATGAAAGACTACATGGCGGTCAAGTGTTGAAAATTAAACTCTCTTCTTACATGCATTTTCAAAAATAGATATTTCTACTAACCATTGTACTGTATCTAAGATATTAATAACTGCTGAATATTCAGCTAAACCCGCGGTATGAGTCATGAAAATAGTTCTTCTTTTATTAATGCGCGAGTTATCCTAGAGTCACGAAAAACTTTTGATTAACTTTCAATTTGTTAATAATAATGTTTTGTATAATGAAGAAATTTTTATTTCCTACTAATAATGTCTTGGAACTCAGAGGTTACACCTTTATTGTAGTATAATTTGCTGTCCTACTTTTTCGACAGCGGTAAATCGTTTCGGCAGTAATTTGCATATTGCGCAATAATACTACGGGACTACAACGTTTTTATCAATAATATACGTTCATATTTTAACTTGGATAACTTAATTTGAAATTGAAAAGGCTAAATATGGAAGATTTTAAGATATCCAGACAAAGTATGGGAGTTTTGAAGGATCAAATTCATGTACTATTTCTTGGGCTGTTAATCGGTTTAGGACACACTGCGCGATTGTAGTCAACGAATTCCCATGTAGATGACTTAGCTCTGAACGCGCCTGAGGGCGCGTCCGTCGCAAAAATTTGAAGAAAAGATAAAAAAAAAAAAAAAATTATTTAGTCCTCTCTTTAAAATATACATCAGATTTTCGAATCTTAATAAAATGTAATGAACCATTTTCAGGTACTGTATTTCCAACACTGGTTTTAGGAATAAATTTTATCACTCTATATTATCAAACTCATTGTATGTCTATTGTTACTCTTAATGGAATAAAAATATCACTTAACACAAGCATTAAATATAAAATCAATAATATAAATAAAATGCAAAGTAAAATATAAATTAACGCCAAAAAAGTAATACTGTTTAAATATCAGAATAAATGTTCCTACCACCAGTTGCCTTGCAAGAGACAGATTCCAATCATGTCCACATGTATAGAAATATCTGAACTCCATTAGATTTAGATTTTATATTTTTTCATCTTATTAAAGGCCCATTATGCCTCAGAAATGCAATCATTTTCATTACTCAGATACTTTTTTAATTTTGGATACTTGTTACATTAATCAAAAAGTTACACATTTTGCCATGAAACAAGTTGAACTATCTGTTGCTCCTTTTGCTGTTGGCAATTTGGTTTTATTATAATGAATATTTTGTATGAAAGTAAAATTACTATTTTGTTTACATTTTGCTGCCTTTATGACACATTACGTCTTGTTCACTGCTACTTTCTTAACTGGCTTATGACATTTGTTATTGTAATAAAAATAATTATGGAGGAATCTTTTTATAACACTTTGTAACGAAGTTCACTTGTTAGTTTATTTGGTAGTTTAAGACGGTCCATCCTGGTAAATGGAATTTTATTATTGATGAATATTTTTCGAATCATCACAAGACATGAAAGTTTAAGTGTTTGAGGAGTGCATGCAACTTTGAGTAGCCAATTTCTAAATTCCTCATTTCCATGAAATACATCATCATCTGAAGAACTACATTCATCATCGTCATCATCATCATCAATATCCCTTTCATTTACAATGATATCATTTCTCTTGTCACCATTTCCATTAACCTTTTCCAATTCATCATATATGTATTTTTCAGTTTTTAAATTGGCACCATTTTTTACCAGAAATTCTGCCATTTTATATTCTGTATTATACAAAGCAATGTATAAATTGGACAAGCTTTGATGAGTATCATAGTCAAAATAAGAAGCGTCAATGTCCGCACCATGAGACAGCAGTACCCTCATCATTTCAATCAAACCCTCCGAGCTTGCCTTGTGAATCCATCTTTGAACTTTTGGAATATCGTCAGGAACATTGCCACATATAAATACATCTGTGTCCTCACTGTTTTGAAAGACATTTATAACTTCAATGTCTTCAATGTAACAGTCCAATTCCTCTAAGACTGCATCAAAAAGAATATGATCCTCGTATTCGAAAGCTTTGTCTAGCACCGTTTTGTTTGCCTTGTTTGTGTAAATTTTTCCGCCAGCATTCATGATTGTCCTCACAATCTTATATATGTCCTTTGAGTTTGAATTCTTTCTACACTTGACAATCGCATGCAGACAAGTATTACCATCATCTGTTTGTGTATTGATATTAATGGACGAGCATTCTTGTAAAAGAAAGCTTGCAACAGATAAAGCACCTCCCCATAATGCAATGAAAAGGGGGCATTGACCCATATTGTCAGTGAAATTTACATCGGCACCAGAACAAATTAAGATCTTAGTAAGCTCTAAATTTGCGTTCTTCACAGCCATGCTCAAAGGAGAGACCACCTGGCTAGGTTCAATGTATCTGCATCGGTGATCAACAGATATCACATTTGGATCTGCCCCCTTGTTCAGAAGCATCTTCGGAATACCATTATCTTTGGTTTTCCAGTGTGGTGAGGAAGCTAAAGTCACCAATAATGGAGTGTTGCCTAAAAAATCTTTCAAATCAACCTTGGCCCCATATCTTAACAATAGTTCCACAACACCTTCATGTCCTAATTTACAGGCAATGTGCAAACTTGTTTCTTTTTCAATCAATGTGATGGAATTAAGATTAAGATCTAGTTCAGACACAGTTTGCTCTTTTTGACTGACACATTTCTCACTTGCTTTGCTCACTCTCCTTAGAACTTTCTCCATATTTGCAACATCACCGTTACGAGCACAAATATGCAGTGGTGTAAGACCTGCCTTGTTATATATCTTAATCAGGCATTTAGGACGACTGATTAACACCTCAACAACATCAGTCAAACCTTCCAATACAGCTAGATGAAGCGGAGCATTACCATTTGCATCCATATGATTAATGTTACACTCTATCTTTGACTTGCTCGATATCAACCATTCTACGACCTGTGCCATGTCTTGCTCTGTAGCGAAATGTAATGCGCTTTTTTTTGTAAGTGGGTCGACTTTGTTCAGGTTACACTTTGGGTGATTCAACAGCAATTTAACAATGTCCAGACAGGCTGTTTTCCCACATATTTGTCCAGGCGATTGTTTACGTAATGCAAGAAGTAACGGTGGTTCTCCATCGAAGTCCTGTGCATTTACATCACAACCAGAGTCTAACAAGAACTTGGTGATTTCAAAATTTCTTGTCTCTATGGCAGCACATAGAGCTGTTCCTCTCATACCTGCAAAAATAAATAAATAAATAAATAAATAAATAAATAAATAAATAAACAAGAGCTGTCACCCAAGTGACAAATGCCCCCGAAAAGGTTTCTTAAACATGCAGGTATTATGAAAAGAGAATGAAAGTAACTAATTGCTGAATATTGTTTTTTGTATTATTGTACCCGTAATCTCTAATTGTAATGGCGTGAACCTTCAAAATATAAGTGTGACGTTGACTTTAAAGAAGGGACGTGGTTCCTGGACGCGACAAAATGTTGTTATGAGATAGACATTTGTGCCAAGTTATGTCAAAATCCCTCAGTGCATGACAAAGTTACAGTCTGGACATGATTGTTGTGTAAGTGGGGACACATGGACGGACAGATGAACATGAGCATTAGCCATGACACATTGTCTTGATGTGGTAGACATTGAGTTATTTTAAAATTCTTCCATGCATGACAAACTTTCAGTCTGGATATGAATGAGTATCTTAAAACTCTTCTCAAGAGAATGAGTACCTCCAAACTATAAGTGTGACCTTGACCTTAACGGTAGGGACAAGGGCGACATGTTGACTTGACGGGAAGACATTAATGCCTAGTACATGTAAATTTAAAATCCTTCGATGCATGACAAAGTTAAAGTCGGACATAAATGTGTGTACCTATAAACTCTAATTATGATATAGTGAAACTTCAAAATGTTAGTGTGACCTTGACCTTTGAGGTAAAGAGGTAATTCTTGGACAGGACACATCGTCTTGATGTGGTAGACATTTATTTAAAAATCATTCGATGCATGACTAAGTTACATTCCGGACACGAATGTGTGTACCTATTTACTTTATTTGCGATAATGTGAAACTTCAAAATGATAGTGTGACCTTGACCTTTGAGGTAGGGACATGGTTCTTGGACGCGACACATCGTTTTGATGTGGTTGACATTTGTCACAAGTTATTTAGAAATTCCTTCAATGTATGAAAAAGTTACAGTCCAGACACGCATGAAGTAGGGACAAACAGACAGACAGACGGTAAATAAAAGCTGTAATATTCCTACCCAATACATGGTCCATATTGGCTCCTAGTTGAACCAGCATTTTAACCTCTGGCAGCAGGCCAACCTGAATTGCTCGATGAAGTTGATCTACTCTATTCATCTCTCAAATTTCCATTTGAATTCTAGACAAACACCTATATATATACACAAAGTTGCATGTAATTATAAATACCAGTACAAGAAAATTAATCAAAAAAAAAAGAAATTGCTCTCTTATTCAACATTATGATTCAGGTATTAATTTAATTAGATCTACTAAATATTTCAAATGAAATATGTGCATTTGTTTATTCAGTAAAAGATGTTTTAAATATAAAAAATTATAATATACAGTATACAATGAATACTCTTTTTGATTAATTAAATCTCAATAAAGGATCATCCATGTCTATTTTCTACATCATACTGCTTTAAAATTGTTTACGTTCACTCTAAGCAGGTATACATTGTATACATTATAAATACAGCTATGAGATACAAGAGAATCCGGGGACCAGTCCCTATAGCTCTTATTATATAGACCCCTTCCTTCTTTTTCATGCCCAGTGTATAGCACTGATACATGTGACGACTACCTGGATTTCTTACCAGTACACCTCTAGGTAGGTGGGAAACACTGAAGGTGTCTCTGAAAAATCCCAAGGGTGTAACCCAGGATCGAACCCGGGACCTCAGGAGTGATAGTCAGTGGTTTAACAATTTTTATACAATAGGAATTAGACCAATTTGATAGTGAACCCCTACCAAAAACATGTATCTTGAAAAGTGGAGATACCAAGAGACCAAATAAAACAATAGTAATTGTGTGAAAATTGCACAATTGGTTTGAATGAGTCTGTTCATGAGCGGCAATGAACTTTCACAGGCTTAAGCAGTATTTAATCTTCATCACTTTTAAAAGGACAAGCATCAATGGCCTCAAAGGAACATTAAACTGTTCAGTGGAGGCATGGCCGAGTGGTAAACGCGTTGGACTAGTAATCTCATGATCGCTAGCCGAATGGGTTAAATTCTGTATAAACAAAACTGTTAAACTGAGATTCAGTTGTCCAAGATATTAAACCAATGTTGCCTGTATATAAATCTGAAAACGAATAGCAAATGGAAAATATATAAAAAAAACCATTTCGGATAAAATATAATGCGTTAGATTATGTCCAAGAATACATTTAAAACAATGATTTTTGAATGAACCATCAATGTTTACATCGCGAAATCTTATGACAAAAATAGTTTTCTTCTGCATTTGATGTTAAAATACACTCAACTCGTTCACTTCAAATGGAAATTCATTTATTTACGATAGAACTGTTTACCTTTTTATATTCTGAAAGCGTGTTTTTGATGAAAAGATGTTAATTCCGTATAATTTAAAACAACCTTCATAAGATTTTGTTTACATCAAGGGAAATCACTTTGCAGTACTATACTACGCAGATATCTCCCCTTATCAGTACAATTTCTGCCAAGGGAGGTAATCAATGTGAAGAGTTTGCCAAAGTACATACAGTGGTTACTTCCCTTGAGCAGTACACCACAAGAAAGGGGATCACTGCATAGAACATTAAAGATTAGCTCCCTTGATCCAAATAAGATTTGCTCCTTTATTCACATGTTGGTCTTCCGGATCTGGGACAGGAGGATACACTTTTACATTTTTAGTCCCAGTCCGGATATACTAGTAGAACCTAACAACAATTTGGAAATCATACTTGATCTAAAATACATGCATGGCACCTACATGAATAACATCATCAGTGTTTTTTGCTTTTTTTTTAGTACAGAAGTATAAACTAAGCTATTAAGAATAAATGAACCATTTATTTCTATTCTTTTTACATATGAGCCATGTCATGACAAAACCAACATAATGGGTTTGCGACCAGCATGGATCCAGACCAGCCTGCACATCCGCGCAGTCTGATCAGGATCCATGCTGTTCGCTATCAGTTTCTTTACTTGTAAAAGACTTGGTAAGCGAACAGCATGGATCCTGATCAGACTGCGCGGATGTGCAGGCTGGTCTGGATCCATGCTGGTCACAAACCCATTATGTTGGTTTTGTCATGACGCAGCTCGTATATATTTTCTTCTTAAATCTTTCACCTGCTTAATTTTATATTGTTCCCTTTACTGTTGTAAAATTTAAATTGTCCATTGTTCTTTTACTGCTCTGAAATTTCAGTAAACCATAAGCAACTCAAGGGATTATACTATTTATAGTTTAAACATATTTTCTTCTTGCTTAATTATGAAACATTACTTAGTTCTTGCAATATGTGTCAAACACATTCAATGGCATTTCCTGGCACACTAACTACAGTAGCTGTCAGACACACTTTCTACTGTTTAGGTGTGCAAGGTGGCCCAACTATGTATTAGTCTGGAGATGTGCTATGTAAACCCTTCTCGCTACTATTAAAAACAATTGTCTGCTATACGCAATTACATGAAAGAAGTGTTCAAGAAAAGAGCAAAAAGTAAATACAAGACCTCAAAGTGCAAGGTTGCCCAACTATGTGTATAATATTAGTTACTTTAAGCGGGTTATTCATGCTGACTGTATTCAATAGTTAAAGCCTTAAGGCTTATCAGTGGATAGCAGTAAATTAATGGTATGTTTCAATGGTATGTTTAATGGTATGCTGTCCTTGTATGATTTTCTTGTATGTTTAATGGTGCATTTAGTGCAGTCTAAGCTGAAATCCTCTGTATATCTTTGTCCATATTCATCACAGAATTACATACAGTGAATTCACTTAATTTCGTGGACATGAAATTTCGTGGTATTGTCACAAAGAACATTTTTGAGGGTACTTAAATTTGTGGACTGTTTATTTTTCCAAAAAGTAAAATGTAAATAATGTGATGCAAAATAATCTTACAACAGACGAAATGAAATTTTGTCGAATCTTAAATTCATGGACTGACATATCCATGAAAATCACGAAAATGAGTGCCCCGCGAATAATTATGATTTTGCAGTACATGTATAACAATTTGTTTAAATATTCATTTTAGAACATTTTTAAGCATGTACACTGGACATGAATATCCTTCATCTTGCATAGATAAATAACCTGCTACTTCAAAAATATAAAACACTAAAGTTAACAATCATAAAATTTATTAAAATAACATTCAATTATCACAGAATATTTATGAACATAGTATCTGGGACATCAGCAACTACATGTAGATCAGTGGTCTTACGATAGCGTCCAAATGACAGCCATCAAATTCAATCAATAAACGAAGAGTTTAATAATATTTTATCTTAATTGCCGTTATTATAATAATTACATTGATAAATATTCGTTACATTATGTTGAAACCACTGAAGGACTGATAAAATCTTATGCCAGTTGGCTTATATATAAACATATATCTTTTATTCACGTTTTTTACTACAGACAAAAATGACCTTTTCAAAACAATCAACAATATAAGATGGCGGCATGTGTGCTCCATTGGACCTAATGATAACGCAGGACTAATCTCCAAGTTGCGTGTCCCATTCTATTATGTCATAGTTTGTACATGCATATCAATTATCTTTAAAACCTAATTAATTATGTTCCCTTCAAATCTGTGTACATACCAACACAAAATTGACTTTAGACAGCTTGATTGTTCAAGTGATAAAAAATGTTTCAAAGTTCTTTTCTCGAGGGTTGATTATAAAAAATCCTTTTCTTTTATTCATTAACAAAAATGACTTCGCAAAATCCAAGTTGTTCTAAACAATCCACTTTTGGAACATTTCGTCACAAAAGAACTTTTATTACATGTACAAATAAAATTACTCTATGAAAAAATAAAAAACCTTGATTTTCAGACAAAAATTGAGTAAAAAACAAGTTTTACTTTATTTAAACTATTGTTTCATGTAATAAACTCTGTTTTTCAAGACATATAAACAACATGTTTGACTGTATTTCATGAAAAAGAAAACAAACAGTCCTGCTGAATTTCATGACATAAAACCAGTCCTGTGTTTTTGTATTTTTCTGATCACTGATCCAATTTTAAAAGAATTTCTTTGTCACACATTAAGTATAGCACTTAAAATTTTTTCAAAATATGTATGTTTTAATGTAGTTCAGATTTCTCAACTCTCCGGATCGGTTGGTTCGGTAACTTCAGGGTTTGTGGATTCAGTTCGCATTTTCTCAAAGTACAAGTCTGAGGTATGAACCCTGCAGAAAACACATCTAGTGAGGTCTCCGGCGTCATCAAGCTGCGCCATCGAGAAAGGTTTACCACAATTCTCACACTGAAAAATTCAAGAATTGTTTAATAAGTATAAGTAACTTTTGTATACTGAAAATATGATAAAAAGTTACAGTACAGCAAATTTTAAATCAATCAATATAAGTAAAATGTATCAAATATACCATGTAAATGAAAAGTACTTTGCTGTCTAAAAATTAAAAAAATCTTCTTGGTTTTCAACCCTTGACCTGTTAGAACCTTTGCCACCAGTACAGAGCCAGGTCAGCCTGCAGAACTGTGCAGTCTGGCCAGGCTCTATACTGTTAGCAGCACAATATTTGTGTATTGAAAATAAAATCCCTTAAAGTTCAAATGTATTGTTCAAAATTCAAAAAAGGGCAAATTCATTACACAAATTCAGCCAGTAAGGGTTAATGTAAATAATAGATTATTATGGCCATCGTGTGGTGAGTGGTTGAGTTATACAGGTACAGGAGTTTGTGTAGCTTAAAAAAAACAATGAATAAGTCAAGACAAGTTTTCTGTTGTAAATGGGCTTTTATTAAAGCCATAAACAATTTAAACTACAAACATGTAATATTGACTAAATTAAAGAAACATATTAATGTAAACAATTTGTTTTATCTGGGAAAAGATTAGAAATTCCGCCATAATACAAACATGAAATATTGACTAACACAAAATAAAGCAACAGAAATGTAAACAATTCGACTTCTTACTGAGAATTTAGAAATTCCGATAACAACATGTAATGTTGACTAACAAAAGAAATATGAGCTATAAAGTGTGATATTGACTAGCATAAAAAACATAATAAAAATGGGAACAATAAGAAAATTCCACCCGAGGCGGTAAACAAAATAAACTACAAAAACTACAAACTATGTAATATTTACTCGTTTATGTAAAATTGACTAGATTAAAAGAAAACATGTAAATTATGGCCTAGAAATAAAAGTTTATTATGCAGAAACAGTATCACATAAATAAATGGATGTTTTGCTTAAAAATACTAATTAAAAGTTTTGCTTAATAATACTAAATAAAGACTTAATAATTATGTAAACATTAAAACTTAGAGCATGAAATTTTCAAACATATACAGTCAACAGTCAAAGTGGTGGAGGAAAGGGAGGTGGTGGAAAATCAATTTCTTTTGAAAAAATTGTAAAATTTTCAGCGAATGTAAAAAGTCATCCTCTTCGTTTCTTTGCTCAGCTAGAAAGAGAGTGCGCATGTGCGACCTGCGTAATGATAATGACGTATTATATGGCTTACTGCTGACTTACTGTAAACATTCTAAAGTAGTAGAGAATGGTGAAGTAGTTGTCTCGCTTTGACAATTAACAGAAAACCATCTTGTCCATAAAATTTTTTATACTAATAAAATACATTTAATTTTGATAAGAGACCTTCCAGCTAATAGAAAAATGAAGACTCAATTTTTAGGCAATAATTTTTATTTTCTTTGGTTTATTTTTATGACTTTATAAAGCTCATATAGTGACTTTCCAGCTTACTGGTGTGTAAGAAGATCTAAGGTTTCGGTCAACACCTTATTTAAAGCTAAGCAGCTCACTCATGTAAAAATTCCCCAAGTCTCTGGCGGGTTAAGGCATCAAAAAACTAAGATACGCATATTTCTACCTACCTTTGTTATTTTGACACCAATTGCTCTCTTCTTCTCTAGCACTATAGGAATCTTATCAGAATCTTCTATATTCCATAATCTAACTGTACAGTCCTGGAAAAGAGGTAAAGACAATTCAATATATCTACAAACAGTCCTCAGTAATCATTCTGAGCAAATGCAACATCAAAAGTGCAGGACTTTATATGTATAAATAGTCATAAATATAAGTTTCAGTTAAATAAAACTTTTAAAAACTTTTGAAATTAGTTCTAGGTTGACTACCATATTAGGGTATATTAATAAGCCAAATTGTTAAAACTAAAATATCAGGAAGCTATCACTTACCCTTGCACAAGACATGAGCCAACTTTGATCCTGACTGAAACAAACATCTTCAACCCAGTCTGTATGACCCTGAAATATACAGCAACACTTTTCTTCATTGTAATTCCTTTAACATATAACCTGCTAAATTTGTATAATGAACTTGCCCAGCTGCTATTTTTTGGAACTGTCTATAATAAATTTAGGGATATAAAGCCGTCCGGTGAGCTCAATAGGTAGAGCGTTGGAAGTGAATTGGGTGACTCACGTTTGATACCCAGACGGTGCGCACCAAGTCACTTTTGTTGTGATTGATCATGAAATCCTTTCTACGGTCATTAATACTGTACCTCTGCTCTGGTTTGTACTGAAGTTTCAGTTCCTTGCGAAATTGAAGGACAATTGTACTTGTAAACTGTTGGACAGCCTGCCAAGGAAAGATGCATTGGCTGAACTGTGCTCTGGTAAATTCAATGTAGCTTACTGCCATGATCCAAAGTGAAAACTAACAACACAACATCAGTTAACCAACAATATAGAGCTTGGGCAGACTACAAGGATGTGCAGACTAGTCTGGCTCTATACTGGTGACAAAGACTCATCACTTTTGGGGACAGCAAGTAAAGGATTAAAACAGCAAGGTAGAGATATACATGGTTTTCTGACAAATATATTTTTTAAGAAGGGAGATAATTACAATATCATTGACAGATTGTCTGTTGATAATGAGTTATCATTCTTGTTCACTTAAAACTGTTTTATCATTTTTTGTTCGATATTAACTGAAACTGACAATGTTTAGGTCATTTTTGGATTTTTCAACTTAAATGGTGGAAGAAGACCCAAAATGCCCCTTTTTGCATAATTCAGACAAAATTGGGTACCTGAGTATGATCAACTAGCTTCCATAAGTCAGCAAGATAGCTTCCCTACAAGCAAGTTGATAGTAGGTTTGAAAACACAGTGGTAAGGGCTCAGTGATATAAGATAAAAAGAGGATAATGAAAGAGCGTAAGTTTAATACTGAATTAATTGCACAAGTTGAATAAAATTATATTAGTGAGCCTCTTTCAAGCATGACATTATTTTATTCAACAAGTTCAATAAATTTAGTAACAAACTTGCACAAATTTATATTCTATTTATCACATACCAAATAAAACAACCGTTTTGAAGTGAAAAAAAAATACATTGATGCGACTATTATAGTATAACGCTAACATTTCGCACATCTTAACACTATGTTTGTGTAACGCAAATGATGTCATGTCAAAATATATGCACGGCCGAGCGATACCATTTTTATGGAGTCGCAAAAGCAGCAAGGGTATGTGATAAAAGACCTTAATCACTCGACATAGCACTATAGGTATATCAACCATAACAAGAAAAGATAAAGACTGTTGTAAGTGGAAATTCACCTGTAATTTGATTTTCTGTATCTCATTTTCTATGTCCCAAACTACAACAGTCTGGTCATAGGAGCCGGAAACCAGCATTAAACCTACAAATAAAAAAAAAATCTACCATCTAGGCTTTTGAAAATTAAATTATCAAGGATAAAAACACCCTCTCTTAAAATAAAAGGAAATTTTTTTGTCTTTAAAGTAGAATTTAGTTTTATGTTTATTTTGAATTTGAGTTTAATTTAAATTCTTTGATAATGATATAATGAAGAAACAAAACAAAACAAACAAGTGTTAATAAAATTACCTCAAACAGAAATGAAAATATGGTAACTAAAGCTAATATACTCCTCAGAAGTTTTACATATAAAACAGAAAAGCTATCATTTAAAATAGAAACCAAAATATGAAAAGCAAATTGAAAATCATTTCAAAATAAAATCATTTTTACCATCATTGCTAAATTTACAGCAGCTGACCGACCCCTCATGTCCAGCACATAATTTTGCTGGGCCCTTTGACCTATATGTTCCTGTGGCGATGTCCCAGATACAAATATTCTTGTCCCAGGAAGCTGAAGCAAACTTACGCTCATCTTTGGTGATATCACAGCTTGATACTATATTTATATGACCCCTGTAAAGATATTCAATATTGAATACAAAATTAAAAAAAAAAAAAAATCCCCCCCCCCCAAAAAAAAAATGAAATTACAAAACAAGAAAAAAGTCTAAAAATAAAATTTAAAATAAAAACAAAAAAAGCTTAAAGGAACTCTACTGCGGTCAAAAAGACTTAAACATAAAAATATGAATTTCTTACATAGATAATCTAGGGCACTGAAAACAGAAAGATATGCAAAAATAAATTAATAAGAAATATACTCAGAAATAAATTAAAAATCATATTTTTGTGCTATTCTTAGCCTGATTTAAGTTGCAATTCTTTTTAATTTTGAATAATTTTTTCACAATGATAATAATTATTCTAGAAAAACAAAGTTGGCGTATGATCTGAAAATTTGCACACAAGTAATTGGTGTAGACCTACATCAAATGGGACATTAATCTTGAAAAGTTATTTTCATTTCCGTCATGTCAAAAAGCCCTTTAAAAGTTTCAGTTATTTTGTGAAAAATTCCCTAGGAATGATTCGATAAAATTGACAGAAATGGAACTAAAATAGAAAATAACGATAAGAAAATAGCAACATACTGTAAATGTATAGTGCTTTTCCTGGTTTTTAAATCAAAGAATTTCGTCGTCCTGTCCATGGATGTTGTGATCACTTTATCATTATCTGGGGCAAACATTACACTTGTTATAGTGCTCTTGTGTAGATCTGGAAAAAAAGAATGTATCTAATGATTTTACAGTATATTTTTTATTGTCTTTTGATGTTTTTTTAATTGGGTTACAATGTCACGGTGTTAAGGACAATTTCCAGGTTCACAGAAGCCCTAAAGGCATCATTTAAAACCTGAGTTGGCAAATGAGTAGATTCATCAACCTTGACTAAGCAAGCTTGATAGGTAAATCATATGAAAGAATCCAAAGTCTGGTCAGACCCTACAGACTGCTGGCTTGATTATATTAATGATGAACAATTCTAAATTCAATGCTTGGTTTATACAGAATTTATTTTAGTTCAATTGTGTAGGAAGCTATAAGCTTATAGATACAATTTCGAATCTGTTCCTGGAACAAACCAGTACTGAGCAATGAGTGTAAAGTTTCTTGCTCAAGGAAACAACGACTTGCCCCTGATGGGATTTGAACCCATGCGGCTAGCAATCATTAGATTACTAGTATGACGTGTTAACCATTCGGCCATGCCACCACTCAATGCTTGACAAGAACATTATATACTTTATTATTTTTTGTTACAAATTTAGCATGGTAATTTAAAGTTTAATTTGCTTTTACTTTACCTGTAATACTGTGTATAACCTGGCCAGTGTGTGAGTCCCAAATCTTGAGACAATTATCTAGATCAGATCCCGAGGCGACCATACTTCCGTCACTAGAGATTTTACATGACATCACCATTCCATTATGATTGCCTGACCACTGAAGGAGTAAATATCGAAACTAAAGACTTTGATATGCACATTTTGATCTGCTGCCATGAAACAAAGATAAGCCTTTGCCACCAGTATAGAGCCAGGCTGGCCTTCAAATCGAGTGAAGTGTATGACCAGCCGCTATACTGTTGGTAGCTCACTTATTTTATTTTGAAAACAGACCGTTCCAAACTATCAGCAGGGCAAATCCATTATAAATATTGGAACACATTTTGTTTATCGGTCCCCAGAAGCAAGTCATAAATAATAATACTAGCACACTTGCTTTTTGGGGCTGCTGCCCCACACCCCTGCTTTAGTACATGTTTCTTTTTCGAAACTACAACAAAATTCAGAATAACACTAAGAAAACAGAATAAAAGCATAATAGAGGCTCATAGGGAAGACTTACTGTGTTGCCTCTTTAAAGAAAGTCTATATTATTATTATTATCATTATTATAATAACAAAAATGCATGCACACTGAAGTCCACTAACCTAGATTTTATCCTAAAAATTCAGTAGGTTGATTGATTGATTGATTCTCTTTGAACCGGGCGGTCAAGAATAACCTACAAAAGTGCAAGCACTTATTTCCAGTAGGGTCCTTACCTCAGCAGACTCTAGAGACAGCTATGAGATACAAGTGAATCCGGGAACCAGTCCCTAGCTCTTATTGAATAGATTCCTTGGTTCTTTTACATGCCCAGTGTATAGCAGTGATACATGCGAGGATTACCTGGATTTCTTACCAGTACACCTCTAGTTAGGGGGGAAACACTGAAAGTGTTTCTGAAAAATCCCAAGGGTGTTACCCAGGATCGAACCAGGAACCTCACAGTCAGTGGTCTAAACATAAACATAGGGTAAACATAAACAAAAATGAATAGTAATGTATATTTTGTCCCATCCTCTGTAACCCAGGCTATTTACTGTATACCAGTATTATTAAAATGTATATATACGGAATGTGTACCATGCGTTCTGACAATGATATTGTCCACATTGGGATCAATATAAATTCTATTGAATTTAATGTTTAATTTACCCTTGTATTCCAATAGTCAAGTTCGCAAATCAATATAATTTGCTGAAAGATGTTACACTCTGGCCTTTTTCACCACATATTTTCTGCTGCAATTAACATCTTTTCCAAACAGATAAGGTTTTCTTTACAAAATGTGCCCAATGGTAAAATGTGCATGATTGCAAGATATAACAATTTCACACATACATGTACATGACTGTTTAAGTTCAAATATCAATCCCCTTATAATAATCAGTCTTAAGTTCCTTTCATGAAATTAAAATGTAAATAAAAATGTTCTTTAGATGGGTTAAATAAACAAATATCTATTCAATCACTTGAACATCCTAATTATTTAGAACACAATATTGTCAATAATTATTTAAAATTCATAATCTAGCTGTTGTAGCCACTAGTTTTGTTTGTTTGTTTGTATGTCATTTTACCTAATGTCATGAATCAAAACTTTTCACCTTTTCACAATTGTACAAATCTCGGTCCATATATAAAAAAGTGGAAAAATTACAGTTAAATATAAGAATTAAAAAAATAGAGATAAAATATAAATGTCAAATAATGCCTTGATAGTAAACTGATAAAATACATAACAAAAAAAATTGTAATAAAAAAAATATCATACCAAATTTTTTCCTGTTTCTATATCAAACATCTGTATGGACTTATCATAACTGCTAGTTACAAACCTAAATATAGAAAATAATTCTAACTATATGATCATTCACAGTAGAATAACATGAAATTTCAACAGTATGTTTCATACATTACAATACATGATATCGAATTACCCAAAAGGTGTTGCAAAATTGAAAATTTTATGTTGCAATTGTTAACTTAAATAGTTGATTGACAACTTATGGAGTACACTTATGAATGAAAAAATGTCACATCAAATGATAAAACAGACAACAAAAAAATGGCCCAAAAAGCCTGAAAAATTTCTCTATCAGGTTGTTATTTTTGTGTGGGGACTTCAAAGTAAAGGAAGGCCTGATTTACAAAATGACTTGTGCATAATGACTATGCAGTATTTAAGCCTTTTTTATTGACAAAATGACTCATTAATGTCTCTTTAATTGATAGAAACCTCTTACTTTGATCCCTCTGTGCAACCTCTAGCCTCTGTGATGATATCAGTATGTTTTGTGTTGTATGTCTTTAAACAGACTCCATCTTCAGTATTAAACAGCTTTACTGTACGGTCACTAGACCCAGTGAGAATCTTCTCGTCATCGTCAAAAAATTCACAGCTATTAACTGCTGCATTGTGGGCTTTAATAACTTTAATGCGCACCTGAAAAAGTGAAAATGGAAGTATACTTCTCTGTGTAGTGCTAGCAAAATAGGCAGTGGTAAAGATGTGTCAGTAACATTGTTCACACCTTATTCCCAGACCTGTAGACAAAACACTCAATTAAGATAAATGCCATCATAACATTTTTTTGTGATATGAAGTAAAACAGTTTTTACTAAAATATTTACCTTTGAATAAAAATAATACCGGACAACTGTGATGTTAAGTTTATTCATGAAAATTAAACCTTAACCACAATAATAGTAAATACTAGAAAACAGGATACTATTTTATGGCCTAAACAAAACTTCTACATTTCAGGTACAGATGGGAGTAATAAACTTTCCAACTGTTCTTGTTTGTTGAACAAAAAAGTATTGCAAAGGTATTTAAAATAAAGCATTAAACCTGGCTTTAGGGCTTTAGTAATTTTAACTGAAACCTTAAGAAAAAAAAAACCCACTAAGTGTTACATCAGTAATGATGACATTTAAACAATGATGTCATGTTCTCAAAAACGCTGACCTTATAACAGTCTATGTCTGGCCCAATTAATTCCCTGCGGTCTGGAGACCGCAGGGTATTGGTACGCGTTTAACTTTTGAGGCATGGAGGAGCACGTGACCTGTTTTCGGTACATGGAGGAGCATGTGATCTGTAAACCGTACATGATTGGTTAACCTTTTCGAAAACCTAGCTAAATACCGTGTGCCGGTAGTCGTTACAGATTTACCTCTAGGGAATAAGTCCGAATTACACATAATTAAGAACAAAAACCATTATGTGACATTTCTAATTTTCTATAATTATTTTACCGTTTAAGGTGGAAAAACTTGATGTGTTTGAAAATTATCAATGTTTCTTTAATATCTATCTCAAATTTTTACAAACACTAAATTGAAAATCTACAAAATTAAAATATTCGTAGTGGCATCTGCCATAATAAATAGAGATATTTTGTAAACTTGTGTGTTTACTTAAATTTTTTTTGCTCGGAATTATTCATAAAATGGTAGGCCTATTTAATCATTTTCTTAAAAAGAAATAATTGTTTTATGTTCGACCTTCTCCAGTCTTTGAACAACGGTCGCCAGTTTCCAAAGACCTTCTTCGATTATTGTCAACTATATTCCTGATACAAACGTTTATTTATTCCCCCAAACAATGTTGAAAATAGTTAAATGAAATATCTTTATATCATTAAAAATGTTCACCGCAGGAAACCAAATTACTTGTCTTTCCTTTGATTGAATATTTTGTTGTTTCCTTGTGTTATTCACATAAAGTACTTAAAAGTTATAGTTGATAACATTTTTTTTTGTACCGTAAATTCATTGTTTTTTTTTGTTTTTTTCTTGAGTAACATGAACTAAGTCCAACTAATTGTACTTTTCATTGCGGTATTGTGCTATTTTGTGTATGGGCAATATCTGCCCTTTACTTTATATATAGAAGCGAGACTCTGACCTAGAACAAAAATATCTCAGAATCCAGCTTTGGTACAATATTTTGAATGTCTTGAAGTAAGAAACAGAGGCATGAAATACCCAAATACACCCAAATATTACCCAAATATACTCAAATATACAAATATTTCCCAAATAATACTCAAATATAGCAGTATTCATTTTTGTTTGTATAGAATATAGACTATGATGAGAAAATGAATTATATTTAAAAAAATATAACATGACTAAGCCGGCTATTACTTAGTCATTCAATCCATTGAAAAGGGCATTTAAGATTGTGAAAGTAAATAAACTTGCGACATTTCCTGATCTAGGTTCATTAATGAATATATATGTGCAATTTAAAATATGATAATATTTGTTGTCTACATTTAAATTTTTAGGGTATTTTTTTGCTGTAATGTCATAAAAGTGTCCATCAGATTATATTTTTTTTGTAATTCAATACCTTAAATTGAGTACATCAATTAGTGGGGCGATAGCTCAGTTAAGCAGACAACTGGTTGTCACTCCTGAGGTTCCAGGTTTGATCCTGGGTAACACCCTTGGGATTTTTCAGAGACACTTTCAGTGTTTCCCACCTAACCAGGTAATCCTTGCATGTATCAGTGCTATACACTGGGCATGTAAAAGTACCAAGGGGTCTATTCAATAAGAGCTAGGGACTGGTGCCCGGATTCCCTTGTATCTCAAAAGCTTTCTCTTAAGTGACTTACAAAATGTATCTAGAGTCATGCCTATGTCCCCGTGAGGCGTTTGACATTAATGGAAGATAGATAGATACTGTAGATAGATATATTTTGGTTCAAAACACAGTGATAGGAAAATGTATTTTTGGGTATATTTGGATATATATTTTGGGTATATTATTGAAAGGATATATTGTATTCATCATTTAAACAGCATTTTAGTATAAAATAATTATTTTTAGTATATATGCTTTTCTCTCGTCGATTTGTGACTCTTATTGGGAAAAATTGCACTTGCACAACAAATATCAGACATAAATACAGTTCAATTAGTGCATTTGTTAAATAAATTCATAATCTAAAAGTTCATAAACTTTAAATTACTTCTAAAAACAACCGCTCAAAGATTAGAGCAACTGAACATGTCAACCATGACTGTCTTGCTCAGCTGGACGCTTACCCATCAATTCGTGAAATCCGATTCACCCTGTGACGTCATCAAAATATACGTGATCACACCACTAAATGTTTGCATGGTTATTTTCAGCCTGATCTGATCAATATATGTTTCAAAGTCTTAAGTAAATTCTTACAGCATAATGAATACTTTTTTGGCTTAAGTGTAAGTGTGTTTGATAAATTAAAACATCAATATCGAATATTTTAAAGTAATTAGGTCACCAGCTGATTGTAGGGTAAGGTCATTTTACACCTGTTCAATTATGCATTTTGATTGGATAGAATTGTCAAATCGAGTGTCTCATAAAACTTGTGTAGTTTTCGGATGGTGTATGTCCTTGCAGAAGTATTTATACCAGACAATTGTTTAGGTCAGGAATCGCTGAGAAGGCACAAATCGATGAGAATAAGGCATATACGTGGGCAATATTTGGGTAATTCGAGCACACCAGTGTAATAAATTTAATTGTATCACAAAATGAAAGTGAAATCTTGTTTTTGATTTATATTTTTTGTTTTGTGTGTTTTGACTTTTGTGAATGGGGAAGCTTTAACCAAACTCAAAAGTGAGAAGGTTTAAAAATGAGGACGACTTGGCTTAGGGACGTGTTAACAAACTGCATTTTTATAATTTTAGTATTTATGTGTTAAACCTGGGCAAGTTCTTCATGTTCCCATGTTGCTTTTTGAACAAGATCAATATCACTTTTTATGTCGTCCTCTGTTGCTATTGCATCAGTCATTATTGCGTAGATTTCAAGTTTATGGGAATTAAAAAAATCCCAAAATTACAGAAAATTGTGTTGCTGTGTAAACTACTCCAAATCGTCTAATGTCGTAAAAGTAAACATAGCCTTGTTACATTTAATATTTGCCATTATAGTATTGAAATATCTGAAAGACGAAAGATTTATAAAATTTAACTAAGCCGCATAATTCTAAACGTTCCTGGTGAAAAGTACATTTTTGGCAAATTTTGACATAATTTACGACATCAAATCAAAATGGACGTCGACGACACAGATGAGCCACAGACAGGTTAGAATTTTACTGAAATTTACCATATCTTTTCAAATTTATTTGATTGCTTTTCATGTACACTTGTTTAAGAAATATTTATTAATATGAAAATGACGTATTATTTTGGCCATGTTCGATCCAGATCGCAAAAGAATGTGATTTTATAAACTTTTTTTGCCAAATTTTTTTTGGTCACTTGTTGTTAACATGTTAAATTTGCAGGTGCTCTTTGTTTCTGACCGAATTCATTCATGTTTATAACTTGAAATATGAACCTAGAGCTTATGTTCTTTGTATGCAACAATGTATATATAGTCCAAATTATTGGCCTGACAATGGCTTGCCTATAAAGATCTTTAGTTAAAACCACAGAAACTTGGGGTCATGTGCGTGGCTCCCCTTCTTGATCCACACTTGCATACACTTGAACATGTCTATTTTTATCTTGATAACCGTACGTCAAAATATTTTGCATATTACAACCTGGTCACATGTCTTGAACACGAAACTTGTTTCCGCTATTTTGACAACATTTAAAAAAGTCCCTAAAATATCTTAATTTCATAAAGATAACAACGTACAATTTCCTTTGATGTGAGACGACTGGAATGAGTTTCAGCACTGTTTTGCGCGCCGAGAACCAAACATAATTCTCTAACGAATAAAACACCTGCATTTCTTTACACGGAGTCATCACATACGGAGGAATTTCATCCAGCCAGTTTGATAGCCACGTGAAATTATAAAGAAACATAATTTAAGTAAAATGATATTTAAACAATGAATGTAAAAGTCTTAACGTAAAAAGAAATAAAATTTTCTATATTTTTTATTGTTTACCTTGTATTTTCGCTCCCGTAAATATAGGCCATGTGCACGTGTGTGAGACGATAACAACGTACATTTTTTTTACGAAATGTTCTGTTTTCCTACGATTTTTCCGCTGTTAGGTGGGGGAAACATTCCAGTCGTCATGAACTTGCAAACAAACATGTGACACGGTTAAGAAAATTTAAGTTAATGTGTGAAGCTTGGAAGAAAGGTACGATCGGATAGTAACATAAAGTCATTGTCAACATCACTAATTCCGCATCATCACTACTTCCACGTCATCATTCAGTGATTTTTTTCCCTGTATTTTACAGCCGAATAAAGGCTGTTTCCCCTTAGCCCTAGCTCAAAATAGGTATATTTTCCCCTTAAAAAGCTAATATTTTCCCCCTGAAATGCCCTGTGCACTTCTTCACCAGACCTATTTCTAAACAGCATCTGACTTATTATATCAGCTAGAAGACAGAAAGCTGTCTCTATAGCCTCTGCTATGTACCATGCATTTTAAATTGAATATAAATTGAATTTTTATAAATGTGTTGGTAAATTCCATTCTTAGTTGTTGGAATTTGATTTTTTCCCTTTTCTGATTTATTGCGCTACACTTTCACCTTCAGAAAGCCACAGGTTGTTTTGAAAATTGGAAAAAAATCACTGTAATTTATTTCACGGTAATGGCATATTTTCATCAGGGCTCATCCGGAAGGGCGATTCTGGCGAAAACTTCGCCGTGTATATTCCAATTTCGCTCTTCCGATTGATCAAAGAGAAGTCAACATCGCCGATAAAATCTTAATTCCCAAATAGTAATTACTTAGCGATGTAAAGAGCAGAGATTGTATCCGCCCATATGACGACCGCTAATTATCATTATCCAATCAGAGCGTCGCTTTATACTACCCTTCTACCTGTAAGCGAAGCGATAGACCGCCTACTCTAAACAGTAAATAATGAGAGCATCGGCCCGAAACGGTATAATTGTGTGATAGTTTTGCGAGTTTAATACGGGATTTGGCGATAATTATGTCTCCCCCACCTCGGGGGGAGACATATTGTTTTTGCCCTGTCCGTCCGTCAGTCCGTCCGTCAGTCCGTCCGTCAGTCCGTCCGTCCATTCTTCGTTTCCGGACGATAACTAGAGTTCCTTTTGACCTACAGCCCTCAAACTTCATAGGATGATTGGTCTTATAGAGCTGATGATCCCTATTGTTTTTGGGGTCAGTAGGTCAAAGGTCAAGGTCACACTGACCGTTGGTCAATTTCTCGTTTCCGGATGATAACTAGAGTTCCTTTAGACCTACAGACCTCAAACTTCATAGGATGATTGGTCTTATTGAGCAGATGATCCCTATTGTTTTTGGGGTCAGTAGTTCAAAGGTCAAGGTCACAGTGACCGTTGGTCAATTTCTCGTTTCCGGATGATAACTAGAGTTCCTTTTGACCTACAGCCCTCAAACTTCATAGGATGATTGGTCTTATAGAGCAGATGATCCCTATTGTTTTTGGGGTCAGTAGGTCAAAGGTCAAGGTCACAGTGACCGTTGGTCAATTTCTCATTTCCGGATGATAACTAGAGTTCCTTTTGACCTACAACCCTCAAACTTCATAGGATGATTGGTCTTATTAATCAAATGATCCCTATTGTTTTAATGGTCAGTAGGTCAAAGGTCAAGGTCACAGCGACCGTTGGTTAATTTCTCCTTTCCGGATGATAACTAGAGTTCCTTTAGACCTACAACCCTCAAACTTCATAGGATGATTGGTCTTATTGAGCAGATGATCCCTCTTGTTTATGGGGTCAGTAGGTCAAAGGTTAAGGTCACAGTGACCATTGGTCATTTTCTCATTTCCGGATTTCTCCATTTCCATTCCTGTTTCCATTCACAGTTATTCTCAGCAGTGGGGGAGACATGCGCTTTTTTACAAAAGCATCCTCTAGTTATAAATTGTTTTTCCCCGATTATCTAAACAAGTACAATCTTCCCTAATTGATGTACACGATGCACTTCGATGGTGGGTTTTTAACCCGAGTAAAGGCGATGTGCAATGGATTTTTCACGGCTATCACAAAACTGTTAGTCAATTAAAAATAATCAATTTCATTAATGATCAGCAACCAGATTAAAAACTTAAACATAGTTTTGAATGATTTCTGTCTGTTAACATCAATTTTTACTGTAAAATTGTTATGTCGCTCACGTCATGGCTACAAGGCGAAATGCCGTAACCGATTCTGATACGCGAAAATTTAAGAAAGCCAATTCGCAAAAATCTTGCGATTGGTATGTTGTAGACAGCAGGGGTGTTTGGCATTGTTCTCTTTGTAGAAATGCCAAATTTGACACAGTTTACGCACGTGGGCAAGACATCCCGGCTTAACTACATATCGGTCGTATATCATGTAACGTGTATATAACAACAACATTTGTCTGGAAAGAAGTGTTCTTATTGTTTCAAAATAAATTCGTAAATATGACGCTCAGATTAAGATTTATCGATATTGTAAATTTTAAAAAGCATTATTTATAAAGATATTACCGAATTTAACATTTCATGAAAATAAAGGGAGGTAATTAGAAATTAATTTTCTACAATTTCTCAGTCAAATTTTTCAATAAGAAATTAATGTATGTAATTTTAGTGATCAAATATAATGTGCACAAATGTTTGCAGTACATATTTTACATATTCTTTGATGTGTGAAAATTGTTTTATGAGCATAATTATATGCATATAAATGTGACATTACAACATTCTGGACTTTGAGAGAAATTTCTGTTACCAGAACAGAATAGAACAGATATTATTAATCAATATCCAATGTGACTTCATCTTTTCTTTTAAAGGTGAGGAAAGTAAAGTAAAAAATATGAAATTGATTTCATCATCATCCTTTCTTACACATTATTATCAACAAATGTACATGAAAATATATAAACACATATTTAGAGAAAGCTTAGATGCAATTGCCTGATCTACTACTAAATAATTAATCTACTTTTAATTAATACTACTATTAATTAATAAACTGGAGAAATATTATAAGTGATGATAATTGTGTTTATATTATAATTAAAGGATGTATAGCCATGCATGTTAATGCATACACATTGGGTTGTTTCCCTTCTCCCTAATTTTCGCGAGGTCGTCACTTCTCCCTAAAATTTCCCCCCAGGATGAGCCCTGTTCATATGACCAGTGTTAGGATTGGTCACAATTGACATATTTTATTTGATACCTAAACAACAAAGAGTTTATGCAAAATATTTTAAATCTAGATTTTTACGTAAAACAGAACACGTTTACAAATTTCTGCAAAAAGCAACAGTAGTTCATTAAATTTGTGTATAAGTTTGAAACAATCATCATTTTCTAAATGTTCTTACTTGTTGAAAAAATAGATTTTGAGTTACAAAGTAAAAATAGTTTTAATATTTAAAATTAAGCAAATACATGTAGAAATTTTAGCTAAAAGATGAAAAAACTGAAGTGTAAAACCATTTACCGTGGTTTAAATGATGACATACAGTTTTCAAAATGACCAACATATGGTCTACGTCTGGCCCATCAAAACTGATTTTGACTGAATATATTGTTGATTCCTTGTGTCATACAGCAGAAAATCACAATATGTTACAGCTTATGACAATTTTTGTACCATAAGTTTCATTTGTTATTTGCTTTCTGGTTTCAAAGCGTTACGTACCGTGAACTAAGAGGAGCACAGTATATGTTTATTTATTAGAAGAATATATATTGTCCAACAATATTGACCTGGCACTTCATTAATTTCCGTAAAGGTCAGGTGATAAACGGTGGTATCTAACGAATATATCAATATCTTATTAACTTCACACGTCAATGAGTTGTGGTGTATTGGTATAGATGCCTGACTACTGATCTGAAGTTCCCTGGTTCGATACCTTACCAACACCACGTTATGAGGACATACATTTTTTTATTTCAATTTGAAAATAACTTGCAAGAATTAATTTGAAATCGTTTTACTACATCTGGTTTTTAGGATACCTTTTAAGAAGTGTTTTTATACAATTTTATTTTTTATTTTATTACATTATCTTTAATTAATAAAAAGGACAGCACATCCATAATACAAATTAAAATTCATACACAACCAAAACTCAAAACGTTTTGCACGAGTTAAGAGAGAAATAGAAATTTTAAAATAAGAAAAAAATATAAAAGTGGCTGAACCAGGATTCGAACCTACGAGTGTGCGTCTTTATTCTTGAAGTGAAAGCACTTTACGACTGTGCTAAGAGGGATTTGTTATTTAGATCATTTAACAACTGGTTATATATACATTCTTATCGATTTACAATAAACAGTAACGTTTACGGAATTTACCGACTATGGGGTCAAATGCAAGAGTGCCAGGTCAATGTTGTTGGACAATACCTCGACTGATTTACACATGAGCAAAGAAATGGCATGCAATAACATAAATGCTTGAAATTCATGTAGGTCAGTTGTGTTTACATTTCAAAGCTTGGTATCTTCAGGAAATTGAAGCGTTGGTAAAAAATTGACTTTTTTAAAACGTTATGAAATTCTATTCAAACTTGTTCACGTGTTAGACACTTAACCGTCTCATACTAATATAAGCAAAAATTTAATACTAATTCTTGTAATAATTAATATTTTTAGTTTTTAATATTCAGGTGTGGAGAAGGGCGGGGTCTACACTCCAAGTGTCTGTGGTTAAAACCTGACAACAACACTTCTCATTGTCAGATTTGTCTTGTTAAACTTTTCTTCAAAATTTGCCCCTTATGAACTACCCGAAATTTGAACATGAAAGTGAAATTGACATCGCTGCGCATTTTACCAACCACATTCAGATTTACAATAACAGATCTTTATGTATCACACAGCGCTTGTCGATAAATTTATTCCTGGCCTCTTCGCATAACTTAAATTGAAACCAAATTGGTGATACACAGTTACTTCTGATAATTTACTTCAATTAACACACATATGTGCAGACTATGCAGTTTCGTTGGACATAATGCCCCTGTAATTGAATTAATTTGTCAATGTAAACATAATATATTTAGCAATTAAGGATAATCAATACTACACTGTATTATATGGTATATAATTGTGGTACAACTACCTCTTTTTATTCAGCAAGTTTAAAAAGTTTAAAGTTGAATTGGTTTTATCACAAATTTACATGCATATTAAATTTATTAATACAAAAGTAAATTGCTCAATACAGATATGTGTAATGTTATAAAATTTGTACCATATGTGTTATGTCTTCTACCAATCAACTCTAATTCATGATTATAAAGTTTATTGACTGATCTGAATACATGATGTCATAAGACAAAGATGACGTTGTCTCCAAATGACGTCGTCGACGTCAAGTAAAGCTATAATTTAACAAGTAAAGCTAGGCTAAGCATTAAATTGTCAATATCACAATATGCATGTTGTTTCAGATCTCTACAGAATTTAAATCTAGATATTGAAGCTTTGTTTTGTTTTAAGCAGAGCTACAGCATTAAAATTTAAAATACAACATTAGTTTAAGATGTAGATTTCAAATTTGAATAACAGTTGACTAGATTTTTTAGGCCCAGTGAATCACATACTTGTATTTACAGCTACAGCTATAAAATTTCACATGTTAAAACGATGTTTCATAAAATAAAATTAATTACACATGTACATTGTAATGCTAACAAAATATTCATTACCCAGTATCATTAATTTTATTGAATATCCATGTACTAAATCAAAATTTCATAACTAATTTAAAGGGCAAATATATACAGGATTGATTTATAGTACATGTACATGTATATGCACATCTAAGAAAAAAATTGAAAAAATTGAATAAATACAAGAATGAAGCCCAGATTAATAATTTAATGTTTAATAAAATTACCTACTGCTTACTGCTTAGATATGTTAAAAAATTATAATGGATAATTTAATGATAATAATAAAAACCACCATATTTTCTTGATTTAACTCAAGTGATGTGTATTATTACATTTATATTTACATATAAGTAAAGTTACATACATTATTACATTTAATTAAATGTATATGTAACAGTAAGAGATATATCATTAATATTATATTTACATGTAAATAGTGAAAAGCAACCACTTTGAAGACAAGTATAAATCAAGAAAATTTATTAATAAATTATCATTTTTCCATTACTATAGCATAATAAAATGTACTATTTTTTTCTAATTATTCAAAAAGTACCAAACAATTTTCAAATAAAAAAAAACAACTTAATACCTTAAGTTTCAATCTTTTGTTGTTGGTAAAATGCATTAAGTCTACTATTAAAAATTTACTACAATAAGATAAAAGCAATAAATAAAATTTACCATTATTTTGTTAATATCCAAACACACTGCTGAAGGGAAATTTTAAAAAATCACTTTTAAAACCAGGGTTGAATAATTCCTTGTTAATGCATTATATCATAAATGTGATCTTTATTTGTTATAAATTTATTTTAAAATGAAACACACTGCTTTATTTTGATTTTTCCTTTCAAAACACTGAGTTCAACAATTTCTTGTTTATACATTAAACTAATGTGGTCTCTATATAAAAGTATGTTATAAATGTATTCAAATCTGTTCCATAAAAGTGGTATTAAAAGTGTTTTTCTTTTTATATGTTTGTAAACTTGCAGCTACATGAAGTGTTTAAAGTACCAAATGTATTGAAAACAGATTGAAATATTAATGAAAAGATTATATTGCTCCTGGCTGGGTGTCACTTTTTGCCTTACCATGTTTGATAATCCCTAATCCTTATGTTTCTACTATAAAGTCAGGTTTTAAGTGGCAAAGGATTTTCAGTGTCTTACAATGTACAAATTTTAGGTGTCGAAAAAAAATTGATATGTTAATATTTGTTGATTTTTATTAAAAATGAAATTTAATTTGTTACAAAATGATTTTTTAAAGTCACATCAATGTGCATGTATAAAAAACTGAATTTGTTTTAATTGTGATTTGTGACTTTTTTAGAATTTGAGGGAATTTTTTAAAAATTTGAGGGAAAGTTTGGAAAAAATTAGTGTCATAATTAGTGAATAAACTTCCAACTATTAAAAGAGCAGTGGAGCTATCCAACTTTTGGGAGAATAAACACCATGGCTTTGCAAAAAGGGAAGGAAAACTTGATGTTTTAGTTGAAAACTGCATTATTTTAAAGAATTTTCTTGATGTTATTAAATCATTTGAATTTTAGGTGAAAACTGCATTATTTTAAAGAATTTTATTGAGGGAAAAACAGGACTTAAAATGACCCTGCTATAGAAGTGGGGGAAAAAGCCCTGCTACTCACTCAGGTGTTATCTTAATACTGACACTTTTTATGCATTTGTATGCAGCGTCTTACATAATGATTATTTATATCTCATTTATTACTGATTTGATAGTCATACATTGAAACCGCAAAGTATGAAATATTACATCTAGTTTATTCACCAAATTGGACGGTGTCAAATATTGACCAGTTTACAGCATAGATAGACTTCCCCAACTTCTTGAAGGGAGACTATTCAGGTGTAAAATTAGTTATGAACTTTTTCCACCAGTTCAAAAATTTGTAAATAATCTTTTAAATCAGCTGGGCAGGAATAAAGATTAAGTAATCCTTATTGATTTTCATTAGTAGTGTGAGTGAAGGAATTCCTTGTAAAAGTGTTGTATGTGAAAATAGTGAGATGTTACAATAAGAATGTCTGATAACTGGACCTTGATATAAATTAACATAAAAGTAATTTGTGTGTTCATTTGAAAGACTGAATAGAGTTGGTTCATTTTGTGAATTTGAACGTTGGAGCATGAATTGAATTTTGTAACATAGCTTTAAAAAGTAGGTTTTTCTATATTGAATGTTGATCAATATAATAATAAACCTTTGAATTTTGTGAAAAATTTAATGTGATAGTGAAACAGGAAGACTTAAATTAAATGAAAGGATACATTAAAGGAAAAGGGTACATTAAATGAAAGGATACATTAAATGAAAAGATTTATTAAATGTATTAAATGAATAGACACATTAAATAAAAGGATACAAACAAATTATTTAATAAAAGAAAATGTATCACACATGATATGGCTGGGGATTTGTATTTAGATACTTCCCAAGGTAAAAATGTTTCTTATTCACATATTAATATATAAATCATGTGTTAAGATAGTAATAACTATAACATGTATTTATGTATTGTTTAATTAAAAGCTATTATATGGTATGTACAAAATGTACCAAAGTGTTTCTAAAACTTAAAGCAACACACCTGCAGATTCATGCAAAAATTTTACATGAAAATTTATAAAGCATGCAAATGCTTATAAACATGTAGGCATGGTCCTTTCAATTAGATGATTTTTGTGTTCTGCTTCTTTGAACCTATTAATACCCATGTCTTATGTGTAAGTACTGTATATATTTATCTTGTATGCTATTTTTACTGCTCAATTAAGTAACTGTTAAAATATAGCCGGCAAGCGCATGTATTTAAGTTGGATGGACATTATTTAAAGAGATTATAGTTGTCATCATTATATGATATATATGTTTATATTATACCATTTATAATTTCAGATATATGTCGTGTGTGCAGATGTGAGGGGACGTCAGATAAACCTCTGTATCATCCATGTGTCTGCACGGGCAGTATCAAATTCATACATCAAGACTGGTAAGAATTACATGATTTTCTTAGCGTTCTTAATAATTTGCCAAGTTGACCAGTATAGTAGCAGGCCAACTCTGTATGTCCAATCCTTGTGTCCTGAGTTCAAGTCAATACAGTAGTTCAAACATCAATCTCTTGATTGCAAGCTACAATGAAGACATGCATGTGTCAAGGTCAGATTGCATGCCTATGAAGTCTTATCACACCCTATGCCAGCATTGTTATCATTTTGAAACTGTCCATTGTTAGTTCATTGGGCTTCCATATTAAAAAGTTAAAATTGAGAAGCAGTATTGAGGTTGATCCTTGAGGTGAAAATACACCAAATATAGAGTATTGTTACTGAAATTTTAAACAAACTTGTATGAATAACTACAGTTATAAACATCAGCTTTACTAGTTTTGACAGATACAGTCAATCCAGTGTTAATGGCCAGCTCCTTCATTGACTAAAACTAAAAAAGAACAATGTAATTTTCAAATATAGACCACTATAAAGGCCATATTTGCTCCTCCCTTGGATGACCTTTGTTCACAAGTTTGACTGTACATGTACATACTTCTGTATGTGTATTGAATGTTATTCCCTGAAGACCGCAGGGTATTGGTACGCGTTTAACTTTTGAGGCACGGAGAAGCACGTGACCTGTTTTCGGTACATGGAGGAGCATGTTATCTGTAAACCGTACACGATTGGTTAATTGACCTTTTCGAAAACCTAGCTAAATACCTTTTGCCGGTTACGGATTTACCTGCAGGGAATTAGTCTGAAGTACTCCTAATTAAGAACAAAAAACTATAACGTGATATTTCTAATTTTCTATGATTATTTTACCGTTTAAGGTGGAAAAACTTAAATGATGTGTTTGAAAATTATCAAATTCAATGTTTCTTTGATGTCTATCTCAAATTTTACAAACAATAAATTGTTTATACTGAAAATTTACAAAATTAAAATATTCGTAGTGGCATCTGCCATAATAAATAGAGATATTTTCTGCGTAAACTTGTGTGTTTACTTTATTTATTTTTTGCTTGGAATTATTCATATAATGGTAGTCCTTTTAGTAATTTTCTAAAAAATATATAATTGTTTTATGTTCGACCTTCTCCAATCTTCAATGGTCACCAGTTTCCAAAGACCTTCTTCTATATTGATCGTTAATTCAATTGTCAACAAAATTCCTGATACAAACGTTGAATCCCACCCCCAAAAATAATGTTGAAAATAGTTAAATGAAATATCTTTATATCATTAAAATGTTCACCGCAGGAAACCATTTTACTTGTCAATATTTTGTTTTATATTTTCTGTCTTCAGTCTGGTACAATGGTTAAAATACAGCAGAAAGGAGTTTTGCGAACTTTGCAAACATCGGTTTGCTTTTACACCAAGTAAGTTCTTCAATACTTTCTATGTTGAAATTCCCTTGGGTACCTGTTACATTCAAAGTTTAGTTTGGTGACAAAAATAGAAATAGATTTTCTCTAGAAATGTTCATCATTGTTGAGTCCGGTGAGATAGTTGTCATTCTGATTAGGCCCTTTACTGTTAAAATTATGCAGTCTGACCAGGTTCGTTGGCTGATAAGTATAAGTGTTTCGGTATTAAGGTCCTGTAATTTTATTATGTATATTTCAGTGTACAAGGCTTTACAAAATCCAATATAAACAGGTAACAGTGAAGTATACAATATGTAAGAAACTTGCTTTATAAGCTGGTCTATTCAAAGAATAGGTAAATCTGTTGTACTTACCCAGGCTTCAGCATCACACTGTTAATTTTTTGCATGCAAGATGGTACCTTAAAAACTACTGAAGGGAATGGGTTTAAACTTCCCACACTTATTTAAGAACATAATTGAAGGTCACTCTCAAATGCTGATTACTTAAAACATTCATTTTGATAGAATTATGTACCTTTTTAAACTTCGAAATTTAACATTATCCAGACTCGTGTCAACACTGAGAATAGTTGAGCATGCTGTCCTATTGACTGTTCTTGTTTGTTTGGAAACTCCCTATGTGATAAAGTATCAAAGATATAAATATTGCTTGTTTCATGTTACAGTTTACTCACCAGATATGCCAAAGAGGTTACCTATAAAGGATATAGTGAGTGGGTTGTTAGGTAGTGTAGGAAAAGCCGTCAGATATTGGTTCCATTATACACTCGTCACGTTTGCCTGGCTTGGTGTTGTTCCATTAACAGCTTGTAAGTTGATGTATTGTCTTATATGATGGATATGTACTTGTTGTACATAATGAGGATTATGAATAAGGATTATGAGAGCACTTGCCGGTGCCTAAAATAACTCACAGAGGCATCAAACATGACACAATTTATACATTATCTAACATTATTACAACAGAAGAGTTTGATAATCAAAAATTCCTCTCATAAAAATTAAATAACTTACTTGAATGTTCTCTTTTAAATTTTCTTTTGCAATATATACTTCTTTTCTATGATATATTTATAATCTTTAATGTGTTTTTTTTTGCAAATTGGATAATTTTATGTGCTAAAAATATGTACATTTGTATATTATTATGTGCATGATGATGAAGTATGTATAAATATAAAGTGTACCCTACATACTTGTTTTATTTCTAGGTCGTATTTACAGATGTCTGTTTACTGGATCTGTGAGCTCATTATTAACATTACCACTTGATATGTTATCTACGTAAGTATAGATTTAAAATTTAAATACACTATCAAAACACGGGTCTCCGTGGCTAAATGGTAGAGGCATGCATTTAAATGGTAGGAAAACCCAGGGTTTTCATTAGTGGAAGTTTGGGAGTCACTAACATCTTGACTTTGGCTTGTGATTTCCAAAATGTAATGCTTTTCCTTCTTTACACATATATTGTGACTTTTAATGTGAGACATTTTGCAGTCTCTGACTTCCGTATTTTGAAACTTTATGGAAGCCATGAGGAAGTTACCTATCTAGCATTTGTAAGGTTCTTCTTCAGACTGTATAGTTTAAAAGTTGTGGTATGAAGCTTTACTGTGCCATGTAAGTTCACACTCAACATTCCTGAAACAAAAGCATAAAAACTTTTTTTTCAACCTGTACCGTGTCCTTTCCAGGAGGCCTGCTTGGTTATGTGGTTTACTTTGCTGATTTTAAATTAGTTGCCCATTACAACAGTGGGTTTGAATCTCATCAAGCACTTCTGATTCTTTCATGTAAGGAAACTATTAAGGTAGCTAATGGAACATGGGTGGTTCTACACAGCTGCCCTCTAGTCCCCTCTAATCCCTGAGATGGTGCATGAGGTCTTCCTCTACCAGTAAAGCTTTAAAGTTACCAAATATCATTTAGTGTTATCATGACTTGTAACCCAACAAAACAATTTACAGTCTGAATTTATGTAATAGAGTTTTTCTGCATATTAATAAAGAACAATCCTCATTTAATTCTTCAACATCAAAAAATTATATAGGGAAATTAAAAAATAAATACCACAAAACAAAATATTTACGCTTTATCTTTGCCACTTCCTTAACACAGTAGTTTTAAAGTATTACTGTTGTATTAAAAAGATTTATAAGCAAGAATTAACTATTCTATTTTCAGTGAAAATATTGCATCCGATTGTTTCCATGGTTGTTTTGTTGTGGCGTGTACATTATGTGCATTTATCAGCTTGGTGTGGCTACGTGAACAGATCCTGCATGGAGGAGGGCCCGATTGGTTAGAACAGGATGTGCCTGGTGTACAACAAAGGGTAATTAATTTGTATATAACTCGATAGTATGTTTTAGGCTCACAATGATATAATCATTTTACCACTTGCATAGCAAGACAGTTTTTTAAGCTGTGGATTGTTTGTTTTTTTGTTGTTTTTTTTCTTCTAAAAATTCTAAATATTTTTGATTTTTTTTCTATAAAGTTTATTCTTCCTCCTGTAGTTCTTCACTTTTTCAAACTGTTTTTGTAAGACCTTTCATGTATGAATGGATATTTTGTTGATGGTATGTGCTATAAACCTCTTTCTATATATTTGGTTTGAGATGACTGAAGCTTGAAATAAATTTTCTTAGTATTTCTCATAGCAAAAAGCCATGTTTTAAGCTTTTCCAAAACAACATTGAGGAGCTCTATCAAATTTATGTTTACATAAACTGTTTCCAGGTTGCCTTTGAATGTTTCAAGCCAGTGTGACTTCTATGTGAACTTTTGAAGAACTTGTTTGAGTTTTTTGTCGAATTAATTAGAATATACATTAAGAATTTAAAGAAGAAGATTGTTAAGTTAGTTGTTATATTCTTCAATGGTTGAAGGAGACTTGTGGATAATTTGCTTTCTGCTTTATTTGGTTACCATCTCAACATAATATATTATCAATCTAACTTTTTGTTATTTTATTGTGGAAAAAAATGAAGAAGAAATTCTTGATATAGTTCATCAGTTACAATTTAAATATTGTCCTGTCATTTCAGAATCCTTTGGATATCGGTGTTGTAAACAATCTTGTTGGTTTGGGAGGGGGCGGAGCTAGAGATGGAGCAGCCAATCAGAACAATCAGAATGAAGATAACAATGCCGAGGCAGCCAATGAGGGTGAAGAAGAGGTGGAAGAGGAAGGTGCAGATAATGGAAATAATGCTGCACAAGGTAATATATATTACTGTGATATTTCTAGGAAATAGTTTATGTTATCTATTTTGGGTGCATTGTTTTTAGAATGATGCCCGGTTAAAGTTTATATGTGCATCAATTTAATCACCTAGGTCTGAGTTATAAAGTACTAGGCCTTTAAACTATAAATTATACTTTATTGTACTAAGATGCAACAAAAGTTATCATCTATTTCAATTTTAACATCATCATGCTATGAGAATTTAGAATGAAATCAAAATTCATGACATCATTTTTGGCTTATTTGGTTCACATCTGACGTCACATTCATTTTTATGCTGTGCATATTTCCTGAAGTAATGCCTTTGACTTTCCTGTTTGTGTTTGTTTAAAAGGGGAATAGTTTAAAACGTGTTAGAATATACTTTATCATAAAAATCTGGAAAAATGGGAGATCCCTCGAGAGCAATTAATAAAGTGAATAATGGGAAGTGCAATATCTCTCATGGCTCTGAAATCCATATTTTTTAATTCTTAAGAAATGTCAAACATGTGTTTAATAATATTTCAATAATGGATTCAGTCCTTGTTAAATGTTTTACAACTGAAAAAAAGTAGGGCTGAACATACACTTACGTATCTTAAAAGTAGCAAAATGTAAACAAAGTACTAGTATTTTGATTTCCGTACATAATTCTGACTCACTGTAATTATACCAATTGCCAACAGAGCTAAAGATAATTCATGTAAGTAGCAAATGAGTATGTATTGTTACGAGCCAGGCGTAACGAGAAAGAAAAGCCAGCAACAAACTTGTAACAATAACAAATTTATTACAGAAAAATTATTAAAGAAAAAAAAATAAAATAACAAATTATCTTTACAAATACCTGAAGTCCAAATAAAAATTACAAATGTCTAGTCTGATCCTGGAATGATCCTTTTTAGCTCGACTATTCAAAGAATATGAGAGCTATTGTAGTCGCCCCGGCGTCGGCGTCGGCGTCAGCGTCCGCGTCGGCGTCTGCGTTGGTTAAAGTTTTTTGTAATGTCAAATATCTCAATTATTGCTTGAGATATTCAATTGAAACTTACAATACTTATTTATAGTAACAAGATACATCAGATTGACAAGTTGGATAACTCTGCCTACAATATTGACAGAATTATGCCCCTTTTTAACTTAGAAATTTTGGTTAAAGTTTTTTATAAAGTCAAATATCTCAATTATTGCTTGAGATATTCAATTGAAACTTACCATACTTATTTATAGTAACTATGTACATCAGATTGATAAGTTGGATAACTCTGCCTACAATATTGACAGAATTATGCCCCTTTTTAACTTAGAAATTTTGGTTAAAGTTTTTTGTAAAGTCAAATATCTCAATTATTGCTTGAGATATTCAATTGAAACTTACAATACTTATTTATAGTAACAAGGTACATCAGATTGACAAGTTGGATAACTCTGCCTGCAATATTGACAGAAAAATGCCCCTTTGGAACTTAGAAATTTTGGTTAAAGTTTTTTGTAAAATCAAATATCTCAATTATTGCTTGAGATACTCAATTGAAATTTAAAATACTTTTTTATAGTAACAATGTACATCAGTTTGCAAAATTGCATAACTCTGCCTGCAATATTTGCAGAATTATTTGCCCCTTTGAAACTTAGAAATTTTGGTTAAAGGTTACAGGTCTTCAAAAATATTTACTTGAAACTTTACACATGCACTTAGGGTCATAATTGGAGGGTCATAATTGTATGTCACTGACCAAGTTCCATAACTCTATCTTGCATTAAGGCTGATTCATATCCCCTTTTCTACTTAGTCTCTTGGTTAATGTTTACATGCAAGTTTTACATATCTCAATAACTATTAAAGATATTTATTTAAAATTTCACATATGCATTTAGGGTCATAATTGTAGGTCACTGACAAATATCCATTATTCTATCTTGCATTTAGGCTGATTTTTCTCCCCTTTTTCAACTTAGAAATTCATGGTAAAGTTTTGCTTGTAAGCTGTTATCTCAATAACTACTGAAGGGTTTGTGCCTTTTTATACCCCCGCACAACAAAGTTGTAAGGGGGGTATACTGGAATCAGCTTGTCCGTCCGTCCGGCCGTCCGTCCGTCCGGCCGTCGGTTTTTTCTTGTCCGCCCAATAACTTAAGATTCCTTTGACCCTTAGTCTTTATATTTGGCATGGAGGTTAGTCATGATTAGTAGATGACCCCTATTGATTTTGAGGTCACTAGGTCAAAGGTCAAGGTCACAGGGGCCTTGACTTCAAAAAGCTTGTCCGCCCAATAACTTCAGATTCCTTTGACCCTTAGTCTTCATATTTGGCATGGAGGTTAGTCATGATAAGTAGATGACCCCTATTGATTTTGAGGTCACTAGGTCAAAGGTCAAGGTCACAGGGGCCTTGACTTCAAAAAGCTTGTCGGCCCAATAACTTAAGATTCCTTTGACCTACAGTCGTCATATTTGGCATGGAGATTAGTCATGATAAGTAGATGACCCCTATTGATTTTGAGGTCACTAGGTCAAAGGTCAAGGTCACAGGGGCCTTGACTTCAAAAAGCTTGTCCGCCCAATAACTTAAGATTCCTTTGACCCTTAGTCTTCATATTTGGCATGGAGGTTAGTCATGATAAGTAGATGACCCCTATTGATTTTGAGGTCACTAGGTCAAAGGTCAAGGTCACAGGGGCCTTGACTTAAAAAAGCTTGTCTGCCCAATAACTTAAGATTCCTTTGACCCTTAGTCTTCATATTTGGCATGGAGGTTAGTCATGATAAGTAGTTGACCCCTATTGATTTTGAGGTCACTAGGTCAAAGGTCAAGGTCACAGGGCCTTGACTTCAAAAAGCTTGTCCGCCCAATAACTTAAGATTCCTTTGACCCTTAGTCTTTATATTTGGCATGGAGGTTAGTCATGATTAGTAGATGACTCCTATTGATTTTGAGATCACCAGGTCAAAGGTCAAGGTCACAGGGGCCTTGACTTCAAAAAGCTTGTCCGCCCAATAACTTAAGATTCCTTTGACCTACAGTCGTCATATTTGGCATGGAGGTTAGTCATGATCAGTAGATGACCTCTATTGATTTTGAGGTCACCAGGTCAAAGGTCAAGGTCACAGGGACTTTGACTTCAAAAACTTTGTCTGCCCAATAGCTTAAGATTCCTTTGACCCACAGTCTTCATATTTGACATGTATGTTGATCATGATTAGAAGATGACCCCTTTTGATTTTGAGGTCACTGGATCAAAGGTCAAGGTCATAGGGACTTTGACTTCAAAAAGTTTGTCCACCCATTAACTTAAGATTCCTTTGACCCACAGTCTTCATATTTGGTATGGATGTTGATCATGACTATAAGGTGACCCCTATTGATTTTGAGGTCACTGGGTCAAAGGTCAAGGTCACAGGGACCTTGACAAAAAAAAGCTTTTCTTCTCAATTGCTAAAGAATGTCCTGTCCGCAATGTATTGATTTTGACATTTTCACATTTGAAGCATGTAGAATACATAACTTAGCAATGCACTGGCTTAGTAACCTCAGATTTGGCAGGGAGGTTGTCCTTGAGCTCTAAATGGCCACTGTTGATTCTGACAAAGTGGTATGCGGGGGTATTCACGCCATGATAGTGGCAGTTCTAGTTTGGGACAATTTTATGCATTCATAATAATAAAGCAGTAATTTACTTGATAAAACATCTTAATAACAAGCCTTTGTACCTTTTCAGTCAAATTTATGTATTCATAGGTAATTAGTATTATTATACTCAATAAAACACCCTTGTGACATTACCTTCCAAATAGTCAAGCCAATACTGTATAATTAGACTCTCTCTAAGGCCTATTACATGAATTTATAAAAAAAAGTAGCCCTTTTGTGAACTTAAAAAATTTAACATTATCAAGGCTCTTTTACTATCAAGCACTTAGAATAGTCGAGCATGCTGTCCTACTGACAGCTCTTGTTTAATAGCACAGTTAAATCCAAGTTAAATCCAAGAACACTTTAGAATAAATTCCCACAATAAAATCCACAAGAATAATTAATAATCCAAGCTCCAATAAATCACTTAATTTCCAAGTTGAATAATACTCCAAATATATTGATTTCTAAAAGATCACTGATGACTTAAAAGGTAACTGATGACTTAAAGATAAGATTAATGAAAAATGTCTCCTTATATATATTAACTAAGAAGTTTCCAGAAAGGTCTATTATGTTCTCAAGTAATCATAATCTAGCAACTTCAACAATAAAGATCATTCCAGAAATTTCTATCTAAATATTTATAATGCATGAGTTTTCCACAACAGTTAAGAACCTTCTAGTACATACATGTAGTTTATGTTCTAAAAATAGAACAATGACAATATTGGAAATACCAACTGGTCAGATATAATCTATATACATGTAATATGTTGCATACATAACAGTATTTGCAAGATACTAAAAATAAAGTTTTTTTTGGGGGGGGGGGGGGGAATAAAAAATGATAGCATTTCTGAAGCATTATGAGTCTTTAAATTAAGCAGTATTCAATTTTTAACACAATGTGAAGAATTTTATGATGCTGAAGGAGGTATAAATAAATATAATTTCTTAGACTTGCACAAATATGCAGTTTTACCAGATTCAACATTGCCGGCTGATTAATTAAAACATTTTGATATCGAAATCCTTGGTAAAACAACAGACATTTCCAAGTTAAAATTTGGCAGGAGAAAAGGTTTAAGTAAAATGGTAATTGATGCTGTCTTAGATTAAAAAAAAAACAAACAAAAAAAACCCCCAACTTTTTAAAGGGATTAAGATATGTTAGCAATTTATTTAGTATGTTATTTTGTATATTTCAGATGACAATAATTGGAATCCAATAGAATGGGACAGGGCAGCTGAAGAACTTACCTGGGAGAGGGTGAATATATTAATTGATTTGTTAATTTATTATATTGTAGAGATAGCAACTACCTGTATAGAAACAGGCCAGTTTTCACAATAAAAACAAAAACTTTGTCGCCACAGATGATCAAAGGGTTTGATTAAGGCAAAAAAATAAATATTTTCTCCATTCATCATTGGGTATTTTATATCATGTGTTAAGTATTAAGTCTGCTTTGTCAGTGATGTCTACCTTTTGTTTGGGTTTGATTTAGGTGGGATGAAGGTCAATGTCATTTGACTTTTAGCTTGATTGTTGATGAATTGTGAGGCTTACATTCTAAACAAAAATATGTAATACTTTTATGTGAGAAATATTTTCTGTATGTAATATGTTTTAATTTATTTATTTTATGTCTTTGTAGCTTCTTGGTTTAGATGGCTCTCTTGTGTTCCTTGTAAGTACATTACCTAATTCTTTGAAGTTTTTGGGGGCAATTTATTTAGCAATAGGCCTCAACTGAAGTATTAACTAAGTAAATGTAGCTTTTTTTTTTATAAAATGGGTGTTTGAAATTAAAATGCTCTTGTAATGAAATTTTATGGCTGAGCTCAAAATTTATAAAGGAGTAAAAATTATGAATGCCCCAGTGAAAAGCTTTGTCTCTCATTATTTATATTAAAGCATAGTTTTGGTTTATTAGGAGCCCTTGTTTTTTGCCAGTCATCAATTTAAGAAGGTATTATTTAATTTGTATATTATTCCAAGAAAAGAGATTATTCCATAAAATTAATAAAAAAACACCCACATTATTATATTGTACATAGTTTAAACAACATATCAAAATGGAGAAATATATATTTTGCAGGAACATGTATTCTGGGTTGTGTCTCTTAACACATTATTTATACTTGTATTTGGTAAGTTTCTCAGAATAATTTATTTTTAGTTCACCTTAGCACAAAGTGTTCAAATCAAATATGAGCTGTTGTGGTCGATTTGTGTCCGTTTGTCTGTTATTGGTTGTCATTTCACACTTTTCTTTACATAAAATTTTATAATAAAATTTGACTGAAATTTACAGGAATTACCTTAAGGTACTTCTTTTATTAGAGCCAATATGCTGACCAGGTTTAAAATCAATTATAGAAAAGAAATTAAAAAAAAACTCTTTTCTCTCAGATGCTATAGGGCCCAAAGTAAAATATTTATCTTATAGCATGGTCTAGTACTCTTAAATTTTTTTAAATAATGTTACCTTTGAGGGTAAAAATTGGCTCTACTGGTACAGTTATTATTTAAAGACTTTGTTAAGTTGTATTAATCAAAGCCCCAGAGCTAAGTTTGTTATAACTGGTGTCACTTTAAGGGTTAAAGTTTGGTGTGTAGCATTCAATTTCCCTAGTGGACTGCTACAAAGTACATGTAATATGAGCCGCGCCATGACAAACCAACATAATGGGTTTGCGACCAGCATGGATCCAGACCAGGCTGCGCATCCACCCAGTCTTATCAGGATCCATGCTGTTGGCTATCAGTTTCTCTACTTGTAATAGGGTTTGTAAGCGAACAACATGGATCCTGATCAGAATTTGCGTATGCGCAGGCTGGTCTGGATCCATGCTGGTCGCAAACGCACTATGTTGGTTTTGTCGTGACGCGGCTCATATAAATCATGGTCATCATTGTCATAATGGCTTATTATTTAGGAACTTTTTAATAACTTTCACTCAGCGAAGTGACACGGGACACATTGGGCTTCTTGTTTTGCTTTCGGTTATTCATTAAAAAAATTATAAAAAAAATTCTGTTATGCCCCCACAAAGTGGGAGCATATAGCGTTGCACTTGTCCGTCCGTCCTTACGTCTGTCTGTCTGTCCGTCTGTCTGTACGTCCCGAAATCTTGTGAATGCAACTCCTCTTTAACCGGATGGCAGATTTTGCTTAAACTTCCAGGGATGAACAACCTTAATGTGTAGATAGTAGTAAAGGAAGGAATTTTCACTGCAACCAAATTTAACAGAATTATGGCCTTTTGTTGATTTTTTCACTATATACTATGTAGAAATTTTGTGAATGCAACTCCTCTTAAACCGGATGACAGATTTTGCTTAAACTTCCAGGGATGAACAACCTTAATGTGTAGATGGTAGTTAAGGTAGGAAGTTTTGCTGCGACCAAATTTAACAGAATTATGGCCCTTTGTTGATTTTTGTGCCCCCACGTTAGTGGCGGGCATTTAGATTTACCCTTGTCCGTCCGTCCGTCCGTCCGTCCGTCCGTCTGTCCGTCCGTCCTTCCGTCCGTCCTTCCGTCCGTCCGTTCACTTTTGTGTCGCACGTAACTCAAAAAGTATTTGACCTAGAGTCATGAAACTTTACAGGAATGTTGATCAGCATGTGTAGTTGTGCACCTGGGTATTTTCATCAGGAAATTTTTAGTATTTTCAGAGTTATTGCCCTTGACTTAGTAAAATTTTGCAATTTTCAACTTGTGTCGCACGTAACTCAAAAAGTAATTGACCTAGAGTCATGAAACTTTACAGGAATGTTGATCAGCATGTGTAGTTGTGCACCTGGGTATTTTCGTCTGGATATTTTTAGTATTTTCAGAGTTATTGCCCTTGACTTAGTAAAATTTTGCAATTTTCAACTTGTGTCACACGTAACTCAAAAAGTATTTGACCTAGAGTCATGAAACTTTACAGGAATGTTGATCAGCATGTGTAGTTTTGCACCTGGGTATTTTCGTCTGGATATTTTTAGTATTTTCAGAGTTATTGCCCTTGACTTAGTAAAATTTTGCAATTTTCAACTTGTGTCGCACGTAACTCAAAAAGTATTTGACCTAGAGTCATGAAACTTTACAGGAATGTTGATCAGCATGTGAAGTTGTGCACCTGGGTATTTTCGTCTGGATATTTTTAGTATTTTCAGAGTTATTGCCCTTCAGTTAGTAAAATTTGGCAATTTTCAACATGTGTCGCACGTAACTCAAAAAGTATTTGACCTAGAGTCATGTAACTTTACAGGAATATTGATCAGCATGTGCAGTTGTGTACCAGGTATTTTCGTCTGGATTTATTTAGTATTTTTAGAGTTATTGCCCTTCACTTAGAAAATTTTTGCAATTTTCAACTTAAGTCGCAAGCTTCTCAAAAAGGATTTGACATAGTCATTAAACCTTATGGGCAGGTTGCCCAGCATATTTTAGATTTGCACCTGGGGTTTCACTTGTGGATTTTTCCAGTATTTGTAGAGTTATTTCCCTTGACTTTGTAAAAAGATTGACAGAACAGTGGCGCGGTGGGGGCACCCGTGTCCTATGGACACATTTCTAGTTTCACTTTATACCATATAGAAATTTTGTGAACGCAACTCCTCTTAAACCGGATGGCAGATTTTGCTTAAACTTCCAGGGATGAACAACCTTAATGTGTAGATGGAAGTGAAGGAAGGAATTTTTGCTGCGACCAAATTTAACAGAATTATGGCCCTTTGTTGATTTTTTCACTATATACCATATATATGTTGTCAGTGGGGGCATCCGTGTCCTTTGGACACAGTTCTAGTTTTCTGTCTGACTGTTGAAAAAATTCTGCAGTTTGTTTTCATTAAATTTGGAAATTGATATCTTTATTGTACAATATGTTTTTTCAGCATTTTGTCCATATCATATTGGTCACTTTACAATGATTGGAATGAAGATGGAAGATGTGGTAATACATTTTTTATATTTTTAAAAATTCTAAGATTTTTAAAATGACAAATTACAATACATCCCCCCCCCCCCCCAAAAAAAAAAAGTTATGGCAATAGTCACAAAATAACCTTTGCAGATTGTGTTATGTACACTGTTGTGTTCCTTTTTTATTATAAAGAAAAAATAATCTATTTTATACTAAACCATATACAGTGCCTTTCATGGCTGATTCACTTGCCTTTCATCTTTAAATAATTACTGCAAGTATCGTTGAATTTGAATACTGCCAGTTATGTTGAATATTTTTATATGAGGAACATATTCCGTCTGGCTTACATACGGCTGATTGGTCAATGGAGGTGGCTAGTTGTGCCTGAAATAAAGCATTGAGGACTGGATTTCTTCTCCCACCAGTTAAATTGGGGAAAAAAAAAACAACACATTACAACTAAGGTTAGACATTAAACATGTAAACTGTAATAAAGGCATAAAAAGAAATAAACAAAATTAAGAGATCATGAGCTTATGATATTATTTATCATTTCAGGTTGAAGCATCACATTTTGAGGGTTTACTTACAACGTTGATAGGCTATGTTGTTATAGCATTCTCTCTGATCTTCTTGTATGCCATCTGTTCCTTGATCAGATTAAAAAGGTTTGTTGTCAATGATTCTTCAATAATTCCGTAAGTTATATAACTCTTACTTTGGTTTCAACATTAAACATATTTATGTTGGCATGATTATGATGAAAGTTTTAGAAATTACCTGCTACCTGGATCTAATTAGTACTGGTGTCCTATGTGAGGAAATGTGGTTGTGACACTAGTAGAGGTCAAAACAACAATTCCTGGGTTGAGATGCAGACATCTTAATCCTTTACCTTATAATTATATACGTGATTTAACGCAGAAGTTGCAGCACTTTGAAATCAGTTTTAATGGAAAAAAAAATCAGCGCAAAATAGTGATTTATGGCAATTTTGAGATGTCCTCTCATTGCCATGGTAACAGGAAATTTAAGATTTAGCATACCGTTACAAAGGCTATGTGGTCCAGTAAACATTTGTGCCAACTTTGATTAGTATGAAAGCATTTTTTATACTTTCATAGCATTTTGAACTTGTAACAGTTGCTTTTCAATGAAATCAGTCATTTTTCGCAAAATGCTTATGAAGTAATGGGTTAAGAAACAAGCCCATCTCTCCTGAAATCTTAATTTAGCTGCAAATTTTTTGCTTCTTCTTTCCCTTAAACAGACCCTTTCCAATCAAAAATAAAGACATATTTCCCCAATTCTGTACCTAAAAATTACTCCTACAAAGGCTTGAGATAATTTTCTTGCCGAGTCAATAAATGCAGAAAATTATCCAAGTGAAATTTATAATGTGCCGATGAAATAAATGCGAGTTGCAAAGATTATCAAGCCCAGACTTTTAAATTTCACATATTTTACTACAACCACCTATCAAAGCATATTCGGGGATCATTTTGATTTAATTTTTTTATTTTTGGGTTTTGCGGGTTTAATATGTGTTTTATGTTTAAACAGGTTTCCACGAGTGTTGGTCTGTGTTTTTGGTTGTCAAGGTGAATTTAAATTGGTTGTCATAGAATTGGGTTTTTTCCTTTTATATGTGGCCCGGGGGCTAGATATCTTTTCCCTGGGAGTGCTTATTAAATGTATTGTTTTTTGCATTTTTAAAGGGTTAAATTTTTTTTGTGAATTTTTTTAAAAACTTAGGCTATTTTTTAAAGGGGAGGAAAATGAAGGAATTAATTTAACAATACTGAATTTTTTTAAAAGGTTTAATAAATTGAAATGCGACCCTCTGGAGCTTTATATTATTTTTTTAAAAAGACCCAAAAAAACTAGTAATGAACTTACACAAATTTAATTTCATTTATCACATACCAAAAAAAAAGATTTTTGAATGATAAAAAAACCCATTTTTCATAGGTGCGCCTATATATAATGATACATTTAGGCGTCTTAAATTTTATTTTATAAAATGAAAATGATTGTTGTCAAAATATGCAGGGCCTCAATTACCATTTTAGGGGTGTGAAGGGGATGGATCAATCACTTATCTGTTCTTAACACTTTAACATCAAAATTGTTATTTTCAAAAAAAAAGGGTTAAAACTTTTAGTACCAAAAAAAACTATTTTAATTTTTCAGCCCATGTTTGACGCTACTTTTGAAAATCGTAAGACAAGTTTTCATGTGGCCCTGGTACATTATTTTATCCACGGGCTGTTGGTAGGGTGTAGTTTTTACTTCGCCTCATTTATTTTGTTACTGGGGGAGGTGCCCCGCCGGGCGTACTCGGGTTTTCCTAAAAACCTCAACGACCCAAATTTTAAATCCAATCAAGAGTTTGTTTTTTTTTCTCTTCTTCAAATTTATTAAATTTTTGAAATTTAAACTGACCCTTATTAATTTTAAAGTTTGGTAGGGGAAATTTGAATTGGTACCGTAAAAAACTGGGAAAATTTCAAAAATTCAAACATTTTTTCTATTTAATTTTCTTTTGACTTTTTATGTGTTTCTTTTCTGAAATTTTTACCAATATAAAAATTTAAGTAGCTTAATCTTTTTCAAAAAAAAACCCTTCGGTTTAAAATATTTAAGATGTTTTCCTTTAATAAAAAATCGAATCTAAAAACTTAAAAGACAAAATTGTTATATTGAGATGATACATTTTTCCAGTGTACAGACATACCGAAATTTTTTTGCCTTTTTGTTTTCATATTTGGTACATGTTTACTGAGCTTGGTTCCTGTGAGATAACAGAAAAGTGTTTCCAGGTTTCCTGCCATATAACGTCATGTTGTCAAGGTAGTACACATTATACATTTATAATGCATTTATGTTTAAGACAAATAACGCTTAAATTTGATATTTTGAAATGTAAAATAAACATCTTAGGAATATTCACAGAGAATAAGAGATTCATACATGGCAGAGTAGGGCCAGAAATTGATTATTGGCCACAAAATGAATACTGGTCCTGAGGGCTTCAGCCCGAGGGCATTATTCATTTCTGGGCTTCTTTCATTATGTGTATACAATCAATACTAGGATCAAGAAGCAAGTTTTATTTTCATATTCTCTGAAATAATGTATCAAATTGATTGAATTAGATTTCAATAAAACTCTCATCATAAATTCAAGAGAGTCGTGCTTAAAGCCTACTTTCACTTTTGTAGCGTAAACATTGTTTCATTTAACTGAACTTGACAGACAGATTTGATGTTTTTGTTCTCAAAACTGGTTTTAATAAAAATAGATAGTATTAAATTCTTGGATTGTTGTTAACAGATTTAACACTGGCATATATACATGTGCAAAGGTTTTATTTTTTCTGTCGACAGTTTTAAGTTTCTTATTCCCTAAACCTAGACAGGTTTAAAATTTTTATTCCCAAAACTGATTGTGATACACAGGTTTTGTGGTTGTTATAGTCAGGTATTTTTTGTTTCCAAAACATTTCTCAAATGACAAGAGTTGACTATACTACATGAAACCTATTTATGATATTACAGTGATGCACCTGTCAGTGAATTATCACTGGAACTGTTGTTATTACAAGTGGTTCTACCTGCCCTGCTAGAGCAAGGTCATACTAGGATGTGGTTAAAGGGCTTGGTGCGGGGCTGGACCCTGTGTGTAGCCTGGATGCTGAATCTACGATCATACCTTGTCGGGGACGTGCAGCTCGACGACCATGTAAGTTACTGCAAAATCATTATTATTGGCAGGGAACTAATACTTGTGTTTTTCATGGATAGGTCAATTCAACGGAATTTCTTTCATCTGCTGTAAGATTATTTTGCATCATATTATTTAAGGGTAAAATATCTTTTTGAAAAAAAACCAACAAAAACAGTCAACAAATTTAAGAACCCCCAAAAATGTTCTTTGTGACAAAACCACACAATTTTGTGCCCATGAAATTAAGTGAATTCACAGTAACTGGCTTGATCAGCTTCATATACATTTTTGTAAGTCATAGGCTGATTGTTAATATCTAACCGGAATATGAAGACGAAAATTTAACGTGGTCAAATAAAAGTATACAGTCTCTTCAGACTGCACGAATATGCGAGCTGACCTAGCACTTTACATGTGGCAAATGCTAATCTATTTCTGTTCCAGCAGGGTTAAGGATAAAAAATTTAATATTCACAATGTATAGCTTTTTGTTGACTTTTTGAAGTGAGTAACTGTCAAAGAAGTTTTGTTAGTTAAGCATGACTTTGTTGATATCGCAGCCTGTGGAGACCCTTATTTTACAACTTTAAATGTAATCTATATGTATATGGTGGGATATACAAAAAGAAGCATAACAGGTTTTTTAAATACCTCAACTTTAAGGTTATTTTACTAATATTTAGTCAAAATTAGTTGAAAGTTGGTCATTTGTATTATACTGACATAAATTCACTTGTTTAACATATCTGTGGTGGGGTGGCATTCTAAGGAAAGGAATTTATAAATGTGCAAAGATTTTGATTAACAATGGAAATGTGCATTTAAATTAAAGGTCCCTTATGATTTTGTTCATATTTTGCTCTTGTAGACAAGTTTTCAAGCATTTACCTGAAGTTCAGGTTTTTTTGTACTCCTGAAAGCATAAAACCAATTAAAATGATGCTAAATTCAGGGTTTTCAAGTTTTCTTACATGTTGCACTAGCACCTTGTGTATATTATTAATTATTATTTTTGGATGATGTTTACTGTATATTTTAGGATAATGTTTATTGTATATTTTAGGATAATGTTTACTATATATTTTAGGATAATGTTTATTGTATATTTTAGGATAATGTTTATTGTATATTTTAGGATAATGTTTATTGTATATTTTAGGATAATGTTTATTGTATATTTTAGGATAATGTTTATTGTATATTTTAGGATAATGTTTATTGTATATTTTAGGATAATGTTATACAAGGTGATGCTGCAGCAGCTCCCGCTGGTCCACCACCCCCACCTGCTGGTAACCATGGTAACAATGCCCCGAACAATCCTGTACCTCCACCAGGCCAGCCAGGGGGACTTGCAGCAGCCCATCAAGCTATGTTACAGGCTGGAGGGCCAATAGGCTTTCAATCATACAAGAGGCCAAATCTCTTTTATTTTAGAGTATGTTTGATTTGTTATTATTTTTCATATCTTGAGAAAGTTATAATTAATAGTTTATTTTAGTCAATTGAGAAGATTTTATTTTTTGTCTAATAAAGTCTTAAAGCAACTTAAAACCTTGCTTTTCTATTTAACTAGTACTGTTTATTTTACTACTTAAATGTCAAACAAGGTTTCAAAAAGTTTAAGGACAATGCTTGTATTGCCTTATAAGGAAACTACTACTTACTGAATAGTTCTAGGACTATCTTTTATCTAGCATTTAGTCATAATGGAGGTTTAATTAATCAAACTGATGGGGAAAAAATGTTGTTAATGTAAACAGTTAATACCAAATCATGTTTTGTGGCCCAGGATATTGCTCTGTCTCATATAAATTATTATTACCCCACATTTCGCATCCATGATGCAATCATTGTTTTGTATTTTAAGGTTTAACTCAGTGGTTTTTTGACATGTCGAAAGTGTCAAAAGTGTCATCAAAGATTTACTTTGCTCAAATTTGAGAAATATATGAGAAAATATTGATAAATGCTACACTATGAAATAAACATGTTTTGATATTCAAATAAGACAAAGTAAGAATTTCATAGATTTCAATAGATTATTGCAATTAAAGTATTTTATTCAAGGATGAGCAAAGAATATCTATAATACATGGTTGAATTATTTTGTGCATGATTTATGATGAATTATATGGTCATTATTAATGTTGAATTATAACCTATTATATGGTGTATTTATTTCAGATTGTGTTGCTGGTAGCTCTAATGTGTTTTACATTGTTTGCAGCCAGTGTTGTTTGTCTTATACTGCCAGGTTAGTTAGTGTACATTAAATCCTAATAGATATACGGTCTCAAAATAAAGTTTTCAAATCTTCATATATGGTCCATCTCATAATAAGTCTTATCAGTAATACTGTATAAGTGCTTAATTTTGGGACGTGAAAATATTTGTGAAATTTTCGAATCAAAATAATTTGCAAATTATTGAGCCAGCAACAGTTACATCAACTTAAGTAAAGTCTTTATTCATCATTTTACCATTCCATCGGTACACCAGTTAATATGTATATATATCCCGTTAAAAATAACAGCTTGTTGAAAACAAACCAATAATAACAAGATTTAATGTTTATTTAATATATCACAATATGAAATAGTAACAAAAAGGGTTCATAATAAATTGTTGTGTTAATATTATGGAAGTTCCAGAAATCATACTTCCGCAAGTATTTCTGCATGGAAAAAATTTTTTTGGACATTCGCAAACTTTTTGTGACGTTAAAATATTCACTTATACAGTAATAGCTTTCCGAAATTTTCTAAAAACATGTATAACCTGCTATATTTATTTGCCTATGTGACCAGTAGAGAGCCAGGCTAGCCTCCCCATCCATGCTATGCAACCAAGCTCTAAACAATGCTTGATTTTATATTATACTTTTACATATTGAATCCCCAAATTTGTTGACAGTTCTGTATTGAATATAGTAGGGAAAGTTCATAATACGTATCAAGATGGTTAAGAGAATTTATGAAATCTTCTGATCAATTACCTAAATGGGTTTTTAAAAAAATGCTGAAATTTTAAAAACTTCACTATTATATATTTCAGTATTTTTTGGCCGAAAGTTGATGTCATTATGGATGGGAGAAGCTAAAATTCATGAACTTTATACAGCTGCGTGTGGATTATACGTTTGTTGGTTAATGTTAAGGATAGGAACAGTGCTGTATAACTGGATACCACAGGGTACTGCGGCCATACTCAATAAACTTAAACAGTGGCTTATTTTGGTAAGTATAAGTATTTAAGTAGTGCACAAAGATGTGAAGAGATTTAATCTATATTTAATTGGTAATGAAAATATGATATTTCTTTAAAGGAACTCCACTGAGGTGTAATAGCTTAAAGATCATAAAATTTGAAATTCTTTCATAAATCAAATGGGTACTTAGAATGGAAAACTATGTTATAGATGTTATGTAAATATATATACCTGGTATTAAATTGAAAATTGACTTTTTGATGTCATATTTGTGCAATAACAGCTGCCGAAGCATGGGAATGCTTTTATATTGTAAGACTGTTTTGGTTTTACTTAGTCAAAGGGCTTTGCAGATGATAATGTATGAAAGAAGGTGCATAAGTGCTATTCTTGCATAAAAGTATATGTCTCATTCAATTATCCCGCATTTCCTTTAATGTAATAAGAAGTCAGTTTTGTCATGCTTTTCACATGCTGGTGCAATGTCATGTGCCAGCTATATTATGATAATGAAACTTCTGGGGCTGTCATTGCAGTAAGCTATTTTACATAATACCCTGAGACACGCATATTAAGAAATGTACTGCCTCCGTGGTCGAGGGGTTACCGTTAGAGTCAATGACTTCTAATCTAGTTACCTCTCTGGCGTGGGTTTGATCCCTGGGAGATGCTTTGGTAGTTTAGCACGGAGGAAGGTAGTCTAGTACTGGTGTAACTTTCCAGGAACGATGGTTAAGAAACTACCCGCCTATATGACTGAAATACTGTTGGGAAAAGGGGTAAAATGAAACAAACAAACGAATAAGAAATGTACAACATTAACACATGCTCTTGTGATTTTCTCCATTAATGCCTGTTTCAATTTCTTAATCTATAGCTGCATCCATAGCATTTATACAAAAGTTTGAGATACTTACATTGATACACAGACATTTTATGTTTTATGATAATTACTCTGGTTATATTACAGGCATTAAAGTCACTATTTGTAGCTGTAATTTTGATGGGAGTTGTGCCATTGTTACTGGGTCTGTTGTTTGAGCTTGTAGTGGTAGCACCATTGAGGGTGTCACTGGATCAGACCCCAGTCTTCTTCCCCTGGCAGGTATGTATCTTTACAGTAACATCTTATTTCAAGTCTACGAAACATTCAGTTTTGTCTGTGAATATGAAAGTGTAGAACTTTGCACTTTCAGTGTTGAAAATGTGTAAGTGGCTAATAGCTTGGTCAGTAGAGCTGCAGAATGTTATTCCAAGAGTCCCGGGTCAGGCTGCACATTTTTCTCGACCTTTGCCATTAAGTTATCATAGACTTTCCTTTCGAGTAACACTTGCAAAAATAGCTGACCTATGCTACTAGGTAGTAGTCAGGTTAGCTTGCACTGTCTTGTGACTTTATCAAGCTCTGTATGTTTGTTATCAAAATCCCTGAGAACTGAAAATGGACAGGTCCGGATTCTTAGCTGTACATGTCCACTTCACAAAATCTGCCAGATATGAATATAGGCACTTCATTGCAAATTAGTTCTTAGTTTTTTAAATGAATTTCCGAAGCACCAATGTGAATTTAAAAATGATAGTTGATGGTTTTATTAAAGAGTTGGCATGCTGTTGAGAAAATCAGTGGAGAATACTAAGGGGTATTCACCACAAATAAAGCTAATTGTGCTATACACTAAATACATGTATGTCCCTGTTAATATTTCTGTACAGCCAGTTAGTGGTTACACAAATTTATTACCTTTCATGAAATAAGTTCAAATAACAACACTTGTTACTTCAATTTCAGAATTATCGTGCACTGTTCATGTTCCTAAGAAGTACATGTATCAAATGAATGTAATGACTGTTTAAATAATACATGGATATGAATGTATATTATGTATATAAAATTCTGTTTCAGGACTGGGCATTAGGTGTTTTACATACTAAAATTATATGTGCTGTTACAATGATGGGTCCACAATGGTGGCTCAAGCGTGTCATTGAGCAGGTGAGACATTAATTCTTTACACATGTGTTTTGTGTAGTTGATTCGGTCAACGTGATAAGGCCATAAATTAATTTTTTTCCATGCTTTCTCCCTATATTTTGTTCTTATCACTGAAGTGAAGGCAACAATATAAAGTATAAAAAGAAGTCATTGATGCTCTTGTCTATCAAATATTTTATTAAGTACGCTTTTTTGTGCACCTTAAGACAGAATTTTTATATTGAAATTGTGTGAAGGTCATTGTTTGACCGAAACTGGTCGATCTATAAGGTAATTTAAATTAACTCCTGTGTTTTGACATGTTGTTCTACTTTTCTTATTTACTTCTAAATGTTTTGTTAGTTTAAATATATTTGGATAAACTCTTGGAAAACAAGTACTTGCAACTTATATAAATAACTCTCAAGTCTGTTTCCTGGAACTAACTGGCGTTATATGAGGAAATATGGTTGTCAAAGATTGATGCTAAATTACTGGTGTATAAACATATTTATACTATATTACAGGTATATAACACAGATTTATACTATATTACAGGTATATAACGATGGATTACGCAACATGAATCTCAAGTTTATTCTTTACAAGTTATGTTTTCCTGTCATTGGTGTGCTAGGCATGTCGTTATCTGTCCCATATGTTATAGCAAGAAGTCTTGTTCCAGCATTAGGTATGTATAGATCAATTGTACAGTGAAATCAGTAGAAAATAGCAGGATACATGGTTTAGTTAAAAATATTACCTGACGACAAATCTTGTGCTTGGGGTTTGATATCTGTTTGCTCTAAAAAAACAAAACTACACGGACAAATGTAATGGTCTTTTGTATAGGACTATAACAGCAAGGTCTGGTGTATTTTTGCTTTAAATCTGTAAACCCTACAGAACCATTAAATGACTTAAATGCCTTTAGAGTTACTAAAGAACCAGTGTTTTTTCCTCAAACATGGAATTTCAATCCTGTAATATCATCAGTAAAGATAGACTAGCAATCTTATATATGGGTTTATGATATAAAAATACCTGTTCAGAAATGCATCAGTATTTTCTAGCTCTGGTACATCCATCTTGCTGTACATCCGTAGACTGAATTGTGGGGGCATCTGTGTCCTATAGATATATGTCTAGTTGAAATTATAAGCTGTATGATTGAAAAATTGATGTTGTTTCAGGCAATACTTGAGTAAAGCTCAAAATAAAATTGATATGATTGCTGTTGTTCTACTAATGTAGTCAGTTGTATATCATACACACCTAGGGGTGTCAAACATTGATCAGTAACAGCATTATATATAATTTATTGTTATATTAGCCAATATTTTATAAATGCCCTGTTGAACTCATATAATGGACTGGCTGTGCTTTTATTTTGAATCTGTCCATTATTTGTAAGAGGGGTTTCTTTATTTGTTTGTTAGCTGTCTAGTATAAATATGGTAAGACTGTATGGATGCACAAGCTAGTCTGAGACTATACTAGTGGTATGGGCACAGTGGTTGTTACTAACTTTCAATATAGGGTTAACGCACGTTTTTCCGTGTTATAACGTCTGCAGAGTCCCGAGGAACGGTTGGTGCCCGAGCCCGGTAGGGCGAGGGCTCCAACAGTTCTGAGGGACTCTGCAGACTTTATAACACGAAATAAACATGCGTTGACGCTATTATAGCATAAAATTTTAAAACAGATTCATGATGTTTATTTAATACAAAACACAATACATTAAATCCTTGTGCTTGGACGGTATTTATCCAATTCTACATGTTTTAAGTATGCGTTTTATTTTTCCGGGGCCAACAACGAACCGAACGAAATTTTGAATTTTAATTGATATTATAAAGCTTGGCATTGGAGATACATTATTATCTCAAGGGAAAAAGCAACGTAACATTACTCTACCCAATACAAAACATGACCCTCAGAAATTCTTAGAATGATTTTAGATTGACGGTAGAAAAAAGATCAGTGACGTCATCAGAATCGGGTTTTTTTCAAGCACACAAGTTTATAAAAAAAATCAGACACTAAACATTATTCTCTCAAAGAAATACAAAGAGCATTTATCAACATAAGCATCAATAAAACAGCATGTTCTCATATTCATTTTGAGTTATCTTGTTTTGTAAGTTAATCGGAGAATTAAACTGAATGCCAGTAATTTGTTTACATTGACAACTGTCCGTTTCTTAGAAAGGGCGACAAGCAAGATTAGCAGCGATGTCTATACGCCGTATTTCCGGCATAGTTACTTGAATGCTGCTCGCCGTATTTAATGCGATTGAGGCCCTCGAATCAATAATTTCAATATAACAAGAGCGCACAACTCTTTGGCAAACAGGCCAAATCGTCATATTTTTTTGTTTGTTTACTGGGCCCTGTATGTATTGCGCATAGGTGAAACCGGGCTATAACAAGAGCGCGTGACTATGTTAACACATGGTTTTGGTCCCGTTATAACATGGGCAAAAGAGGGAAAAATAGCCGATTTTATGCTATAATGTGTAAAGGGACTCTACCGAGGTTTTCTGACATGACAGGACTAGAAATATTTTCCTAATAAATGTATACTATTTGATGAAGGTCTGGACCAATAACTTGTGCGCATACTTTCAGACCATTCCCTCACTACGTTTTTCAAGAATAATTATTTTAATTGTGCAAAATGACCCAGAAATAAAAAGTTTTTCTCTCAAATCGGGCTAAGAATTGCACAATCAATATTCAATCAATACTGAGTATTTTCTTTGCTATATTTTGCAGATTTCCCATTTAAAATGATTAACAGTGTATATATAAGAATTTCAAATTTTGTGATTTCAAGCTTTTTTGACTTCAGTGGAGTGCCTTTAACAATTATATTAACCTTCTGTAAAAATTATTGAATGACATTAAATTGCTGACATATTTGAGTGTATTTTTGCAGGTTTTGATTTTGATGTACAGAATTTTGTATTACGAAGAATTTACCCATTCCTGTTAGCGTGTGTTGTTATGGTGTTTGTGTGTGTATTCCAAGCTAGACAGTTTAAAAGGCTTTATGAACATATTAAAAATGACAAGTATGTATATAATATATATTTTTTTGTTAAATCTTTGTGGAGAGGCCAATTTAGAGGCCTTTGTAGCAAATTTGTTTATATTACTGAGGAGGTGTCCTTGGCCGAGTGGTTAAGGTCATTGACTTCAAACCACTTGCCCCTCACCGCTGTGGGTCCAAATCCCGACAGGGACTTTGGATTTTTTCATGTGAGGAAGCTATCCAGCTGGCTTACATAACTCAGTGGTTCTACTTGGGTGCCCATTTGGGTGCTGGAACGTTGTCATATGACCTGTACTGTGTCGGTGTGGCGTAAAACCCAATCAAACAAACATTTATATTACTGACTTTACATCGTCTGCCCTGATAAGTTACTGATTCGAATCCAGCCAGAGACAGAACATTTATGACATTTATGTCATATGATTATTTGGTTGATGGTTCTTCTGAGATACTTGCTTGTAGATGATGTAATGTATGCAGCACATCTAATGTCTCCCTCCAGTATAGGTGGAATGATGCCATATGACCATGACATTGTCATAATGAAATATTTTATTGATAGTTTTATAAATTATAACATAAAACCTTATTAAGAGGTCACTTATTATTTTTGATCATTTACTGCTAAAAGAATGAGTATGTGAACTTTATATTATTTGAAGAACTTATTTGTACATTAAATGTAATTGTATGTGATTTAAGATAAAAATGAAATGATATTTTCTATACCACTAACCAGTTGAAAAAGTCATTTTCATTGTCCTTGATTAGATTTTGTACCTATCTTCTGTATGCACGAAGTAGAGTAACTATTAAACAGACAAAGATGATTGATTTAAGTAACATACCTTTTGTTTGTCTATTTCCAGATATTTAGTTGGTCAAAGACTCGTAAATTATGATCCAAAGAGATTTGTTCGAAAATTAACCACAGAACAGACGGCGAAACAGACGTGAAACGTTTGACAGAGATTTGTGTGTGGATACATGATTACAATCAATAAGATAACAGTTATAATATGGTCTAGTCATACACCAAGTGCTATAACAGTACATGGAGTTACACATGAATAATACAATATTGAAAAAAATGAAAAATGAATAATATGTATTGTCAGAATGAATAATACATATGACAGATGAATAACATATACTGAGAGATGAATTATATATATACTGACGGATAAATGATACATGTTAAAAAAATGAGTAAGGAATATTGAAAAATGGTTTATACATATTGACAGATGAATAACACGCACTGACAGATGAATATTATATGTTTGAAAGTTTAATAAGACATGTAAGCAGATGAATAAGAAATATTCACAAATGATTACTACATGTTGACAGTTGAATAACACATATTGACAAATGAATAATTCTTATTGCCAGATGAATACTAGAAATTGGAACATTTTGTTTTTGAAATTTTAAGAAATAATAATTGCCATTCTTAAAGCAGCATGCCTCCAGGTTTATTTTAATTTTCTATGAAAATGTAAAAAATTCCTGAAAGATTGCATGTCATATATGCCGAAATGGCAGTTAATGAGTAGAGCTGAATGGAGATAAAATCAGTTGATTTTGTCACATTGTACAATGAAACTTGAAAAAAAGTCACTTTTATTGTGTATACATTTTATAAGCTAGTTCATTTCTCGTAAGTTGGATTTTTTTTCATTGAAAATTGATTTTCTTGTCTTGCAACGATTTTTAATTTTTTTTTATTTTGTAAAATAGAGACTGAAAATAGAAGTTTTTCCCATTTGACAAAGCTGTAGTAATTTGTTGTTGCCATGAAAGTAGGGGGAACAAAAATCAATGTCTGGGGGTGTGCAGCTTTTACTTTTACTATTTGATTGTACCCTGCCTTTAATTTGGAACAATCCATTGTTCAATAGACTTACTCTGGAATAAAGAATATGTTGGATTTTTACCAGCTCGTCTAGGGGTACAAACAAACTTTTACAGATTAAACATTAAGTGCAAGAGGTTGACTAATCTATTGTGAACGGTAGTGCTCCATGAAGCTATAACAGTAAAAGTTTTGTTTTGTACCAAGGGATAAGCTTGGAAAAACACACATTTGCCAAGTTTCAAATAACATCTATTAAGGGACTATAAGAGTATATAGTGCTTGAATTAAGCAGCCAGAAGTGTAGCCTAATTTGACAGCACAGGCTGGCCTTACTGTACTTTTGTAGCAGAGACTCAAACTTTGGTTAGTGCTCAAATGATTAAATGGCAAGATGATATTTTATACTGCTAACAGCTACATATGCTCTGTTTTCATCGTTTTTAATAGTGAATATTTGCTGTTTTGTCTTAATTGTACAATCTTTTGGTTTCATGGCTGAGTGGTTAAGGTTGCTAACTTCAAATCACTTGCTGCACACTGGTGTAGGTTCGAATCCTGTCGAGCAATTTTGGATTCGCCGATATAAGTTTGAATCCTGTCAAACAATTTTTGATCATCTCAAGTGAGTAAGCTATCTAACTAGCTTGTGGAAGGTTAATGGTTTAAATCCGAAGCCGGGTTGTGCCAGAAGTAGTGCATAGAGAGTCACTTTAGGTCTTCCTGCACCAGTAAAGCTGGAATGTCAACATATTACTATTACAGTCTTGGTGTGACTTTAAACTCAACAAGTTGAATACAACTTTGGCACAGTATAGCACAAATCTGATAGTTATGTGCTATGAAAAATTATTTTGCACATTATTTTTTTTCCAGTGCAATATAGGTTATCAGAATTTGATTAAAGTAGATTATTTATGTGTACATGTAGTTATTTATAAAGAATTTGTTGTTTTTAGGAAGCTCTATGCCTTTGTAAAAATTGGACATATGACATTAATATTTTAATTTGTTTACTTTGAAATATTTTATTTATTAAACATATATGGAAGTGACTAATATTCCTTTAACTCTAATCCTGCCAGTGGCATCTGATTCTACCAATGCAACCAGTGTGCCGGCTGAAAATTAAGTCTACATTATGCACTGGTCAGCGCATATTCTGAAATTGGTCAATGGTTTTGTCCAGATTTAAAGATGGACAGTTTTCAGGGTGGCAAGGGTTAAACTGGTGTCAAGTTTTTTCTCAATGTTTATTTAAATTTTTTGTACATATATATTATTTAATCAGAGTATGAAAGCAACAGTGCTGCTTTACCAGTACTGGTTGTAATATTTTTGAACAGAATCTGTCATAGTTGCACTGAAGTTTTTTTTTTTTAGTTTTTCTTTTTTCTTTTTTAGAAAATACCAATTCTTGTAAGGTAATAATAAGAGTTTTGAGGATAAATGTAATGTAAAAGCAATCGTAATTTTTTCAATTCAGTTATGGTATTTAAAATTTAAATGCCTCTCATGTACCCATTGTACATCTGGGTTCAGTGACGCAACACAGGGTATATTTATTTTGATGGACAATGTTCATAATTGGATCCGAACCAGGCACCTCATAATCCCAAACTACATTCTCCTAACACTGGACATCTGTACCACTAATGTATAATACTTGTAAAGTTATTTCTGTTCAGAGTACTGAATTTACAATGTAAAGCACTGCCTTTATGGATTGGAACCTTTAGTTAGGACCTATAAATGAATACAACAGAAAGAAAGAAAGACTGCCTTTTGTCCTGTATTTGTAGATTAATTTCAGATATTGTGCATGTTTTTGGGGGTTTTTGTTTTGGGTATTTTTTACTTTTCTGATAACTTTTTTTCCATTATGCATCATCAACTTTTCTTTTAAAAGACATTTTCTTTAAGTACAAGCCAATGATGACAAAGCAATACAGGAAAGATCGTTGTACAGTCTTTTACAATTTCATGTTTATTATTCAATTAATAGATGCTTGAAGAACATATATTTAAATTTTATTAAATAATGGGCTTCACATAGTTTTTACAAAGGTAACATATTAGAATCTAAAATTCATGTTTATGTTGTTATTTTTCCCCAATTAGATACAGAAAATAAATACAAGTACAGCTTTAATTTTTGTTGAATGTTCAATTTTGAAATACTGATTAGTTGTTATTATTATTGTAAATTGTTATTGTTTATGATAATTATTAGTTTATTCATATTGTATACATAGGGCGGAGTACTACATCTGCTGTCAATGTAATTTTGATTTTTTTACCCTTTCCTTTTGATTTTAAACACCTCTATACAAAGATAATGGGGCTATAGTACTCATTGAGATAAAACTTACATTAAGATTTAGTAGGCAAGTTAAACCAAAATGATTACTTAAGGTAAGTCTTTGTCACTGGTAAAGGGCAAGGCAAGTTTTTAAAAATTCAGACTAATACCTTCAGTGCAGCCTTACCATGCTCTATAATTTTGGCAGTCTACTTTAAAGATTTGCAATTAAATCCCCTAAAATGATAATGGACTGTTCAAAAATTAATAGGTGGACAAGTCCACCATAAGACAATCAGCAGGGTAAACTAAAGGTTAAGTAACTTATTAAATTATGCATTGATCTTCATTGGTATTATTCCCTTTCTTAAACTTTTCCCCTTTCTTTACAATTTCTGCACGGACCCTGTTTTACTATCATATAGAAAGTCATTCAGGCTGTCTGGTTCAAGGACATAACTCTAGCATTGATTTTCACTGAATTACTCCCCTTTGTGAATTAATTTAAAGAAGATACTGCATGGCTTGTATTTAACTGTCAAGGACTAAGAATAGTCTATTGTGCTGTTGTTTAAATTTATCATTCTAGAACTTGCAGCTTTAAAGTAGGATTTTCTTCTCTTTTTTTTCTTTTTTTTTGTATTTCATTTCTATAATTGAATATAATTGACTGTGATATAGGGGCTATTAAAGTTGAAAGTAATGAGTTTTCATTTATCAAGCTTTAAGGACAATATATCACTACATATATATATATATTTGAAAGGTGCTGTCTTAATGACTTTAGAATGTACTTGAAATGGTTGTAAAGAGTTCTCTTATTTAGCTAGAGTTAATATTTTGTTCGGGATCAAAGGATTTTATTATAAAGTTATATCTTACAAAATTTTTATTCAAACTTTGAATGGACTGTTCCAAAATCCAAAACCTTGGCATGTCTATTACCCAAATTCATCAGGTTTAGATTAACTTTTTAAGATGAATGCCAGGCAACTGCCATGTACAATGGGAATAAAGTAATTCTGATGTTGAATCAATGGTCAAATTATTACTACTATGTAAGGGTAAGGAATGAAAGCATGGAATTAAAAGTTGTTAGGAGTTGTTGAGAGGTAAATTTGCTGTGTTGAAAAAGATTTAATTTGTTTGAATGGAGAAAATGTAAAGTTCCAAAGTGACAGGGTGAGCTTTTGTGATCGCTTTTCGTCCGGCGTCCGTCTGTCCGTCCGTCGTTCGTAAACTTTTACTTTAAATGACATCTCCTCATAAACCACTGGGCCAATTTCATCCAAACTTCACAGGAATGTTCCTTTGGTGGTCACCTTTAAAAATTGTTCAAAGAATTTAATTCCATGCAGAACTCTGGTTGCCATGGCAACCGAAAGAAAAAACTTTAAATATCTTCTTTTAAAAACCCTAAGAGCTAGAGCTTAGATATTTGGCATGAAACATCTTCTAGTGAGTGTCTACCAAGTTTGTTCAAATAAAAGCCCTTGGGTCAAAATTTGCCCCGCCCCGGGGGTCAATGATTTTCCTTATATGTGTATAGCAAAAACTTAAAAAATCTCCTTTGAAAAAACCCAAATAGCTAGAGTTTAGATATTAAGCTTGAAACATCTTCTAGTGAGTGTCTACAAAGTTTATTCAAATAAAAGCCCTGGGGTCAAAACTGGCCCTGCCCCAGGGGTGTCATGTTTTTAACTATATGTGTATAGTAAAAACTTTAAAAAATCTTCTTTGAGCTAGAGCTTAGATGTTTAGCATGAAACATCATCTTATGGGTGTGTGTGGGGGGGGGGGCTATATACAGGTGAGCGACCTCAGGGCCATCATGGCCCTCTTGTTATTATTGAATAATTGGTGTAATCATGATCCCCCTGGTAGGAAAATATATTTTCCAGTTAAAAAAGTCCTCATTTCTACTCATTATGAAAATATAAGCCTGCATAATATTATACAAAATGCTGATGGATATATGTTGATTCAGTATGAACATATTGTGAAGAAATGTTTAACATTGTAATTATTATACATGTACAGTGCATAGTGGTTTTCAAACTTAAACACATCTTCAATTATCCTTCAAAGTCAAGAGCAGGAAAGAGCATCTTCTTTGTACAAAATAACATGTGTTTATATTTTTGTATTTGATCGATAAAATATTTATAAAAATCATTTCTTCTTTCCTATTAGTTGTTATAGTTAAAAAAACAATTGTAATGTAATGACAGATATATAGGATTCTTACACCTGGACAATTTTTTGATAATTTAGATAAATATACAATTAACACATTGTGCACAATTTTGAACATGTTTTCTAATTTAAATGCTCCCCGAAAATTGTTTGTTAGAGCATATGGTTGCCAGTTTGCCTCTCTTTCTGTTTCTGTAATAGTTACTTACCATTTTTCATTTCTTAACGGATGGTGTTCATGTATTGGTAACTTCCAAACCTCCAAAGGTCTACAGGGTGAAGGTCGTTGGTGCTAAAAATAGATTTTCCTATTTTTCCCGTCACACTGATGCCATCTTTATTGTTTTGTCAAAGAGGCCTTGGGAGACATACATAAGTGTTACCAATATTTTTGTTAATCAACAGAAATCTGAAAATGCTGATTTACTAATAAAATTATACAAAAAAGTATGTCTTGCATGAAAAGTGATGTAAAAATGATTCTGATGATAATTTTCTGTCGGATATATCATGTTTGTACTTGTATGAATATTAATAAACATTTGTATTATTTTTTTTATGGATGATCTAATATTCATAATTACATGTGCTGTTTATTGGTGTATTTTGTATAAATATAATGTCTCTACATGTGTTAATGAAAAAAAAAAGATTAACAACATAAAAACTGTGTCAGTGTTTTGAATTTTTAGTTCATAGGCAGTTATGGTTAGATATAAAAGTGTCTTTCAAATTTCTATTTGAAAGGCCCTGGATATAAATATAGGACAGATGGTTATTGGGATGACCAATGAGATGGTTATCTGTGCAGTGGGACAGATGATCTGTTATGTGCTTGGTGAGATATAATAATAGATGATTGGATGGTGACAGTTATCTGTCTGATGAGATATGTTAATGGTAAGGATGAGATAAGACTTAGATAGATGGTCAATTGTCTGTACAGTGTGATATAAGACCAAGATAGATGGTCAGTTGTCTGTACAGCGTGATATAAGACCAAGATAGATGGTCAGTTGTCTGTACAGTGTGATATAAGACCAAGATAGATGGTCAGTTGTCTGTACAGTGTAATATAAGACCAAGATAGATGGTCAGTTGTCTGTACAGTGTGATATAAGACCAAGATAGATGGTCAGTTGTCTGTACAGTGTGATATAAGACCAAGGTAGATGGTCAGTTGTCTGTACAGTGTGATATAAGACCAAGATAGATGGTCAGTTGTCTGTACAGTGTGATATAAGACCAAGATAGATGGTCAGTTGTCTGTACAGTAAAGAATAAGATTGAGGTGGACAGTTGTTTGTCCAGTGAGATATTTTGAGTATCTGTACGTCAAACTTGATACAAGTAATCTGAACTTTATCAATATGGAACCTTTGCATAAAATAACAAAACAAACTTATGTTATTCTCTGATTATTATGGCAAGAAGATGACTGATATTCCACAACACAAGTCCTTTAAGTCTGAAATCATTTCAGTATTCATTCATGGAGGAAAAATCCATAATTTCATGTGAATAAATGGAGCTGTAGCAATCAGTGAACTCTAGCTACCTACATATTTCAGAGAAAGCGAAAAAAATTGTTTCCTGCAATTTGTAATCCCCTGAAAATACTTCTTGTACTTACTCATCTTGTTCAGATATACCGTACCATGCCGGTATATACCGTACGGTGACGGTATATTACGGTATATATCCACTCCAATTGTGACAGAAATTATCCAGTTCGCGCGCTAGATAAGTAAACAGAAAATGCCGAGGAAAAGAAATGGTATTTTACTGATTTTCAGCATTTATTTTGTTTAGTTTGAAGCAATATATGTCAATTATTATTTTATTAAAATAAGGCAATTCTTTGATGAAGCAAAATTTTGTAACATTTTACATCTGTAAAAAATGCAGAGTCGTCATGTTATTTGTTTATTCAAATTATTGTGAAATCATAATTGTGAAACGGTGTGATTAAAGCCCGAGGTTCTATGATATCACGGTACTGAACGTTTTTCGGAAAATATTCAAATATATATCATGCATGAATGAGATTTGTATTTTATTTAATAAGTGTACATTTCCAAAACTTTTTTCAAAAGATCCAATTAAAATGTATCCAATGCCTGGCATTTTGCACAGGTGCTTGAAACAAACTTTTTAAAGTTTTATTTGGGCTATATACTACAATACCGGTTATGTAAAATATTTGATTATGTGACTAGCTCCTGTGGCATTTTGGGTAATTTCAGAGGCGGTTACTATGGTAATGGTATCGCGGTATACTGGCGCCTCATATTTCCGTGGGGTAGACAGACGTTTCACTATTGAGACAGTTCACACCAAGACGGTTCACAATTTGGGAGTGAAACGTCTTGAAGACGTTTCACTCCCTTTTTATACCAAAATTATTTTGATACTTTAATATGATATACTAAAATAGACCTAAAATATTGAATTGAACTAAAATAGACCTTAAATTTGATAAAAAATAAATTAAAAAGGGGGGATTTCACTTTTTTGTCAATGACTTAAAACTCAGTACTTTAAGTTCTATCATTTCTATCTTATCTTCTTTATTGTTGTTTTGAAATAAGGTGTTTTCCATTCTTGGATCCATATGTGCAATTATCACATTATTTCACTTAAAGAAAAAATATTTTTGATTACAATAACATTTTAATATAACTTAACTATTTGATCATTTGTTAGTCCAGCACTTATTAGGCAATTTTAATCTAAAGCATAACAATCTTGTGACAACAATTAACTTTGAGTAACGTGTTTTTTTTGTTAATTTTAAACATGGGATAAAAAATTGTTAAATTATTTAATGCTAGTATAGTGCTTTTGCGATATATGTCAAAAATTTTAATAGCCATTATCAGGGCTCATCCTGAAGGGCGATTCAGGCGAAAACTTCGCCGTGTATATTTCCATTTCGCTCTCCCGATTGATCAAAGAGAAGTCAACATCGCCGATAAAATCTTAATTCCCAAACACTAATTACTTGGCGATGTAAAGAGCAGAGATTGTATCCGCCCATATGACGACTGCTAATTATCATTATCCAATCAGAGCGTCGCTTTATACTACCCTTCTACCTGTATGCAAAGCGATAGACCGCCTACTCTAAACAGTAAATAATGAGAGCATCGGCCCGAAACGGGTATAATTGTGTGACAGTTTTGCGAGTTTAATACGGGATGAGGCGATAATTATAGATTGTTTTATCCCCGATCATCTAAACACGTGCATATCTTCCCTAATTCATATACACATGGTGTTTAACCCGAGTAATGGCGATGTGCAATGGGTTTTTTCACGGCTATCACAAAACTGTTAGTCAATTAAAAATAATCAATTTCATTAATGATCAGCGACCGGATTAAAAACTTAATTATAGTTTTGAATGATTTCATTCCGTTAACATGAATTAAAAATTGTTATGTCGCTCACATCATGGCTACAGGGCGAAATGCCCAAACCTAGCAGTGAAGGAAAGTTGCTGAACGCGAAAATTTAAGAAAGCCAATTCGCAAAAATCTTACGATTGGTATTTTGTAAACAGTGAGAGTGTTTGACATTGTTATCTTTGTAGAAATGCCTAATTTGACACAGCTTACGCACGTGGGCACGACATCCCAGAAAAACTACGAATCATGATCGGCATGCTACATATCGGTCGTATATCATGTGTACATGTATATAACAACAAAATTTGTCAGGAAAGAAGACTGAAGTGTTCTTATTGTTTCAATATATATATATATTTGTTCTAATGTCATAAATATGACGCTCAGATTAAGATTTATCAATATTGTAAATTTCAAAAAGCATTATTTATAAAGATATTACGAGTTAAACATTTCATGAAAATAAAGGGAGGTAATTAGAAATTTATTTTCTATAATTTCTCAGTCAAATTTTTCAATAAGAAATGAATGTTAATGATTTTAGTGATCAAATATAATGTGCACAAATGTTTGCAGTACATATTTTACATATTCTTCGATGTTTGAAAATTGTTTTATAAGCATAATTATATGCACATAAATGTGACATTACAACATACATAATCATATAAGAATTTCTGTAATCATTCTAACAGAATAGACAGATATTGTTAAGCAATATCCAATGTAACTTTATCCTTTAATAAACGTGAGGAAAGTAATAATATAAAGTTAATTTATTCATCCTTTTTCTTACACATTAGTATCAATAAATCTACATAAAAATATATAATTTATAAACAAATATTTAGAGAAAGCTTATAAATAGCTGATAAATTGATTAATTGTGTTTATATTATAGTGAAAGGATGTATAGCCATGCATGTTAATGCATACACATTGGGTTGTTTCCCTTCTCCCTATTTTTCGCGAGGAAGTCACTTCTCCCTAAAATTTCCCCCCAGGATGAGCCCTGCATTATAATCAGAAATATCTTTAAATTGAATTCTAACACGACCCGCATTTTTCCCTATTGGACATAGAAGAACTGAAAGTGTGCGTTATTATGCTATAAAATCACTGTTTGGCGTTCTATATTTCGACATGTGACGTAATCATTATACACGTGACGTAACCACTAAAAATGTAACGCGCTGACAATAAGTACGGAAACAAATCAGGCGTAATTTAGCTTATTATCATGTACTTCAGCATTTATTTGTTGATGTCGTGTTAGAATCGAAAAAATATATCCAAATCAGTGATTTTATTGCTTGATAACATCACTGTTTGTCGTTATGATGCGCATCATTATATCACTCGGCTACGCCCTTATGATATAATTCCCCGCATCCGAACTCCAAACAGTGATGTTATTGAGCAATAATATCACAGTTTGGGATATATTATTTCTTAATTAGAAGCATTGGGACTTTTTCAATATTTGCCATGTATAATCTTTTTTTGTGACTAAAATTCATATTATATAAATAAAACTTATGGAGAGGTTTCTGTGTTTAAATTGGCTGTTGTTAAAAAATATTTCAATGGTCCAATAAACAACTGATTAGTAAACTGTTGATGCTTAAGTGCAGTGTTTATACAACTGATTTAATAGTGGTGTCAAACTGTTAGTTGATGGTCTTAGTGTTTATACAACTAATTAGGTGATGAGATAACACCACAATTACTTAAGTTTGTTTAATGGCTACTGTTTAATAAATTGATGAAGAAAATAATAATAAAATATAATTTATTTTATACACATGTTTCGCATTATATTATATTTAATATATTGATATTTTTTTATTATTTGAATATTATTTATAACTTTACTGGTGGTGATTTCAGTATTTAAACTGATACTTATAGTATGTCTTTTTGTTCTTTTTATGTTATTCTATTTTTTTTTAATTTACTTTAAATAGAATTTTCTCATGTTGTTACAATAAAAGTGATATTTCAGAAATTTGTCTTTCATTTACATCTCTTTTAACTCAACCCATAATTAAATGAGTAATCTTCTAATAATTCGTATTTACAATACCATTGAAATCAACAAAATGAAGCATTAAATTGAATTTCCTTCTTACTTTGTTTGATATTAATGAAATTAAAGTTTGTTAACTTTCCTACTAAACATCTCTAAAAATTGGGAGTGAAACGTCCATACAACTGACAAAATGGGAGTGAAACGTCTAGGTGTGAACCGTCTTGGGAGTGAAACGTCTCAATAGTGAAACGTCTTGGGAGTGAAACGTCTGACATTCTTTCCGTGGTACCCATATTTCCAAGGTATTAGGCTTAAACAGTCCAAAGTGCCTCCAAGACTTCATGAACCTGCCAATAGTTTTACTTTTACTATTTTATTGTATTTTTATAGAAATATTACATATAAGACTGGAAAAAATTATTCTTTTTATTCAGATTAAGAGCAAAGTAATTTATTTCACCATTTTACTTTTAGAATTCATACCTTTTAAGACAAATGTCTTTGTTAAACAACCATCGAGATACTTGGTAAATGCCAAAGAGAAAATCCCCACATTCAGACAAGCCTAGGTATAGGTGTAGTAAAAAATAAATATTACTATTGGGTTTGCTTTTGAAACTATTAAAATGTAATTGCCTTGGAAATATGAGAACACAACTTTAATCACTAGGCAGCAGATGGGTGTTAATTACAATGCTGTATACATAATTACTTACATGCACACATTAAATTGAATAAACTATGATGCAACTGACATGTCTATCCTACAATATTCAGTGTGTTTTTCAGAATTTTATCCTTTTAACTTTTGTTGTCTGTGTTAAACAGTTAAGTACCTCGGAAATATGAGGCTCCAGTATAATCCCCAAAAATGCAAGCATGGAAGGATAGATGGGTTAACATATTCAAGTTAAGTTGTGAAAAACTTCCAACAGTTAACTTGCTATAGTATTCAAACTATATGAACAGACAATTTGTCAGTATATGTGATTATAACATATTTTTATAGACTGTTTAAAAACAATTTAGAGAAATAGTATTTAAACATGAAGATTTTATGGAATAGTTTTCTCCCCACGAATACATTCATTATTCACTAGATTAAATTTATTGGCAGATATGAATAAAGTGTGCCAGTTTTAAAAATATTAGCATCATCGTGTGTTGCTTTTACTAGCAGCCACAGAAAACGTAAATACCGTGATATCATAGAACATGTGATATCATAGGTCTTTAGGAACCGAGTATATAATTGTTACCTGCAAATGGTCCTATCTTATTTAAAAAATGATTCATACTTGTACAATAGAGCTTCTGTATTGATAAACCCCTACTCTGACCTTTTATTTAAATAATAATAAATATAACCACAAACATTGACATGTGCTCGTTTTTTTATCAAATATCAAATATGTTGTGGTGAAATTCTTATTGCATCCACTAATCTGATAATTAGAATATAGACAGGTCAGGGATCTATACATTGCAAAAGCAATTCAATAAGTATTTTATGAAAAAATTAACAAATGCTGTTGAGTATTGTGTATGATCATACAAAAATTTTGTTATTAAATGGCCAAAATACCTTTTTGGAGAAGGTGCCAGTTGGCCTTCTTTGAGAAAATAGTGCTTTTTTCACTTATTCAAAGAAAAAAATAAATGTTACAGGGTGAGAAAATATGCAGCCTGACCGGGACTCTATTCAGTATTGGGCATTTTTATGGAACTAGGGAATTTTAAGGACCAAAGTGGGGAAAAAAAGAGAGGTGTTTTGGGGAAGTGGCAAATATTTTCTTCAAAGAAGGGTTACAAGTTGGCTATGTAAAACTTGTGCTATCAGATATTTTTATTAATTAAGTAGCCAATGGTGATGGAGATGCCACACCAGTCAAGAAGAAAAAAGTGGAGGAGGTCAGCCTGGCATTTCGCTGGGAATATGAAGGTGACAAGAGGACCTGGACACAGTACAGTAGTGCCATTGATAGCTCTTTGACAGATGCTTACAACACTAAAAAGAAGCAGGTACAGAATGAGGCTATGTTTCAGAGGTGTTTACTATAGTTTATACAGAACTTATTGTTTAGTTTGATTGTGTAGGAAGCTAAGCTTGTAGGCACCGTGCTCCTGGTACCAACCAGTAATGAACATTAAATGTATGTTAAGTTTTATGTTCAAAGAAACAACAGCTTGCGCTTCATGGGTTTTGAATCAGCATAGGATCAACTTGACCCTATACCAACTCAGCACAGTCAATTCTGTCCTATAATTAAAACATATATATAGAGTCTTCAGTTAATAATTTTTTTTATTGATTGAATAATTGGAGAAATATGAAATTATTCTGAGTTGCCATCACTAAAAAATATATGATAGCCTTTGTATTCATATTTTACAAGTAATTTTAAGGGATTCCTTTTCAATGAAAATCAACCACAACCTTCATGCAAACTGATTTGGAATCTTATTCTTCTGGTAAGTCAGAAATCGACGAAGATATTATTTGGTATGAGATTAATCAATGATGCATCTTTACAACTTTCTACATATGAATATGAATTTTAGGTTGATTTTGAACTGAGTAATGGAATCAAGATGGCTGTTAACTTTGAAAAGAATGTGCAGAAAAATAAGAAAACGGGCTGGGAAAGACCTATCCGAATAGCTGTGAAAGATGATTCTGATACTTGTAAGTTTCACTTGATTTAAATGTTATTTGAGACTTCAATACTCCACAGTTTTAAAAGGACTAGTAGCATTTTTTTTAAACAAATACATGTACATGTAATATGTATTCGGTGTTTAGGATAGATGCTAGAGATATTCATTTTCTGAATAAAATCTTAAGTGCAAGTATGATTCACAATAAATAAATCATTTTCTGTTGGAAAAATGGTTATGCCCTTGGTGAAACAGTATTCACAAATGTCATTGTACTAGTTAAGTGTGCTTATTTTATATATAAGTGAACTATGCATGGCGGCTTTTACACTTTAAGTGTACTATATGACTATAGATATTTATAATTTTAGCATACTGTATGGTTATATTTACAATTTCAGTGTACTATGTGTGGCAGTGGGAAGACGAGAAAGGAAACATGAATCCTTACGGTGTGAAGAATACACTTGAGCTCGAGACTGCTCATAAACAAATGAAAGATAGTATAACAATAGAGGCATGTAGCAGATCATACAGTGTAGATATACAGAATATGGAACAGAAAAATACTGTCACTGATGTCACAAGGAAAGTCTTTAGAGAAGAGTCAAGTAGGTTTTGGTGTATACAGAATTTGTTTTAGTTCGATTGTATAGGAAGCTATAAGCTTAAAGACACACTTTTGAATCCATTCCTGGAACCAACCAGTACTGAGCAATGAGTGTAAAATTTCTTGCTCATGGAAACAATGACTTGACCCTGACGGGGTTTGAACCTGTGCGGCTAGCGCTCATTAGATTACTAGTCCCAACGTGTTAACCATTAGGCCTTCCGCAACAGTAGGTTTTCTGGATTAGAGTTGAAGATCTTTGTTTGTAAAGCTCATTTTGAATTATTTTATGTTATTTTCATCAAATTTTTGGTATATGAATCAATATTGCATGGATTGTTGATGATTGATTTTTGTATATAGGCCTAATATAAAAGTTGTAAACATCAGACAATCAGTTGAGTAAAGTGTGATTTGTAATAAAAAAAACAGAATAGAATACAAACCTGTAGGAAAATTATCTGGGTAGCCTGTTCATCCACACAATTATGAGTGATAGAAGATTTTTGTTATAAAGCAAGCTCATAATGAAACTTAAATTGAAAGAAGTTTATTTTTTTCATTCTATACTAGAATAAGATTTTAATAATTTGTTTCTCAACTGCAACTGTTTAAATGAAAATATTAGTTTTCTTAATTTCTTTCCCAATTATGATAAATATGTCATATGCAAGAAAAAGAATCAAACGCCTTCTGTCTTAACAGAACATAATATCTAGCTCTGGGATAATTGTTTAGCAGAAACTTGGCAGAGTCTTGTTACAGCAATAATACCCTCAAGCTAAATATTCCGGTCTGTACCGGCAGCTGGTGTAAGATTCTTATAGGGTATTCTTACAATAATGTATAAATATTTTAAAGATGCAATAAAAGCAGATCCTGGTGCCCCTGAGCCAGTTGCTACAACTTCTAGTGCCGACACTCCTAAGAAGGCTACAAAAGGATCAACTGGAGCAGGTAAATCAGGTGGGAAAGTGAAAGACGAGCCTGACGATGAAGTAGAAACGAAAGCAGCAAAATCTGGTGGCGGAAAATCTGGCAGTAAAACGAAATCTGGAGCGAAAGAGAGGCCTGCGGGTAATATTCTCTTTCATTATTATGCTGCATGCAATTTTTCCATGCCATTTTGTCTTTTCTTCTGCCTCACCACATGCTTACCTTAAGTAAGTTTTCAAGTAATATCAAAGATACTAAACAAATACAGTTCCTTATCAATATATCCAAATATCTTTTCCAATTTTCACATGTTAAAGAAAGTTCTGTCATATGAAAAAGCTACCATTTTTGGAGCCTCGTTTTTCCATTTTTCCTTTTGACTATATCTAAGGTTTGTATGATGATTTTATTTCAGTGAAGTCGATTGTGTTGTCTGGTAAGGCACCTGTTGATGCAGAGTGTACTTCATTGGTTGGGAAAGCTCATGTCTATTATGAGGGGAAAGATGTGTATGATTGTATGTTGAATCAGGTATGGATGAATGAATAAATTTCCCACAACTGCATGTCTGACAAAGTTAACAATGAAATAAATTTTCCTTGTTTCATATTTTTTTTAAATTTAAGTTGATTACAGACACTTGGTCTGTTGATCAAACTTGTGACACCCAACCGTCGAGTACACGCCTTTTAACCAAATAAACACCATTTCTGATTATTTCAGGTTGATCTTAGATAATGTATATGATGATAATTATATATATGTATATGATTAGCATATTCTGTTGAGATTTATGAAAATAAAAAAATTTAATCGGTTTCTAAGGGGTGTACCTGGGTGGAATTGATGCCTTAAGCTTGATCCTTATCCCAAGTGTTTGTGTAGTTGATTGGCACAAAGCAGTCTTGGCTTCAATATAAGAGGATGTTTGTTGCTATCCTATATACCCTGCTATTGGTGTAACCTTTTGTTTATTAGTCTCAATTATCCAATGAAAATCTTTTTTTCAAAACATACAGTTTTATAAAATATATCAAATATGGACTTTTATGAGAATTTCTTTAAAAGAATTTCTTTTTAGCACTATGAAAACTCTCTTGTATACATTTCAGACAAATGTCTCGAACAACAACAACAAGTATTTCATCATACAGCTCTTGGAAGCAGACGACAAGAAGATGTATTACACATGGTTCAGGTGGGGTAGAGTTGGCTATTCGGGCAGTAACAATCTTATACCATGTGGTGTGAGCCTTGACGCTGCCAAAAAACACTTCTTTAAAAAGTAAGAATGTTTATAATATTTGGAAGAGAATGATTGGTTGCAGTTTGCAGTCTGTATTGGAAAATAAAACATTGTCTGGTACAAAATACAAACAAAACTTGAGTATGTGTATGTAACCAAAGGGTTCCGACACATTCAGGTCAATTCATATATAGTGTGATTAACCTGCACAGGCAATTACAGCAAAATAATTGGAACATGAAATTTATAAAGAGACAATGCATTTTACTCAATTCTTGGCCCATAAGTGACAGTGTTGAAAATTGCCTATAATTAAACATGTCACATTTGATCACATTAATCATGGCGCAGGAGTATAAAAAACCCTTATAATAAAAAAAGATTTTAAACTTGTGTAATAACACTTTGGCTTGACATCATTTGTGTTATATACACACATAGCGTTAAAGGATGCTAAACTAAGCATCACACTATAGGCACATCAACGAAAAATGACATTGCTTAACTGAAAACCATTCTTATTTTAGATAAGTTGAGTCATTTGTGATATAAAGAAACATATAGTGTTACATATCAATTTCTTTTCTCTGTTTATCATGTACATGTCAAGACCTGCAACTCCACAACGAGAAGTTTTCAGAAATTCATACAAAAAAGATTAATACATGTACGACTTAAGTTACAGGTCAAACAATTTTAAGAAATAAAAGAAAATAATTTGCTGTCTATTGGTTTTCGAGGAATAGATATGTTACTTTTTCATGTTCAAAAAACATGGTTTTTCATTCTAGACTATATTTTTTGTCAGGTTTAAAGATAAGACACTAAATGACTGGGCCAATAGGAAACATTTTGTGAAGCACCAGGGTAAATATGACCAGCTTGAAATGGACTATGGTGTAAAGGTTTGTGTTTGTGTGTATTTTATTTAAAGGTTAGGCTATTTAGGTATGGGTTGGGGCATTTTTGAAAATTTTGACTACTTACCCTGTTTGGATAGAAAGAGACTTTGACATTTCCTATTTTTTTTTATTCTTGAATTATTTTTAGCTTGACTATTCGCAGAATGATCAAGCTAATGCAGTCACCCATTTGTCGTTGTTGGCGTCCCTGTGAAGTTTTTGCGTGTAAGCTGGTATCTCCATAACTACTGAAGGGAATGGATTGAAACTTCACAAACTTGTTCTCTGTGATTATCTAACATGATTGGCACTAGTCCCATAACTCTGATTTGCTTTTTTGCATAATTATGCCCCTTTTTCAACTTAGAAATTCTTGGTTAAGTTTTTGCGTGCAAGCTGGTATCTCCATAACTACTGAAGGGAATGGATTGAAACTTCACACACTTGTTCTCAGTGATTATCTAACATGATTGGCACAAGTCCTATAACTCTGATTTGCTTTTTTGCATAATTATGCCCCTTTTTCGACTTGGAAATTCTTGGTTAAGTTTTTGCGTGCAAGCTGGTATCTACATAACTACTAAAGGGAATGGATTTAAACTTCACACGCTTGTTCTCTGTGATTATTTAACATGATTGGCACAAGTCCCATAATTCTGATTTTTTTTCATAGTTATGCCCCTTTTTCGACTTAGAAATTCTTGGTAAAGTTTTTGCTTGTAAGCTGGTATCTCCATAACTACTGAAGGGTTTGTGCCTTTTTTGGAACAATTTTATGCATTCATAATAATAAAGCAGTGATTAACTCGATAAAACATCTTAATAACAAGCCTTTGTACCTTTTCGGACAGTTTTATGTTTACATAAAGGTAAGCATTATTATACTCAATGAAACACACTTGTGACAACTTTTCGAATAGTCGAGCGTTACTGTCCTCTGACAGTTCTTGTTTTTAATATTGTGTAGGGAATAGGTACCTAATTTTTTATTAATCAATGTCATAACTATGAAAAGTTTAATGATATTTATTGCTTATGTCAATGTTGAATGAAGAATGTTGCATAAATACTAAGTTTCATTCAGTAATTAAAATTTATTTTTAATACAGGATGCAGTTGATGCACCAGAATTAAAAAAGAAGAAAAGTGAAGGAAAAGTTCCTGATTCCAAACTTGACAAACGGTTACAGGTATGGTAATATTTTTTGCCAGAAAGTTTTACAGGACTGTTCTTTTACAGTCTTTTTGTCACTTTTACTCAGTGGCTTTTGCATTGATAAACTAACTAGCTTTATTCGGGTGTCCTTGACCGAGTGGTTAAGGTAGTTGACTTAACACCACTTGCCCCTCACTGCTGTAAGTGGGGATTCTTTGTGAGGAAGCTATACAGCTAGCTTACAGAACGTTGGTTGTTCTACTCCGGTGCATATTTGTACTCTAAATAATGCAAGGATAAGCACTTGAGGTCTTCCTCCACCAGTAAAGCTGGAAAGTTGCTTTTGACCTATAATGTGTTGGTGTGACAAAAAATGTGGCTTTATTTAAAGAGTGTAAAGCTGTAATTAACTAAAAACTGTAATATTGGTTTTCATGTTTTATATGTTCATATCCTTTAAAGATCTAAACTTTTGAAAGATTTGAATAAGCTGCCCCAATTTTGAGTGGTTGAGGTTGCTGACTTGGAACTTCTTGTTCTTGCCTTACTTCTGCTAATAGTTGGTGGTTCTACTCAGGTGCCCACTTCTGCTTGAAATAATGCACCTTGCAACATCTGAGGTCTTCCTCCACCAGTAAAGCTTAAAAGTTGCCTTTTGAACTTAAAATCCCACCAACAAAACACTCCCACCCCCATTTAAGTGTGAATTTTTATTAAAAAGAAAGTGATAGGAAGTCCTATCCAAAGTATATGAAATTGAAAGCTCGGCTTCATTGACAACATGGGTTGTACCATGGTATTTGTCCATTGGCAGAATAGTTTGCGTTTTTTTGGTCAATTGTTCTGTGACAATGTAACAGCTCACATGCATTCATTTATTTTAAAGTCACTGGTAGATTTGATCTGTGATGTAAAATCAATGGAAGAAGCTGTCATGGAAATGCAGTATGATGCCAAGAAAGCTCCTCTAGGTATGTAATCAATAGTAAGGAGTTAAATATACATAATTTTATGTTTAGTAAATTCTGTAATATAGGCACCTCTTATGAATAACCCTGCCCCCATATTTCTTGATAGTGTTTGCTTGCTACTAAAGTTCTTGTTTTTGGAAAATATGACATTTTAAGAAGGGCATTTAAAATGGACTTTAATTCATAGAATGCAACATTCCCAATTGCCATTGTATTGAAATGAGCTGCCTGATCGGGGATGCAAACTTTGGAGACAAAAATTACCATTCCGATTCTGAACTGACCAAGCTTCCAGACCATGTTCACAATGTCTGTCATATTTCAGATCCCAGATGGTAGCAAATACATGTCATGTTTTATTAATGCAGGTAAACTAACGGCTGACCAGATAAAGGCTGGGTACAAGGCATTGAAGAAGATAGATGCATGCATAGAGAAGAAAGATTTTGGTTCAACATTAAACAACGCCTGTGATGAGTTTTATACTAGAATACCTCATGACTTTGGGTAACAGACTGTAGAATAAATAATTTAAAGTTTGTGTCAGAAAAATATCATGAATTCAAGACTCTTTGTTCATAGTTTGAATGTTATTACATTGATATCTGTTGGTTTAATGTGATTTTTAAGTGGACATAATTATATTTATATGAAAAATTTTCTTGTCAGGTTATTAAATATAAAATATGTTCTTAAGGAACATACTCTTAAAGCAGCACACCTCCAGGTTTGTGCAAGAATATTCTGTCATACTTTGTATAAATCACTGAAATTTTCCTACTGGATTGTAAATATTTCTTTATTTCTAACCTGTTATTATATGCTTCTTAAGTTGGCTTATTTGAAAAATCATTTTTTTCTGATTTGAAAGAGTGCCACTTATGTATAAGAGTATGGACAAAAGCAAATGTTATATATGCAATCAAGGATAGTGATGGAGAAAATAGTTTATCATTATTTATCATTATTTGTGTACATGTATTTCTTTGTTTCAGTATGAAACCCCCTACAAAGATAAATACTAAAGAACAAGTAAAACAAAAAATAGCTTTGTTAGAGGTAAGCAACTTAAAAAAAAGGATTTTTATAAGTATATAAAGGGTATTGTGTTGCTTAAACGGGTATGGAATGTTTGGGAATGATAAACACTGATAGCACTGTTATTGGTGAACTCATTATTTTGAACTAGAAGATTAATAAATTAATTGCAAGAGTTTTGATTTATACCTTTAAACTTTCATTTGCTTCGCTGGAATATATTTAGTTGTTGTTTTTTAGCTCATTGAATCATAACACAAGTGATCATTCTTGTTTCTTCCTTAGAAAACCTACAAGTATATAAATATGTTTGTTTTAGATCAGGTCAAGGACTTTGTTATCTTCCATGTTAGGAAGCTATTCAGCTAGCTTTCAGAGTGTCAGTGGTTCTACTCAGGTGCCCACTTGTGGTTAAAATAATGCATGATGACTCAACTGAGGTCTATCGTGTTATGTTTACTCATACGGCATCAGTACTGGTAAGTTTAATGAAGGGGACTTGAAAGTGATAGTCGCAATAACTTGTTCGCAATCAAGCTAAAATGAATATGTTTAGACTTAACTAAACCTGAGGTCTTCCTTCACCAGTCAAAGCTGGAAGGGTTGAGGCATCAAAATTGCAGGCACTGTTTATCCCTGCATGATCATAAGAGGCGCCTAAATGGGTTCGAATTGCTAGAGTCTATGCATTTCTTACCTCTAGCAGGTGGTTTTGATCCCAGGTTGTTGCTTTAAACACTTAAGGTAAGCCAAAATCATCTTTCCTGTTTCAGCACCATATGATCTAAATTGTGTTGATGTATCGTATAACCAAACAAACAAAAACTGGAAAGTCGCCATATAAGCTACGAAGTGCCAGTGTGATTTTAATTTCCAACCAACAAATAAAATGAAATAACTAAAAACAATAATTATGACACACTGTACTTTTTTGTGTTATGTATCTACAGGCACTTGTTGACATTGAGATTGCAATTAAGATGTTGAAGGAAGGAGATTACTCTGAGAATCCTGTAGATCGCCATTATCACTCATTAAAATGCGATATAGAACCATTAGATCACAAGTCAGAGGAATTTAAGGTAAAAATCAGCTTTTACATACAATTATAGTAACACATGAACAAAAGTTTTCAGGATTATTCTCCTGAATTTTAGGATATTTAGGCACTTAAAAGCCCTTTTTCTATTTTAATACTTCTTTATTTTAAGAAGTACTAAATTCGGGATTTTGTTTTAATTTCCATCCCTTTATTTACCCTATGGTAATGTTGCAATATTAAAATATGTATATTTCTTGAAACAGTCTCAATCCTGACAGTATCTGTTCATTTAAAAATTATCCATTTCGGTATTGATTTAGACATGTTTTACTATGTTAATCACTGAATTTTAACATGTTTTTTCTGATGACCATACATATACATGTATGTCTTCAGCCAGTTCTTAAATCAGTGCTTGTATGTGAGTAACATAAACTGTCAGCTTATGGATAGTCCCAATATTGGTATGCTAATGTTTCTTGTTCATTCTTGAATCTGGAAAGCTATATATGTTATAACGTTTGTTGATAGTGCGCCCACATGCCTGCCTGTTCTTATAGATGATTTTCACATAGCAATTATTACCTCCCCTGACCGTCATTTTGTGGGTCATTTCCAATATATCACATGCTTAAGATACATGTAAGATAAATATCTCTCATAATTTTATCACCTTCATGAAAACTGATTAAAAATGTTTATATATTGGTGGTGTAATAATATATTCCTTCATATGTATCAAAGAATTTGACAGGTCACCTTAATCTGCAGTTTATATTGATTTTTTTCCCATATTTTGTCAATTATATTATATAGAATATTGACTCCCATAAATGGCTACCACTTCTGGCAAGGGAGGTAAATATTGTAAAAATCTGGAACTATCTGTAATAATATAAAAAAAGTAGTCATCCATCAGTCTAGAAAGTAACCTTGGAAGTAAAGGCATGACAAAAATAGAGAAATTTTAAAATTTTCCAACTACCAAGATATTATAAATATTTTATTTTATAATGTTCACAGCTTGTGGAGACATACCTACAAAATACTCATGCTAAGACACATAATCAGTACAAAATGAAACTCGTCGAAGTATTTGATGTGTCCAAACACGGTGAAAAAGAACACTTTAATGATGTCGGAAACAGGTATTATTCCTCAATAATTACTTATAGAAGATTGTAACTTTTTGTTATCAGTTATAGTTATATTGCAATGTAATTGGTATGTCAATAAGTTAGTTTAATGTGTTTTACAAACATTAACAATAAGGAAGTATGAAAGCTGTATTGAAAGGAAAATTATTTTTCATAAATATATACATATGAAAGCTATTGATTTATCTTAAAAGATGCTAAGGAAGTTGTTATTTTGCTTTGCTCGATATATTTTAAAGATTCTGATATTCAGTCCATTGTTAAATTGTATTAGATATAATTATGATATATTGAAAAGTAAAAATAACCGTTCATTTACTTATTTGGATTAAAACTTTTCTGTTCTGTACATTAAAACTGGTCAGTATGCCTGCACATAGGAGAGTGACAAGAAATAATAATTAAACTGTAAGTTGATTGGCAGGCACCTCAACCACCACACTTTTGTTTGTCTAGATTGTATGTTGGTTTGAACACATTTTTTCCATATCTCTGCATTTGGTCCACTTTACTGGCTTTTCTGGATAGCTTATTAATCAGAAATAACTTATTTCTCCCAATGTGACAGACTATAAACCCAACATGATATCTGAATTAGCTGTGAGAGACAATAACCATTTAATTAAATGTCAGTGATTTGATTGAATGTCAAAGATTTGATTGCATGTCAGTGATTTAATTGAATGTCAGTGATTTGATTGAATATTAGTAATTTTATTGAATATCAGTGATTTGATTGAATGTCAGTGATTTAATTGAATGTCAGTGATTTGATTGAATATTAGCATTTGTATTGAATATCAGTGATTTGATTGAATGTAAGAGATTTGATTGAATATCAGTGATTTGATTGAATATCAGTGATAAGTTGTCACAGAGAAATCTGGTCTCACTCGGGGATCAAATCAGCGACCCAATGATAACAAATCCACTGATCTCCCTATCAAGCTAGGCCAAGAGAAAATTCTTAGAGAAAGTCAAAGAGGTTGCATTCGACCAGAAATTTTTTAAAGCAGTTACCAGATTAAAAAGTGATCATGATTAAATATTTTTATTTTAGGCTTTTGTTATGGCATGGTTCACGACTTACAAACTGGGCAGGAATATTGAGTCAAGGCCTCCGTATTGCTCCACCAGAGGCCCCTGTCACAGGTTATATGGTAAGTTTGATAATTCTAAAATTCTTTAAAGTAACAGGAGACATCTGTATGTTAAAATTCTGGTGATTGCTAGTTATATTTTACAGTCTCTAGACTCACAGAAAAAATATTTACTGTATACTTAGTTAAAACAAATTTATTTGAGCTCCATCATGAATGATAAAAGCCTCAAGCCGATTTAAAACCATTCTGTAGTCCTCTTCTTTGAACAAACCTAGGGCTGGTGTTATATCAGGAAATAGAATTATCAACAAAGTACAAAATACATAGGATTTCTCCCTTGATGATGAAAATGAAAATCCAACAAATTTTCATCTTTTTTTCCAGTTTGGAAAGGGAGTGTATTTTGCTGACATGTCAAGTAAAAGTGCCAATTACTGTTTTGCAACAAGAGCCAAGAATACTGGATTAATGTTGCTTTGTGATGTAAGTACATGTTTATAAAACTATGTAAGTTACAAAAAATCCTGAAATGTTTGTGTTTTGTAGGGGAGATGGTGCTAGAATATGTCTGAAAGACTGTCATAATAGTGTTAAACCCAAAACTAACAACATATTCTTACAATGCTTAAAGTTATTTAAGTAAATGAAGGGAAAGTTTTCAAATCTTTGTTATATAGTTTGCTTGAATGTTGTTACTAATTCAAAATATGTAATCTGATTATATAATTAGATTACATATTTTGAATGAGTTTCACTTTCTGAGTCGTGTTTGCACTTTAAAAATGTGTATTTTTCTACATGTAAGTAAAATATTTGGAATGTTTAGTTTCTCTGCAATGCAGTGCGTTTGTTGTTGTTCTAGGTTGCCCTTGGAAACACGAATGATCTCTTGGCTGCTGACTACAAAGCTAATAAACTTCCAGCAGGTAAACACAGTGTAAAAGGAGCTGGCAAAATAGCCCCTGATCCAAGTCATGTCACTAAAACGTAAGTGTAGTGTTTATTTTCATGCTTTTTTAAAGACTTATAAAACAAAAAGTGACTTTGATGTCAGATTGATCTCAAAACTTTTGCCGCTCAAATCTCACCTTGGAATTTGGTATTATTATAGTTTGCATATATTGTGATGAAGAAAATAAATAGACAATAATTGAACACAAGTGATTTTTTAAAATCATGAGATACCTCCAAAAGCTCCAACCAACTTTTATATTTGGTTGGGATTTACTTTACACCAACTTGGAGGAAAATGTTGGGTGCCCATCTTTGCATTATTAGAACCACTAATGTTCTGGAAGATCTCTAGATAGCTTCTTCACAAAAAAGAATTCAAAGTTCTTAGAGGGATTCGAACCTACAAGGGTGTTGGGCAAGTGGTTTGAAACCTTTCAACATTTAGATTAGTGATACTTATTTTATTTGAAGCCCAAAGCTTGATCCAAAAAAATTCTAACCTGAGTGATTCACCTGTGTTTATACATATTATTAGTACATGAAGAAGAAATGCATATACATAGTAAACATTTTCTTGTATACTTAAATTTCAATCAATATTAGAGGTAAACTTTTGACAATTTTGTGTGTTTTTATTTTCAGACCGGATGGAGCAGTTGTGCCCTGGGGTAAGGCCAAAGATACAGGAGTTACCAACCCTAAAGGTTACACATTGAACTATAACGAGTTTATAGTCTATGATACCAGGCAGATTAAGATGAAATATCTTCTTAAAATAGACTTCAAATTCTAAATGAAAAACCATCAAAAGGTTTTAAAAATGGGAAGTTTTTCTGTAGAAGATAAAAAATTGACATAAAGGACCAAGTTTGTGGACAGTTTTAGCAAATGTAGAAGTTCTTAGATCATGTGTAAAAAATCTTAACATTTAATTTTTTAAAAAGTAGATGAAATTATTAGTTGTTTATTTTACTAATACAAGATTTTGTTTTGATGTCAAAGTTTGTTTGTTTAAAGCTTAGGCTGTTTGTAGTATGTATAAGGGCAGCAAATTGTTATGTCATTACTAGGAGAATAATTGCGATCACGAAGATGTGATGCTGAAAAATTTAACAAGAAACAAAGTGAGATAACTTCAGATTAGTCATTTTCCTTGGTTATGTGATGTTGTTAAAATTAACAATAATTATGATAAACTTAGATAAGTTAGAGTGCCACAAAGTTCAATTTAGTTTTGATACTGTATCTGTATTTTTTCTGTGTTAAGTTAAATGGTTGTGATGTTGGTTTTTTCCCCAGCATTTGCATTTGTTTCTGCACTTGTGTTCACATCTTTTGGTAGAAGCACATAGTAATGTGGTAGTATTAATGTTGAAGGTGATTAAGAGCTGCATAAATGAAACCCATCATACTCATTCTAACATTAGAAACTGTTCTTAAGTCATGGCAGTTCTAATCTGTTACATAAAATTAGCAGGTAAAGGGTTGGTTGGAAATGTATAAACATCATTCTTTCAGTTAAGTTAGTGTTGTAATTAGATGTTTTTACTGATATCCAGAACACAGTCACTTTCTGCTGGTTACCTATAGTACAATATAGCTTTATACCCCTCTGTGATTATGATAACATTTTCCTTAAAGGGACTTCATTGCAGTTTTTTTGACATGACGGGACTGGAAATAATTAATCGACATTTATGTTCCATTTCATGAAGGTCTAGATCAGTAACTTGTGTGCAAAATTTGAGATCATTCGCTCATTCTGGTTTTCCAGAATAATAATAATTCTAATTGTGAAAATGACCTTACAGTGATGGCAGTATGGAGATTATGCACGTCTTTTTCTTTTCTTCCTATGTTGAAAATTCTGGTTGCTATGGCAACAAATAGTCTGAAAATATGGCAAATATAACACATAAACTGGATCCAGTGATAACTCAAAAAGTACTGAAAATATCTTTATGAAACATAAAATATGGGTAGATGGCAGTCCGCAGATTATGCACATCTTTTTCTTTTCTTCCTATGTTGAAAATTCTGGTTGCTATGGCAACAAATAGTCTGAAAATATGGCAAATATAACACATAAACTGGATCCAGTGATAACTCAAAAAGTACTGAAAATATCTTTATGATACATAAAATATGGGTAGATGGCAGTCTGCAGATTATGCACATCTTTTTCTTTTCTTCGTATGTTGAAAATTCTGGTTGCTATGGCAACAAATAGCCTGAATTTCAAGATTTCTGATTTAATTTTTTCAGCTTTTTCACTATAAGTTCTTTATTTCTTAAGGTGTTTACTTCAAACTTTAAATATAAATTTCTGGTCATCAACCACATCATATGTTACAAGGTTTACAACTCTAGCACAAAAATTATCAGTATTACCTCCCTTGAACTTAGAATTTTTATGAAAAAAAATGTTGTCTTTTTTAAATAACTTTTTTTAAATAACTTCTTTATTTCCTAATGTATCTACTTCAAACTTCATATATATGTTTCTTATTATCACTCAATATTTTTGAGAAGGTTAAATACTCTAGCAAGACTATTTCCAGAATTATGTCCCCCTTGAACTTAGATTTTTTTTGAGAAATTGGTACTTAGAATTTTTATGAAAAAAAATGTTGTCTTTTTTAAATAACTTTTTTTAAATAACTTCTTTATTTCCTAATGTATCTACTTCAAACTTCATATATATGTTTCTTATTATCACTCAACATTTTTGAGAAGGTTAAATACTCTAGCAAGACTATTTCCAGAATTATGTCCCCCTTGAACTTAGATTTTTTTCGAGAAATTGGTATTTTTTACTCCAACTTCTTCATTCCTTATAGGATTTACTTTAAAATCCCACATCGTAATAATATGACAAGGTTGTATAAACATAATTGCCTTACTAGGCAGGGAAACTTAACACATTTCTGTGAAATAGACAAACTTCGAACTCAAAAGATTTAAGTTCATTCATGTCATTCATTCACTGGTAAAATTGAAATCAGAATGTTGCTGGGGTTCTAACCGGTAGGGGACTTATGGATTGCTTGCAATACTATGATAATTGCTTGTTATTAAATGATTTGCATGACTGAAATAAAAATTAAACGTTTTGTTAGATATTTCACATGAAACAATTTGACATGAAACATCTCTTAGTGGATGTCTACCAAGTTGTTCAAATAAAAGTCCTAGGGTCAAAATTGGCCTGTCCTAGGAGTCATTGATTTTCCTCGTATGTTTATAGTAAAAACTTGTGAAAATCCAAAAGAGGTAGAGCTTAGATATTTGAAACTTTTTCTAGTGAAATCTACCAAGTTTGTTCAGATAAAACCCCTTGGGTCAAAATTGACCCCGCCATTTTGACCCTGCCCCAGGGGGTCATTGATTTTTTTGCTTATATGTATATATTAAAAGCAAAAACAAGATTGCATATGTAAAAAATGCTATGCCACCGCATAAATACAACACTAAAATAGTAAAGTAGGAACACGTTTTTTTAGTTTTGACCCTAGGGCTTTAATTTGAATAATCTTGCTAAAGGTTCACTACAGAATGTTTACTGTAAAATGTCTCACCTCTAGCCTTTATCAATTCGAGAAGGTGATTTTTTAAAGTTTTTACTATGTACATGTAAGGAAAACCTATGACCCCGGGGCAGGGCTAGTTTTGACACTAGAGGCAAAATTTGAACAACTTTGGTAGAGTACCTATAGATGATATCATATACCAAATATCAAAGCTGTAAGCCTTGTACCTTCAGACAATAAGATTTTTTAATTTTTCACTATATGTACATAGTGAAAATCAATGACCCCCGGGGGTGGGGCCAATTTTGACCCCAGGGCTATAATTTGTTCAATCTTGCTAGAGGTTCATTATACAATGTTTCATGCAAAATATCTAACCTCTAGCTTTTGTCAATTTAGAGAAGATGATTTTTTAAGTTTTTACTATATACATATGAGGAAAACCTATGACCCCCGGGGCAGGGCTAATTTTGACACTAGAGGCAAAATTTGAACAACTTTGGTAGAGTACCTATAGATAATAACACATACCAAATATCAAACCTCTAAGCCTGGTACCTTCAGACAAGAAGGTATTTCAAGTTTTTACTATATATGTACATATAGTGAAAATCAATGACCCCCGGGGCGGGGCCGATTTGGACCCCAGGGCTATAATTTGAACAATCTTGGTAGAGGTCTACCAGACAATGCCTTATGCAAAATATCTAAGCTCTAGGCCTTTTGGGTCTTTACAAGAAGATTTTTTAAATTTATTCTTATAATTCCTTTTGGTTGCCATGGCAACCAGAATTCTGCATGGAATGCAATTCTTTGAACAACTTTGGAAGGCCTTCACCCAAGGATCAATCCTGCCAAGTTTGGTTGAAATTGGACTAGTGGTTTTTCACAAGAAGATTTTTTAAGTTCACTATATAATCTATATAACACACACACGCACACAAACAAACACACACACAGGTGAATCGCTATATGCCACCGCATCGCAGATGCTGCGGTGGCATAAAAAATCTTTTTGTGACAATCCAAAAGCACTATAGATTAGATATTTGGCATAAAACACCTTCTAGTGGATGTCTATCAAGTTTGTTCAAGTAAATGCTCTAGGGTAAATTAGCCCGGCCCCAGGGGTCATTGAATTTCCCTATATATACATGTATGTATTAAAAACTAAAAAAATCTTCTTGTGAACATCCAAAAGAGCTAGAGCATGAAACATCTTCCAGTGGATGTCTACCAAGTTTGTTCAAATGAAAGCCCTAGGGTCAAAACTGGCCCAGCCCCAGGGGTCATTGATTTTACTTATATGTATATACACATGTAGTAAAAACTAAAAATCTTCTTGTGAAAATTCCAAAGCGGTAGAGCTTAGATATTTAGCATGAAACATGTTCTATTGTATGTGTACCATGTTTGTTGAATTAAAACCTCTAGGGACAAAATTGACCCTGCCCCAGAGGATCAAGGTCGACAATTCAATCCCAAGCAGGCAAATGTTTGTTTTTCTTCTCTTTTTCTGTGATCTTTTTATTAACATACCCCTCACTTAGTGACAGGCTGAACTGTTTAATAAAATGGCTGCCAGAGCTTTAATTAAAAAAACAACATCTAAACCACTGGTTCAATTTTGAAATAATTTTACACAAAAATTTCCTTGGTGACTGTGTACAAAAATTATTCAGATTAAGCTGTCCCTTGTTTTCAAATTGTGTTTCTGACCTTTTAACCTATTTCTTAGGTGAGCGATGTAGGGCCCTCTGGTCCCTCTTGTAATATTCTACGTTTGAGCTGTAAATTACACAGTGTAAATATGGTTAATATACCAAATAGTTCAGAAAGAATTGCCAGGAAGGGGCCGGGTCGAGAAGCAGGAAATCACTAAACTTAAGTATAAGATATATAGACGGAATTAGATATAAAGTTGTTTAGGCAGTAGCGGATAGCTAAGGAGATTGGCGCTGCTTATGTCTTGAATAATAATATTCAGAAAATCAAATCGATCCCTTTCAGTAGTCAAACTACTTCCCTTTTTTAAAAAAATAAATATTTTTAGCAGTATCTTTGACATTACATCTAGTACTCTTTGTTTAAGATCGGCATATAGTCCGTGGCCGAGTAGTTTAGGTCGTTGACTTCAAACCGCTTGCCCCTCACCGCTGTGGGTTCGAACCCCGACAGGGACTTTGGATTCTTTGGATTCTTTCATGTGAGGAAGCTATCCAGCTAGCTTACGGAACGTTGGTGGTCCTTCTTTCCTGAAGAAAATGCAGGGAGGGCACCTGAGGTCTTCCTCCACCAGTAAAGCTGGAACGTCGCCAAATGACCTATACTGTGTCGGTGTGACGTAAAACCCAAATCAAACAAAACAAAAGCATGTAGTTCAGTTAGTAGCGGATATTTGTTTACTTGATTTTTACGAATCAAAATAAAACTAATTAACACAACATGACATTAACTGGACACGGCCTACTGAATTTTCGACCCATATATCCTATAGTAAATCCATCACATTTAAGGCTAAATTCTGGACAAAACAAATCCGGTACCGAAACTTCATGACCATTTCTTTAAACACCAATGCAGTCCAAGTAAATTTAGCACAAAAAAATAATACATTAGCCCTTGGAGTTTTTCTGCAGCTTTTAATTTCTGTAATCACTATAGAATATTCCAAATAGTAACTGGTGTGTATTCTTGTGCATAGTGCCTCATGAAACCTTCCACCCAGAAATGAAATCCTGCAAAAATACACCAAAAACAACCTTTAAAGTACTCAGAAATGAAACTTCATGTACATAATAACTAAAGATATACTTAAAATATAACCAGTATCAATTAAGATGATATGAAATAGGCCATTTCAAAATTTAAAAGAACTACTTTCTAGACTACAACGGGCTGGGTCTAATTCCGTACCGGGGTGACACCTAAATGAACATAAAATTTCATTTAAAAGAACATTTACACACATTTTTTGGTAATTTAATGTTGAACAAGTAATATTAATCAAGAAATCAATGTCTCTTACATTTCACATTGATACAGGAGCATTTCTTAAAGGGTGACCACTTTGCGGAAAATCAGGCTCGGCCAACAGAATTTTAGATAAAAAAATGGCATTACAAATTATAACATATCTTCAGAAATAGAAGACAGATTTTCATGAAATAAAGTTTTTTGTTGTTGGCCAATATTGTACAGGTTTTCTATGCATGAATTATACCTTTTACTTAAATTTATTAGTAAACAAAGCAAAGTATATACATACACAGACTACACTCTTTGTTAATACCATCTATAAACATGTAAAGATAACAATCTCTATTACCATAGTACTATATATGGCCTTTTGTAAGTAAATTCCCATTCAGATAAGGCCTTTAAAATTGTTATAGAACAAGGCAATCAATTCAAATAATTTAATAGGAAGTATTAAATCAATTTACTCTTCAAGCCCATCATACTCTTAAAAATATTATTTTACAATGGGAAAGAGACGCCTTAACAGTGGAGTTTTCAAGAAAGGACACAAGATTTTACCTCCTCACTTGAACGCTGCGGAACAAACCAACAGTAGTTCTTGCTCACATCTCAGCCAAAATCAGGCACAAAATTCGTCAAAACCAGTGCTTCGCTCACAGAAAAGTCTGCAAAAGAAAGATGACAGTGAACCGCAAGGGAATAGAGTGATCAATTTAGATAAGCAAATTGCTATGATGAACAAAGTTTATGAAGAGCACAGTGCTCAAAAATGTGATAAATTAAACATCAAATTACACTGTGAACAAAAACTTGGACTGGGTTCTAGGCTGCAATTTAAGTGCTTATCTTGCCAATTTGTATCTAGCAAAATGGAGACATTCAATAAGTGCCCGGGTAGTCAAGCAGCTGCTATCAACATGTTAGTGGCGTCCGCACTGCAATACACAGCTATTGGAATAGAAAAGGTTAACCTGCTGTTCACTTCAATGGATATTCCTGCACCTAGTAGAAGTTATATGCAAAATTTAACAAACACAGCAAGCCTTAACACTGTACAATTAAATAATGCTGATATGACTGAGAAGAGGAAGCTGGTTGTTCAGCACAATAAGAGTCTTCACAAACCAATTCCGAACCATCTCGACTTATCGTTTGATGGCCGCTATAATGCAGCCCGAATGGTTTCTTCATACAAACCTGGCCAGGCAGCTTCACAGGCTTATGGTGTTGCCATTGAAAACCATACAAGCTATAACTACATAATTGGTTTAGCAGTACAAAACAAACTTTGCTGGACTGGAGCATACATGCGGAACAAGGGCTTTGATGTCAATTGTCCAGGCCATTTTGATTGTACTGCAAACAATGCAGTATATGCAGCCTCATTCTGAAAGAAAAGATGGCTTATGACATTGCTGAGCAGCTTTCAAAAGAAGATATTCTGGTTCGCACACTGACCACTGATGGAGACACGAAAGCTCATCTCGGGATGACTGATTTTTATGACAAGCTTGGAAATGCGTGGAAAGTAGCTCGTCAAGCTGACCCCTATCATTTAGGCAGTCGCCAAGTAAGAAAGGCAAGAGCTTCAAATTGGAGCCCAACAATGTTTGAAGGAAAAACCCTATCTGGCAGTGCAAGACAACAAGCTATTAGAGCTTTTGCTAAGGATATTAAGGCTAGATGCAGTGCTATTATAGAAAAACTTCGCCTAAAAAAAAATGGTCTCGAAGGAAATTTACATACCTTACCAACAATCCATATAGCTACATTAGAGTGTTATGCTGGTAGCTGTAAGTTCTGTCCAGAGGAATCCTTAGTTTGTTCCGGTGTAGGAAATGTTGGTGATTGGTGGTATAACTCTTCCTATCTACCCACACATGGTATTCATCACCTAGAATTGACAAGAAATGACCGTGAGCTATTATCCGCTATTCTGGAAATAAGCTTAAGTGAGTACGCCATCAAAAGTGTGACAAGCAACACTTCAACACAGAAGTGCGAAAGTTTTAACAGATCTGTGTTATCCACCCTGCCTAAAGAAATCAACTTTTCGAGGAATTTTGCGGGCAGCTTAGCTTCAAAAACTCTCCAGATAAACAATTCACTGCAAGTTTCTGTTGAGAAAAAGGTCCGAAGTATAACAGGACACTCCCTATCACCAAGACCACTTCGATATCTAAAATCAGCATCAAAAAGACTTCAAAGGCATAGGCATTACCAAAAAACAAAACAATTTAAGATGAAAAGAAAAGAAACACGGGCAAAACTAGAACACATGTACCACCTTGCAAGAAGTGAAGGCCAGTACAATGACGAGTACCACAAAGGACAACTTGATGCAGCAGGCCCTTCAAAGTAGTGCTACCAAGAATTGATGTGGCTGTGCATTGTTATTTCAAATGAGTTATGGTGAAAATAAGCCCCGTCACATTCATGGCAGAATGTCTGATGATGACCTGATTGCCGGTCGAAACGGGAGAGCATATTTTTGCCATTTGTAATGACAACTGCGAAGAAAAAAAAAATACCCCCCCCCCCCACACACACATCAAGTGAAAACAACAACATCATCATCACTGTTGCAACTCACTATAGACTTGTGCAATTTCTTAAATTTTGCCATTTGCACTCCCAACAGGATTATGTTATATCTATAGGCCTATGTATTACACTTATACACAACATGCACAATGAACTAAATTCAAAGCTGCATATACATATACAAATTACAATATCCCTGGCTGTCAAATACATATAATGTCAATTTCAGTTCTATTTATCTATCTCGATATGATTATCAAATGAAATTAGTCTATAAGTTATAATAACAGCTTTAATAATGACAATATAGCACTGTTTCTATAACTGCCAGCAGATGAATGACATATGACCACAGTTATTTCTACTTTATGTTCTATATATACTGACCCGAAATGAAATTGCAATTTTTGAGAAGTCGAAACAAACACCATTCACTTAATTTTGTTGACAATTCAAAAACTTCACCTAAATGATGTGCGCATGAAAATATGCTGTCAAGTTGGCTGCAAACAGGCAGTACACCCATGTCAATAATGTTCATTTTGCTTACTATAACATATGAAATTATTTCAAATTTCAATCTGTCAATAATTTTAATCCCCTTTCTAAAAATATGACTTTTTTGCTAAGTCTTTCATTCAATACTTCATAAATATTCAGCATCAAACATAGGCACTACTTCTTGTGTAACCACTTCCGTATTGTGGTCAACGAAATGCATGCAAATGGAGTGAAGCAAATGGTGTCTTATGGTAAGGGGAGACAACATCAATAGAAAGTGGCAGATTTTAAATTGTCAAAATTTAATTTTTAAATAAAATTTGAAATATACAAACCTGACTGTTATCCTTTAAAATTCAGATTGCTATCCACAAGCATTACCAGTAGGTGAAGTTTCATCACTTTAATCCAAGTAGTTCCTTAGAAAATCCCATTTTAACCTGTTACATTTAGGACACGGCCTACTGAATTTTCGACCCATATATCCTATAGTAAATCCATCACATTTAAGGCTAAATTCTGGACAAAACAAATCCGGTACCGAAACTTCATGACCATTTCTTTAAACACCAATGCAGTCCAAGTAAATTTAGCACAAAAAATAATACATTAGCCCTTGGAGTTTTTCTGCAGCTTTTAATTTCTGTAATCACTATAGAATATTCCAAATAGTAACTGGTGTGTATTCTTGTGCATAGTGCCTCATGAAACCTTCCACCCAGAAATGAAATCCTGCAAAAATACACCAAAAACAACCTTTAAAGTACTCAGAAATGAAACTTCATGTACATAATAACTAAAGATATACTTAAAATATAACCAGTATCAATTAAGATGATATGAAATAGGCCATTTCAAAATTTAAAAGAACTACTTTCTAGACTACAACGGGCTGGGTCTAATTCCGTACCGGGGTGACACCAACTGCTAATAATAATTACAGCCCCTTCCATGAAAATAAGAGAACACGCCGCTCACCGGCGTCGCCAAAAAAGAACAACATCATAGAAAAATATAAGTTTACACGTATTTAAGTAAAACCTGAAAAAAAACCAAATAATTTAAAATTAAAATCGCACCTCTTCATAAATTAAGATCGCCGAACCGGTAGTTCGACGAAACCACCATAATTCTTCGGATATCCGGTAAATAAATTTTACATTCGGAACTACCTCGGCTATTATTCCCTGCGGTCTGGAGTCCAGACCGCAGGGTATTGGTACGCGTTTAAATTTTGAGGCATGGAGGAGCACGTGACCTGTTTTCGGTACATGGAGGAGCATGTGATCCATAAAACGTACATGATTGGTTAATTGACCTTTTTCGAAAACCTAGCTAAATACCGTGTACCGGTACGTTACGGATTTACCTCTAGGGTCATAGTCCGGTACGTCATAGTCCGAATTACAAAAAACTATTACGTTGTATTTCTAATTTTATATAACTATTTTACCGTGTGGTGGAAAAACTTGAATGATTTGTTTGAAAATTTCAATGTTTCTTTAATATCTATACATTTAATTGTTTATACTGAAAATCTACAAAATTAAAATACTCGTAGTGGCATCTGCCATAATAAATAGATATTTTCTGCTTAAACTTGTGTGTTTAAATTTATTTTTTTTTACTCGGAATTATTCATAAAAAGGTAGGCATCCTTAATCATTTTCATAAAATTGTATGTTCGGCCTTCTCCGGTCTTCAACGGTCACCAGTTTCCAAAGAAATTCCTCTATATTGATCGATTATTGTCAACTATATTCCTGATACAAACGTTTGTTTATACCCCCCCCCCCCCCCAAGCAATGTTGAAAATAGTTAAATGAAATATCTTTATATCATTAAAAATGTTCCCCGCAGGAAACCATTTTACTTGTTTGTTCCAGACCGCAGGGTATTGGTACGCGTTTAACTTTTGAGGCATGGAGGAGCACGTGACCTGTTTTCGGTACATGGAGGAGCATGTGATCTGTAAACCGTACATGATTGGGTAATTGACCTTTTCGAAAACCTAGCTAAATACCGTTTGCCGGTACGTTACGGATTTACCTTTAGGGAATTAGTCCGAATTACAACTTATTAAGAACAAAAAACTATTACGTGATATTTCTAATTTTTTATAATTATTTTACCGTTTAAGGTGGAAAAACTTGAATGATGTGTTTGAAAATTATCAATGTTTCTTTAATATCTATCTCAAATTTTACAAACAAAAAATTGTTTATACTGAAAATTTACAAAATTAAAATATTCGTAGGGACATCTGCCGTAATAAATAGAGATATTTTCTGCGTAAACTTGTGTGTTTACTTTATTTATTTTTTGCTCGGAATTATTCATAAAATGGTAGGCCTATTTAATCATTTTCTTAAAAAGAAATAATTGTTTTATCTTCGACCTTCTCCAGTCTTGAACGGTCACCAGTTTCCAAGGACCTTCTTCTTTATTGATCGTTTATTCAATTGTCAACTATATTCCTGATACAAACGTTTTTTTATTTCCCCCCCCCCCCAAAAAAAAAAAAATAATGTTGAAAATAGTTAAATGAAATATCTTTATATCATTAAAATGTTCACCGCAGGAAACCATTTTTCTTGTAACTTACTTGTCTTTAATTAATATTAACCTCGGAAACAATACAAATTGAAAGTAGTATTACCACGTGGTTTACAAATGTAAACAGAAACAGAGATAATGTAAAACAAATGTAAATATTTGACATCTAATGTCTGTCCGGTACTCTAATGCTTGAAAATATGTCTGACAACAATTTGTAATTTAAATATGCCCACTGATGTTCAATTTTAAACAAATCCGACTAAATGTCAAAAGGTTGTTTTTTGTACTTTCGGTTTCTGCAGCCAAATTTGTAAATATAGAAATACTGTTTGGTTTGATTTTGTATTGTCCAACAATATTGACCTGGCACTTCATTAATTTCCGTAAAGGTCAGGTGATAAACAGTGGTATCTAACGAATATATCGATATCTTTATTAACTACACACGTCAATGAATTGTGGTGTATTGGTATATATGCCTGACTACTGATCTGAAGTTCCCTGGTTCGATACCTTACCAACACCATCACTGCGGTATACCGTACCCCGGATATTGCTCGATATTATGAGGACTTTCATCCCATTTCGCGACTTTGAACGGGGAACGAAGGTAAGTTCAGCGACGATATTTTTCAAACTAATGGCTATTTTATTTATCTCAACGGGTTTTATATATCTAGTGGTATTTTTGTAGCTCTAAAAGACATAAAAGTATTACAGGTGTTTGTAAAAATTGATTAAACTACCCCTAAACGATCCGCTGCTCACTAGAAAATACTGACCGCGATACTTCAGAATCGTTAGAAATTATTATATTACAAATATAAAAAAAATTGAATCGAGCAATTTTTTATTCACAATCCAAGTATACTTTGTTCAAATTTCAGGCAAAATGTGTGAAAGTACAAAAAGATACAGGCCAAAAAAGATACAAGAAAGTGTACCGAGTATTGATTTTAAGTGTACAGAGTATTGCAAAATAGCCCAACTTTAGTGTACAGTGTATTGCAAAACAGAATGAGCACATTAGTATGGAAAATCGATATTTTTGTCCAAATTTTACGTCTGTTTATCGATTCCATTTTATTTTGCTGATAATGTATTGTTTATATGATATGAATTCAAATATTATAAATTCAACAATGCATTCAGTGTTATTACTGTACTTTTTCTACGAGCAAATACAGATATTTAATTTTCCATTTAATTGAAAATCACACTATGGATGAAATAAAGAGTGTGCAGGATCGGAAGCAGGGTCGGGAGCAGGGTAGAATCATTAAAATTGACGATAAAAAATCTTTAAATACATGTCTCAAGAAGCACAAACCATAGCTGGACCATAGCCTGTGGAATAGCATGCTCAATTTTAAATTTCCAGTTACCATGGCAACGAGGGAACGTCTCAAAATTGCCAAAAAATCTCTATTTTGAGTTGTTTTTTCCCGTCAAAACTGATTTCAAAGTGCAGCAACTTCTCAATTGATTGAGATAAAGTATTAGGCTTTTCGGCGTTGATTTTAAGGTACCTTTAAATCGACCTGAGCCATTTTAGCTCCCCCTCACCCCAACAAGTCTCAAGTCTTCTCGGCGATTAGAGGGATTACTGCCCCACTTCAAACCCCCAAACAGAAGGGGGCACATCCCCCTGTGGCACCACTTGATGTACCTTTAAATGGGGGTGGCGCCGAAAAAGTGATCACTCTTTTGAACAACATTTCTCAAACGAAAACACAGTGTTTGGGGCCTAAATAGCGCATGTTTTACACTATTTGAGGCCTCAAAAGGGGTGGGGTGTAAAGCCTTCAAAACACGCCTTTATGAGGTAAAAGGTTATAAGGAACATAACCTTTTTATTACATCTGCTGCCCTTTATCATAATCTTATCAAAATCCATTACTCGATTTTTTTTAGCTGTACCAGTTCGGCAGTCATAGCTAGGGTAACTCATTGCTAATGACGTAACAAATTTCAAGTGCAGACGTCACAGTGTGCCGTTGCTAGAGTGCAGGTGCAAAATGTCGAAAGTTACCATTATATGGATTTTTGGCATAGTAGGAAGTCGGTTGATATTAGATATTGGCATACTTACTCAATACCGTCTAATATTGACAATCTTTTGAGGCAGCATTAATGCACTTTGGATGCATTTTTTTACTATTTAAAGTAAGATTAACAAATTCTGGAAAGGTTGATCCTTCGATAGCAACGAGAACTTTGTAAACACAGAAAATTGCTGAGTTCGTTCGACTGAGATTTTTCATGAGCAGGAATGAAAGTCTGGATTATTCGCAGATGTTTCCAGTAAAGTACCTTCGAACTCTGCATATTCTGCACATATAATGTAAATAAGTATACACAATAATAAATATTTAAGATTAAATGTAGTAAATACTCAGTGTTTACTATTTGCATTTACTCTATATTGATAACCAATACTCCTTACACTAAAAGCAATACTCGTGACACCGGCGGGCAACTCCAGCGCAATACTCGGTACACTGAGATGTGTATTTATTCTCAAATTGCACTGCCATCTGAGTTCTATTGTTGATTGAGCATTGACAACATAAACATTATCATCATTATCACATTTCACTCGATTCAAGTTTTTTCTTTTAAGGGAGTATATGCACGAAAACATCAAATTTGACTGATCCGAGCTCATTTGTCTCGTGAGCAAAGAGACGAATTTTACCTCCAAATTATATTTCAAAGCTATTTCTCAACATTTCTGGTTTTCAGTAACTAGAGAAATTATCGAAGTATTTGTTTTCTATAACATTTATATCAAACCAATTCAAAATGACTAAATATCGTCACTGAACTAACCTTCTTTCCTCGTTCAAAGTCGCGAAATGGGATGAAAGTCCTCATAATATAGAGCAATATCCGGGGTACGGTATACCGCAGTGACCATGTTATGAGGACATAACCGTTTGGATACCGGCTTGACAAGCGCTACATGCAGAGCCGGGCTCAGGTCTCGTATTGGTTGGACAGAACGCAAAATTTACTTTCGGTTTTAATTAAATGTGGAT